CAATGCGATCAACATGCAAGTCATGTATACCGATGTACGATGTACACGAACCTTCGATCATGTTTCCGAATGTTCTCTTCCTCCACTTAAGACCCTGGTGGAAGCCCTTAGAACCGAGAAAGGAATAGAGCTGAACTCATTTCCCTCATACCCATCGTCGGAACGCCGTTTATCTGTAATTATGAAAGAGCGGTGAAGACGTCGACCTCGAGGAGCTGATGCCATCTCGCAAAACGAAGCAAGGGGGTGGTTCCCTTGACCTCTTTGTCGCTCCCCGAGATAAATTAATAAATCACTGGCAACAGATGTCAACGTGATCGCACTACAAATTTGATATGCGAGGAAAGCTTATTGACTGTTTTGCCATGCGATCCAAATTCAGACATTTCCCGGTGCGCACAGCATTTTCCTAGTACTCCCGGGGCCGATGCGAAGGTCTAAAATTGTCCCCATCAAAGGTGTCACTGTAGAGGGAAGTGGAAAGACAATACTGGAGCCGCATGGAGATCCTTAGTTATATTTGGAGCGGAGCCCTTTTCCTGATTCGATCTTTCAGATCTTTCAGCCCCTCGACCTGAAGATATCCACTCCGGTCCGATATAACATTTTGATCAGCTCGGAATACACAGCCAGGGTCCATAGCATTTAGGATGTTATCGGCTACGTTGTATAGATTGTGTTGGGTCATTTCTAGTTCTAATGTTGTCATTCCCACACGTGCGGAGTGAGAATTGCACGAACTTCATCTAAGGACGCAAGGGATGTGAAGGAATCCACAATGGCAATGATAGACCGTCCGTGCTGCATGTCATACCGATCTAGCCAGTTCTGCTTGCCGAGAGAAGGTTTCGGCCATTTAGTTCCTCACTAGTACGATATAGGGTTCCTTGTATGGAGTACTTCAAAACTTGTACAAGTACATGTTGACCTTGAACCGATGGCACATTCCAAGATCGTCACAGGTTTCCCACCAGTGTGAGTCACGAATGAAAAAGTATGCAGGCGGAGAAGAGACAACGTCCAAAGATATCCTGCCACATGGACGAGGGGGGGGCTCTGACGACGAATGCCATGCAGTGCTCAGTCCCTTTTCTACGTCTAGTGCCGTTTGACATCGGTTTTTTCTATGGTAAAAGTAAACCTGACTCGCTCCACAGTGGCGATTCTGCCAGGCTTGGTGGTCGACACACACACACACACACACACACACAGGCATCTGCCTACATCGTACATACTATGAGTGAGTAGCAGGTGTGGTAGGAGTTACCTTAGCAATTCTGAGTTGCAGCCTAGATTGCAGGGTGTCATCCCCACCGACTTTTTCCCGTGTATTGGATACATTGTCATTGTTTTTGAGGCCCTATGTTGACCACGAAAATGGAAATGAAATGATCAAACGATCGGAGCGAAGGATAAACCGAGTTTCCCGGCAACCGAGCGATAACCGATTTTTAGCCAGAGGAACCTGTTCCTTTTTAATTGACAGGGAAGACCCTTTACGGCGGAGGCGATCATTGGGCCGCAAAGCCGGTTGGGCGTTATGGGTGGGATGCAGTTTAGGGAGAAATAGGAATGTACAATCTCCATATTTAGCAAAATCCATTCACACACGGGAAATCCAAAGGGAATAATAAGGGAAGGAAGTAAAAAAAGAAGTAAATAAGTAAATAAAGATAAGAGTAAAAAAAAGTCAAGGCCAACAACCATGGATACCTAGGAGTCAAACCAAGGATTTCCCCTCCAGCGGGTCCCGAGCTTAAAAGTAAATAAATACATACCTAAAACAATACATACAACACTGGAACAACACTGGAACATTGAAGTAGTCGAATGAACTATATTATACTAAATACTATACGGAGTATGGAATACAATAATATATATATGATAAAACTCTGGTATTCGAACTAAATAGATAAAAAGACATATAGATATATAGATAAAAAAATATTGATGACGCTGTCCCCCACTTTCTTCTCTTTTTTTCCCTTTTGTGTTGGGTACCGAGAGCCTCTTCGTGAAACTTTTTTGGGATTTTTCTTTTCCTTCTTTTCCGTTTTTTTTTTTTTTTTTCTTAACCCTGTGCCCTGTTCCTTCGGGTGTTTACTCTTCCTTTCTCTTTTCTCTTTCCTTTTATTCTACAACATATACTCCTCTCCTCTTTTTTTTTTCTAGATCTCTCTCTGTCTCTCTCTCTTCCCTTTAGATATCAATCAAGATCACCCCTCACTTCGTTTTTTTTTATCGCTGCCCATCGACTCCACTCCCCCCACTGGGTTCTAAGACCGTCAGGCAGAGGATCCTAAATTCTCAACCCAACCTCTGCAGCTGCAGTACGCTCCACCACTCATCGTCTGCCAGAGAGGTCATTTTCTATTTTCTTCTCTCTTTCTTTGACCCAACGCTTCCGCCCGACTCTTAGCCTAACATCCCACTTCGATGGAGACATTGCGATCTGAAAAGTACCATCTCGCTCTCTCCGCTTGACAGAACCTATCGCCCGTCGCCTGCCATCGCCCGCTGCGATCGGCAGGTCCGCTTACTTGTTTGAGTGGCCCGCTTGGGTTGGGCACTGGGGAGAAGAGAAAGAAAAAAAAAAGGAAGCCCATTTTGTCAGATCTACGGGGTTGAGGGGAAGAATAATATCCATTCTGACTCATCGTGAAAGGGGAGCAGTGGCTTGCTGTAAGTCGAATATCTCTGGAGCCCTGTGGGAGCCACCCACGTCGCCCTTGTCGGAAACGGGACCAACCCTGTTTTTTTAAATTTTTTTCAGACACCCGATTGCCTTGCAGCCCACATAATGGCCAGTAAGGGCCCCCGGCCTGCCTGCGTCGAAGATTACGACGAAGAACACCACGCCATCCTACCCGACACTAGGCTTTCTGCCAATATTGCTGCCAATACAGCTGCCAAAATATCCTCCAGGTTGGAAAGATTCCAGGAGCCGCTGATCGACGCCGCCAGTGACTCAGGTTATTCTAGTCGCACCGCCGCTACGGTTAATAGCACCCAATCTGGGCCGTCGGGCGGAAAAAGTCCTCCGATCCCTCATAAGCTGGACGCCCCCAAGCGTAACGACCTCGCAAGGAAAAGTTCAACCAGAGAACGCAAGGACAAAGAACGAACACGACCCTCGCGCGAAGAGAAGATGGTTGGTGCCTATCCGGGCGCTGCCCATCACACTCACGTGCCCCGGTCGTCGTCCAAGTCCCGTCGAGAATCCTCCCATGCCCGCCAATATCACCACGATGTTTACTACGATTACGGTACTCAATACCATCAATCAGCCCCGGTTGGGCATCGACAAAGCGAATATTCCTACTACCAGCCACGTCCACCAGTCCCAGAATACTCATCCTCCCCGCACAACGGTCGATATCCGGCCGTCATAGAGAACATTCACGTCAGTCACCCTGGCCGACCCAGTCGCTCCAATTCATATCACACCTACCACCCAGACGGACGGCCCATGAGTTTCCACGGTATGCCACATGGAATGAGTTCAGGAATGCCGTCTCCAATGTACCCCCAGCACGGATACGATCATGGCCCTCCACCAGCCAGTTCAGCGTACATGCACCAATACTCGTCATCTCCATACGGACAAAGCTCCTACTACGCCCCATCAGCCTCGGACTATCCCCCATCGGAGTATCCACGAGAGCGGTCTCGGTCCCGGGAGCCATCACGCCGTCGGTCCTCATCTATCTATACTGCCCCCAACCCCCCACCCATGGACTCTGGGTCGTATGCACCATGGTATGATGAAGAGCCTATGGAACACTATTCCTCCCGGGAAATCCGTGAAGTCCGTGAACGTCCTCCTACAAGACACCAGGAACAGGATGAAGACTACTATCGGATGCCACCCCCAGGAGCAAAGCCCAAGCCCAGGCCGCAAATCCACCAGGCTAAGCGACCAGAGCGGTCAGAGCCACCACGGAAAATGCATCCCTCTGCCGGTATGGTCCCCTCTCAACGTCGCCCATCCAGAGGCATGGACAGAGGAGGTAGAGACATAGACCGAGATATAGACCGCATGGAAATGCCGGAACTTGCAGCTGCCTTGCCAGTGATTCAGGATCGCTCCCATCGTCGAATGTCAAGGGACGCCCCGTTGCCAGAGAGAACCCATAGCCTACGAGATCACCGACGATCAACATCCTACCAGGATGATCGACGGTCTGCTCAGGTGGCCGTGGCGAGCTCTCGGCGGCGGAGGCCAACCGAGTACTACTACGAAGAACCATCCAGCGCCGGCGGCGACCTCGAAGACCGTGAGCGCGAAGCTGAGAACTACCAAGCAGCCCGATCCGGCCGAACCTCAACAGCTGCGCTGCCTCTCTCCACAGAGGCCTTGCTCCCTGCCAAAGCGTCTCACCGCAACGGCAACGGGAGCGAGAGCGGCAGCCAGAATAGTCGGTCGAGCCGCGGCAGTGCCACACCCTCACGGAAGGAGGAAGACAAGAACATGACCCTCACGTTGAACGGATTCCAAATTGGATTTACATCTGAAGCAGTTGCAGGAAAATCTATTAACATTCGTGCCGGGGATACCGGGGCCGTTCGGTTGAACATCGGCGGCCCACGGCCACCCAAGCAGCATGTGAACGGTACCAGCTCTGATTACGCAGGCGGCTCCAGCCGTCGGGAACTTGAAGATGTGGTGCGGCGTCCCCGGGATGGTGGGCGGTCTGAACGATCTAGTCGTCGAGACAGCCAGTCAGCCTACGGGACTACTCGCTACCACTGACCTTGTTATCCGCCCTGTTAGATGTTGACCTTTTTTTTGTGTGTTTCTGTTTTTCATGGTTAGGTATATTTTTGTTGTGATTCCATTTTGTGTCTGCATAGCCGTTTGTGGCTGGCCTTGTTTGTTTGCCAAAAGTTTCGATTGCCTCGGGTATGTTGCGGGGGTTTTTTTTCTTTCTTTCTTTCTTTCTTTCTTTCTTCTTCGGGACCGGGTGCTTGTGCAACAAAAAAACAATGGTGATTACCTAAAGCGAGACCCTCTTGGGCGACTTGGGGAACATGCTGGACTTTGTCATGAGGTCTAGAGTTGCCTGTTGCCCAAGAGGCTCGCTAAAATGGGAGGAATTTTTGTATGTGATTCCATTCGCAACTGCTGTCTCGATTTTCTTTTTATGTTTGTGTGCTTGGGCAAAATGGTCGGGCACGAACCCCATGATGATGTGTTTGTTATGGCGATATGATTGTACGATTCTGATGACCTGCAATGACAAGTCTGATGTGCTTTACTTTCTGATGTCTTCTTTTTGTCAGCGTTCCGTGTATAGCCTTTCTTGTTGGGTCTGTGTCTTTCTCCCCGGTTACTTTGTTCGCGACTCCGAGTGGCGGAGAGAGATTATACCCATATCTGTTTACTTGTCATGTCTCAACAGGTCATCTTTTTCTTTGGCCATATCTATGATTTTATGTTGTCTTGTTGGTATTTTGGTTCCGTTGGGAGCCTCGTAGTTTTCCTGTTTTTTGGGCTTTTTTATCGATTCGGTTGATTTTTGCAGTTTCGCTTGATCTCCTTGTCTGTTTTATCGCCCATTGGTCTTGATCCTTTTTCCTGATTTTGCTGTTTAGTTGGTTTTGATACCCCGCAAGCTGTCTGGGCGCGATCACAGCTTTCGACCCTGTATGCCTCTCTCAGAGGCTTCCAGCGGGTGGCATTTGTCGACTTGATATAATTGATCCATAATTAAATCCATGTTAAAACGCCATGTTTCAGATCTAAGTAGAAGTCAAATGTGATCGACTCTTTTTATAGATCGACCCACGGGTGGCCCAACTCTACCCGTCCACGGACCCGTGGATGCTCAGGCAGTGTGGGGGATGATGTAAGCGGGTTGTCCCTGACAACCATGATGTAAACACAAGTCCCCAGCCTCTCTTCCAACCTCCTCAATTTTGTGCCGGACGACAAGCAGAATCATATCTGGGTTGGTTATTTTTCCATCTTCTTATCTTCAACCTCCTACTGATACCAACCTAGGCACTGTGCTTCGTTTTTGCCCACATTCCATACTCACATTATCTACCCACATTCCAGCGTGTCAGAGATTTATCTCTATCTAGATCTGGTGTTGGTCACTTGCTTCAATGTATGCTCATATATCTCCTCTCTCGATCTCTACAATGTTTGGCATACTGATGATCATAGTGAGTCCAGTCTTGAGCCGGGTGCTCTTGGCCACTCGAATATTCCATCATGCCTCCAGTTTGGCCGATCGGGGACTCCCCCGACATTTCAGGAGCCACCATTGGCGGACTCTATGTTCGAGATGTCAGCAATGAGAACATCGCTGATAAATTATCTTCCATCGACACTAATACCCACAACCTCTTCCCACGTACCGACTCAACGGATGATTCCAGCACGCCAAGATATGGGCAAGGCACAGTCGACCCGCACAGCATCAAAATGCAAGGCCTGATGGCACTTTTTGCCATCATTGGGCTATTGTTTGTCTTGGGGGCAATTTGGTTCTTCTTCTGGGCCAAGAACGGCGGATTCGTCTGGCGCAAGGGCGACTGGGATGACTACAAGTCCACTGTTCTGCGACGAAAGGGACCCGACGGAAAGACTCTTAGTAACGCTACAGCGAGTACCAAGCTCGGCGGCGGAAGTGTTGTTGGCAAAGGCTACACGGACGACGGATACTCGTTTACGGAAGGATCATATACCGACACAGCGACGACCGTTACAGAGGAGAAGTCACGACGCAAGAGGTTCAGAGAAACCGCCAAAGAGAAGCTCCTCCGACGCAACAAGCACGAGCAATGGGAAGGTGCAGAAGATGCCGATGTACGCGCGTACCGAGAAGAGAAGCCCGCTCGTATTGGCGGCATGAACCGTGAAGCCGAGGGAACCTACAACGGCAGTGACTACGATACCTCCGCCCCGCCTACCTCCTACCAACAGAGCGAGATGAGCCAAACTCATGATTTTGCATACGACCAGCCACGCCGCCAGCGCCGCGATCCTTCCGGTTTCTCGTTCACCCAAGGTAGCGAAGATGTTATCAGCCAAACAACCGAAGAGCGTCGTATCCGCGACCCATCTACCCGCCGCCACAACCGCCGTCGTGAACGTCGCAGCGAGATTGCCCCATCTGCCCCACCCTCCGCGCCTTCTTCTCGTACTAGCAGCCCCCGCAAGCAACGTGAGCGCCGTTCCGTGCCGCAGGGCCACTTCACCGAACCCCTGGATTTCTCATCTGCAGGCTCCCGTTCCGAGTACCAGTACTCCAATGTTGATACTGAGGATTCGGGTACTAAGAGCTACAAGCATCCGATTCCGGGCTTGACGAAGGGATACCGCCGTGATGGACGCAGCCGTCGTCGCGATAGTCTGAGTGATAGTGAGGGCGAGACACAGTACTCTTGAATAATGACTGATAGGTCTTGATTTATGAGATCCCCAACTTGAAGTATGGGATTTGATTTTGAATGTGGAACAATTCTTTGGGTTATGGAAATAGCGTCTTTTTTTTTTACGGCAAATGCCGATCGACTTATGGATATGGATATGGGAAATTGTTTGGGTCATGTACATAATGAACAGAATCACGATGCGAATGGATAACATTCCGATGCGATATAGTATACGAATATAGGTACCTTTGATTGAACTACCTTCGCAGGTTTAGACATGAATTAACTTAGGCTCACACTGTGGGTGGGCATGTCGCTCCCATGGGCCAGTGAAGCGGTAAGGTTGTCCGACGTACACATTAAATTTACACCGTGTACTTCCCACAAAGCAGAGCTCAAGTTTATGATATACCTAGGCATTGTTCTATATAGCCAACTACTACCCATCCCAAATCCCGATATCCATCGTCGAGACAAGAACCCCATTGCTGTTGACAACATGGCTTCATGTACGTCATCACCATTCTACCCTTCGCACCGCCATCCATTCTAACCCACCGCAGCAAAACCTCAAGATCGACGACCTCTTGTCATCTCCGGCCCCTCAGGCGCAGGAAAAGGAACTCTTATCCAAAAGCTCATCGACGCACACCCAAACACATTCAAACTAACAGTCTCTCACACAACCCGGCAGCCACGTCCGGATGAAACAGACGGTATATCCTACCACTTTGTTTCCGTCGAGACATACAACTCTCTCAAATCCAACGGAGGTCTGCTAGAAGATGCAATGTATACCGATGACTTCTACGGAACGAGTAAAGCAGCACTCGAAGAAATATTCGAGAGGCAACTCATCCCTATTCTTGATATCGAGATGAATGGCGTGCAACAGGTGAAAATTAACTCTGAGTTTGACGCCCGCTATGTTTTTATTAAACCGCGAGATCTTGGTGTCCTTGAGCAGAGGCTTCGGGGTCGAGGGACAGAGAGTGAGGAAAAGATTCAGGCTAGGTTGGAGCGGGCGAGAAGGGAGCTTGAGTTTGCTGAGACTGCGGGTGTTTTTGATACTGTTATTGTGAATGATGATTTGGAGAAGGCTTATGTGCAGCTCGAAAGGTTTATTTTCGGGTTGGCGTGAGCACTTGATCAGCTGGGTTATGTATGGTGAAGCTCTTTCGTGTGATCAGGGAGTAGATTAGGTCTTGATCTATGGTTTAATTTCTTCATAAAAAAGAGAGAGAAAATCAATGACACTATCTACAAATGTCCAATGCTTCTAGGTTATATGTACTACCCAGCTGATTGATTCCTGATATGCTCCACGCTCGCCGCGCCATCTTGAAACCAAAGCATCATCGCCATCTTGCTAATATTATCTGACCCCCATCCCTTGCTACTCAGATCTACCAGTTCAGGTGCAGACTTAAACCGCATGATCTCAACTCTTGAGTGCCGCAACCGATGAAGAAGCCATCGGTTCACGAAAGAACCCTTGTTGACAGCCTGTGGGTGCGCGGATGCAAAGAAAGGCGATAAATCCTCAAATTCCGAGGAGTGTAGCGGATCATTGTATGTCTGATCCTCTGGTTCCTCGGGCATAAAATTCTGTATTGCCTCCTCCTCCTCCTCCTCCTCCTCCTCCTCCTCCTCCTCCTCCTCCTCCTCCTCCTCCTCCTCATTGTATTCCTCTTCTGCGATCTGCGCGGAGCCATTGTCATGTTCCGGGTGCGACTCGACTTTATGGCGGGCTAATTCTAGTTCGGTTTCGATCTTAGCCTTTTCATCTTGGTAGCGAAGGAGGAAGTTGAGGGCCGCGCTGTCGAGTGGGATCCCGACTCGCTCGCGGAGCTCGCGTTGGTCGACTAGGACCAGATATTCTGTTTCTAGCTCCGACAGCCGTTCCGTGAGTCTGCGTGCCTCGCCCACCATGGAGAAGTAATCACCCACTTGGGGCAACGTTTCTTCTCCATAGTCAGAGGAGTAGTCTGCCGAGGAATATTCGGTGTCCGAGGTAATGGGTTCAAGCTGTGCCAACAAGCCGCTTTGATACATGAGGATGGTTTGCAATCTTTCTAAGCGGCTGTTGTAATCGTACTCTAGCTGCGCCAGTTCGTCTTCCTGTCTATGATATTCATTTTCGAGAATGAAATAAGACGCTGTCGCAACCTGGAGGTCGTTGATAGTGTGATTGATAGCAGCAAGATTCTCATGTACGTTTTCGGTGGTTATGAGATTCAACATGCTCCGTAATGCAACCCGCATATCATCTTCCACGTTACGTTTTTGTCGAAGCATATGCCGCATTTCTCGGATCCGATGGCGCTTGGCTGACACATCTTGATGTGCGTTTAGTACTTCCCCTATAAGCTTCCCCGCCTTGGCACTGGTGTCATGGGTTGACTCAGGGGGCGGCGCAGGCATATTGTACCAGTCGGTTGGTTCATCTATTTCCCGGGGGTACTGAAACTGGAAGGCCGGGACGGATGACTCGCTCAAAGGATCATATTCATCCCATTTTCGGAGATTTTGTGGTAACCAGGGCTGGCTTTCGGTGGCCTCGTCGTCCCTATCTACCAGGTCTAATCCGGAGAATTCGAATATTGGCGCTGTTGATGTCGTTTTTGGGGCAGAAGTACCCGAAGGAAGGGGCGATGATCGTTGCAGGATTTCTGATGCTGTGGGACTCGATACTCGAGCACCCCCTTCTAACTCCTCCAGCCATGGGGTGGTGGTAAATGAAATGTTGGGAAGGCAAACTTCACTTCTAGTGGTGGTATAGCAATCTACCATGGACGGCGGCTATGTAGTGAAACCGTGATGAGCTTCGAGTATTGCATATCGATTTGAGCCCACTCACCCGGGATAAACGATCCCGTATGACTCCTGGCCAAGACGCCATTGTTAAAGGGCTTCGCAGTACCTCCCGGTCATGTTTTGCGAAGGAGATTATATATAGATCAACACATTCGGATGCTGGTAAGCAAGGTTGAACAGCTCTAGAGGGAAGAATGCTATTGATAAACCGAATAATTTTTAAAAAGAAGGAATTGGGGGAGCTTTGTCTTCGGAGTTACACCAGGGTTCTAGTGGGGTGAGGTCGAAGGCGCAGTTCCTCTTTGGTGCCCAAGTTGGCAAGTCTCCAATGATCGTTACTCCGTAATCTCCCTTTGCATTAGCGCCCGCGCTTCACCGATCGGTTGGTTGCCCGGAGTGCAGTGGCAAATCCTGAGACAAAACATTCGAGGTATATCAGCCACCGAGAACTTATTCCCCTCATTTGTCTGGGATGTCATTGGGATCATACTCCGGGTCCGCCATTATGTGCTAGTTGCTAAAGTGTCTCTTCGGCTAGGGAGTGCTTGATGATAAACCAACCTGCTGTATGCCATAGGCGGTGCCGTGCATATAATATTAAGTCTATTGCGACAATAGTGATGTGAACGGTCCCAGTCGCTTGGTGGGGGCCCTTGAGGAGTTGGGAGATATCAAACCCCCAATCCTTATATATTATATGCCTGATATTCCCGAATCCCTGATTCCCTTGTCGGATATGTAAAAATCATGGCGTCAGATTGGGTACTCCACCCGGAGAGCAACCGATGGGTTCGATCCATCTACGACCATTCTGGTAGGCCTCACTGGCTACAAGAAGAATGATTGCAGTAACTGAACAAGACAAAAGGAGAGTTTCTTTATGGGTGGAACTACACAAGTGGTGCGCTCACTCCTGCAAAAGTAAGCCAAGCTTCAAGGTTAGTTGTTCATTTTTCTGGTGTGAGAAGTCCGAGGAAGTAATTCGTTTAATGAAAAAGTGTTGCGCCAACGAAGCACCTCTGGGTCAGCGTTTCCCAATCCCGAAGATGCATATGGGCAAAGATGCATATGGGTACCATACCCCATTCGTCCCCAGAGCCAGGCCATCATCCAACTCGCCTAGATCATGTACAGCCGCAGGACCCGCTCGATTACGGCCAAACATATACCAATCGAATGGATCTCACTCACCGCTGTCGGTTACTGAAATTTATCGGGTTGAGAGATATCTGTATGATGGTTGGAAAATGTCTACATGGAGGCTCATTTGCACTCATCAGAAAAGAGCATTTCATCCATCGATGGTAACAGGAAAAATCCATTTGCATACTATATATACTAGGATCTATACTACGAAGATATATTTTCGGCTGGAGGTAGGGCGCGAAAAATGACAAGCCCATAGATACCCACAAGAAATATTACAGAGTAGATAGACGTACGAGTATTATGCGTCAATTATATTAACAATGTCTGAAAGACTTACAGACTCTTAATCATTTGTATTGTATGTAGTTCATGGAGTTTCCGCCTGAGGCACCAAAGATTATGTCAACATAAAATCTTGGAATCTACCGCCCGCAATAATCTCACCGCCCGATAAAACTTCCCAAAAAAGTTTCAACTTCCGCAGATTCGATCAAGCAAATGCCTAGTACAATCACAATGAAACGCAAGTTGGACGCAAACGATGTTCCTTCGCCCGAGGCTGCTGGGGCTGAGGACCAAGAACTCGACTTTGAAGCCCTCAATCTCGATCCTCGATTGCGCCAGGCCCTGATCAAAGAAAAGTTCACCAAACCCACTCTTGTACAGTCAAAGGCGATTCCGCTCGCCCTGGAAGGAAAGGATATTCTTGGTGAGACGAGCCTCTTGAATTGATGAATCAAAGGACAATTACTGACAGAAATAGCCCGTGCGAAAACTGGCTCTGGCAAGACCGCCGCCTATGTCCTCCCAATCCTCCAAGCTATCCTCCAACAGAAGACTGTTCGTTCCCCCTCTCTGTGTATTTCATATAGAAAGCAATCTAACTGTCTGAAAACAGGCCGATCCCTCCTCAAAAGCCACAACCGCTCTTATCCTTGTCCCTACTCGCGAGCTTGCAGAACAGGTCCAGAAAGTGATTACGTCTTTCGCCAGTTTCTGCGGAAAGGATATTCGCTCAGTCAACTTAACACAGAAGGTGTCTGATGAAGTTCAGCGCTCGATGCTGGCCGATTTCCCGGATATCGTTGTCTCGACGCCTACCCGAGTTTACAGCAATGTTAACAACTCCGCTTTGTCGCTCGATAAAATCACCCATTTGGTTATCGACGAGGCGGATCTGGTATTGTCATACGGATATGATGAGGAAATCAATGCTCTCTCCAAGGCCATCCCTCGAGGAGCGCAGACCTTTTTGATGAGTGCTACTCTCACCTCGGAGGTGGATACATTGAAGGACTTGTACTGCCGGAACCCTGTCATTCTTAAGCTAGAGGAGACGGAAGAGAAGGGCGCTGGTGTCAGCCAGTTTGTTGTCCGGTAAGAAAATATGCTACAACCGTCCTTTCGTTGCTAACTAAACTCCGAACAGATGCGCGGAAGACGAGAAATTCCTTCTCACATACGTTATTTTCAAACTGCAGTTGATTAAGGGCAAGGTCATCATTTTCGTAGCAGACGTCGACCGATGCTACCGTGTCAAGCTTTTCCTCGAACAGTTCGGTCTCAAGAGCTGTGTCCTCAACTCAGAACTTCCCATCAATTCTCGGATCCACGTTGTCGAAGAATTCAATAAGGGCGTCTACGATATCATTGTTGCAGCTGACGAGCAAGAAGTAATGGGAGTGACCAAATCGAAGAAGTCGCGCGAAGTCAAGGAGGCAGACGAAGAGGAAGCAAAGGAAGAGATGGGAACCAGCGAGGATGAAGAGGCAGTTGATGAAAGTGGAAAGGGAAAGAAGCCAGAAACCAAGAAGCGCCGCAAGATGACCAGCAAAGAAAAGGACTACAGCATTGCTCGCGGTATCGATTTCCAAAACGTTGCCTGCGTCCTCAACTTCGATCTCCCCACCAGCTCCAAATCCTACACCCACCGCATCGGGCGTACCGGCCGCGCTGGCAAAGCAGGAATGGCTCTCTCCTTCGTTATCCCCGCCGAGCAACACGGCAAGCACCGACCCACCTCAATTCCCAGCACAAAGCACGACGAGACCATGCTCACGAAGATCATCAAGCGCCAATCCAAGCTTGGCCACGAAGTCAAGCCCTACCACTTCGAGATGACGCAAGTCGACGCTTTCCGGTACCGTATGACAGATGCCCTGCGGTCCGTGACCAGACTTGCAGTGCAAGAAGCACGAGGACGCGAGATCCGTCAGGAATTGATCAAGAGCGAAAAGCTTAAGCGCCATTTCGAGGAAAACCCCGATGAACTGCGCCAGCTGCGCCACGATGGCGAGCTGCGCGCTGCGCGTGTCCAGGCGCATCTCAAGCACGTGCCTGATTACCTGATGCCTGCTAAGGGACGTAAGGGTCTCTCGAAGGAGAGTGTTGGGTTCGTTGGGTTTACGAAGTCTAAGCAGAATCGTATCCGCAAGGCGAGAGATCGCAACCGTGCTCGTGGCAAGTCTGGGGGGAAGGTTGATCCGCTGAAGACGTTTAATCGTTCCAAAAAATAGTTTTGCATAGTTTAAAATCTGCGGGCGTTTTGTCCGGATACCATTGTATAGTCAGACATGAATAAAATAGTTTCAATTTGCGGTTTGATTACAAACGTAGGACCTCTTCCCGAGGTCTGTTCGGTATAATGATGTACATTCTATCCATTTCATTGTGTACATGGGCGGACTAATAAACTGACAGTTCTTGCCCATCCGGCAATCTAATTATCTCAGGTTCCACGTCTTCCAACTCTAACCCAAGTTCAATTTCGAGCCATTTCCTGCCCTTCCGTATTTGCCGAATGTGTCTCATCACATCACGCGCATTTTGAAGGTGAGTTGCATGGACAGAAGAACCCGACGAGCTTGTTTGCGGGGTGGGTACTTCATGCGATGGCACATGACACGAGTCGTGAGACTTCGTCGAATCAATAAAGCCAGGGCCGATCCCAAGCCATTCGACATCTCTCCAAGATCCGTTCCACTCTGGGCCAACATTATCAGGATTCTGTGGGAACCCATCTGGGTCTTCGCCAACCCATTTCAAGGCTGGTAGCCATTCGCCGCAGCCCTCGAGGTCCAACCATTTCAGGCAGTAGGTCGAGCGGGAGAGTTGACGAAGAATACTCGCAGCTTCCGCCCAGTTGTTGTCAAAGGCATCTGGGGTCAAGAAGCGGGCCGTGGAACCGCGAATACGAGCAGTGGCAGCGCGTGGATTCCGGCACGGCATAGGCCAATGGGCGAGCGAGAGGTGAGTGAGGGTTGGAAAATTCCCTAGTAGGTTCAAAAGACCGGTCCAGCTTGCAGCACTGCGTTTCGGGTGTGACAGGGATAAGGCGCGAAGTTCGGGGAAGCGTAGGGTCTGCGGAATGGCTTTGGGTATGGATGGAGCTGCAACATGGTCAAGCGTAGCTTCCCCTCCGCCATTGTGAACGGCTTCATCCCACGAAGCTGGGACAACCTCCTCTATTTCCTCGCCTGGTATACTCATGGCTGGATTTGGCGATGGGATCATCTCGCTTATGAGCTGCCTCAAAGTTATCCAGTTTCCCAAAGCATTTCCCAGATCCAATCGCACGATTTTGGAATCCGCATCAACGACTCCCGAATCGTTGAAACCCGGGTTCTCTTTTTCAATTTGATCCTGATCCTGTCGGGTCAAAAAGAGCGGTTTCAGCCCCTTCATATACCCTCTTAGAGGCGACCCTCTCGCGTAGACAGCAATATAACTCAGCAGCAGTTCCTTGAGATGATTTGGAAGTTGGGATAGAAAAGGGCCATCATATTCAACATGCCAAGCCCAGTTTAAAGCCATAGATTTCAGCATCAGATGTACCAGGCTCCTCTGGTCCGGAAACAGCGGCCCTTGGAGGCGGGTCAGCCGGTGAATTTCTTCTTCTAGGGTTTCCGGTATCTGGTTGTGCAATCCTTGATCTCTTGCTAAGTCCGTGTTTCCGGAGAGCCAACTCGCAGGCGGCGGAGGCCCGACAGTTGGCCGAGTTGGACGAACCCCGAATATCGTGCGACGAGGGCCGGGGCGAGGTCGCGGCGGCGCAGTTGCAGGGAGCTCGAGAACATCTCGAAGAGATGGATGAACTGAGCGCGAGGCTACAAACGAGCGGTGAGCACGTTGCGAGCTTGGGGGATCATCCGAGGAAGCACTAGGGATCTGTGTACGGCGGAGGTGACTGATTAAGTCGTTGACTGTCGTCGCTGACGCGGAGCCGTGTACCCCAGACCCGCCATCATGACGAGACCCAGATGGTGCAAGGCTGTGATGTGCTAAATTGGCTGGCTTTGCGTGAAACCGCTTGTGCTTTTTGGGCATCTGCGGTCGAGCTGCGTGTTTGACGAAGTGAAGTGTCTCCGGGAAGCTTTCCCGCCTTTATCGCTTATCGATTATCGCCCCCACATTTGATCCTTTTACCTGACGGGGTATAGCGCAAGACGCTGACATTTAGGGCTTACAAGACAGGCGGAAAGGTCCGCACCTATGAATCACTGTTGCTCGTAATTAGGCCGAAAGTGAGTCAATGCTTGTGACTCATTGTTGCCATAACCAAATCTATACAATGTTATACAATCTATGCACACGGGCTCAGATATCCCGAACCCAGGAATCGTCCTTCATATGGCCCTCACGCTTAGCACCCTCCTCTAGCCAGGTATCCACCAAGCCTTCCTTTGGATCCTCATCGGGCAATCCGCGCGATCGGCGAACGTCCAAGACAAGATTCCTGATCTTCAAAGTGACCTCTTTGCGCAGCTCGACAGCTTCTTTATCATTCAACAGTTCATCACTTAGCACACCCAGGGGCAGATCTCGGGAATCGGGGTAGGCCTTCTCGACCCTCGCTTTCAATTTCTGCCACCGAGATCTCATTTCTCCGAACACAGCATCCGAGTCCACCTTGGAGCCAAAGGTAACGCTAACGTCTTTGCCAGGCCGAGGAAGGAATCGCGGGAATTCACGACTCTCGTGCATGACATTGTCGAAGCCCTCAATCCACATTGGAACCACATCCGGACATTCGTTGGGTTCTAGGATGAGCCGTGCAATTCCCCACTTGAAATAGCGCATAGTCTTTCGTGGTGACTGGTGAATCTTGCCTTCGGGGAAAATATGGACCCAAGAATTCGAGTTGCAGGAGTATGCGGTAGGTGCGAGGTGTGAGTCCTTGCCATCAGTCGTATAGGCGACTGAGAGGTCCGAGAATGGATCGACACAGACGTTGTGCCAGCTCCAGCGTTGACGTTCAGGTGCGGCGCGGTGGTGGTCAACAGGGAAAGGACCCTTCGATAACAAACGAATAGCCTCGGTCATAACAGGTTGAGTTAGACCACCGAATGTAGAATGTGCGGAACGGTGGGTGGGCAGGACTTGGCCCATAGTGAAGAAGAGTGACAGTGGTCTGCGATTACGGTTAGTAAAACAAACCATGGAAGAAGCATTTGCGTAAACTCGTAAATACCTTGTCTGGTAACAGATATCGTAGCTCCCGAAAGACCATCGCTTGTTCCAAAATCGTGGAGGTAAAATCCCCCATAATAATGGGTCATCCATTCTGGTATTCCGGCGCAATGTCAGCCATCTTCACATTTTGGAGTATGGATTGTCTCGATCCGAGGTGGTTGGAGGCACATACACACTGATGTGATTGGATACTATTTCAGATAAATTAATTAGCAACTGCACTGGTCTAACGAACTTCGCTATGTTCTAGCATACCTGTAATCAATCCTCGCGTCCGTTGCGAAACGTCATGCCGAGAGTCTAACAGCTCCGTGAATGCCTCTTTCCCATGGCATTCTGCATTACAGAAAACTGAAAGGAAACCGCGACATAGACCCGCCACTCCCCACATTGTTGTGTTGGATAAAGCCCTCCAAGGAAGGGACGGGGACTCCGCCGTTGCGCTCGAGTCCATGATGGATGGTGTAGAACTGCTATACACAATCCATGAACAAAAAGAAGCTTTACACAAGCTAATAGTAGCTTGGAAAGGAGTATGTTCTCCGAAGAGCAGTGTAATTGACTCGAGTGAAGTTGTAGGAAAATATCGCGTCCCTGGAAATCGACAGATTCCCGGAATCACATGATTTTGGTTGGGGTAACCATTCGCAGTACATCACCAAAGGTCAGCATTACCTTTTTTTTCAATTACATGCTTTGGTATAATTTAAGATGAGCAATTAATCTCACTATCTAAGTTACAACTACTTTCCAGTCTCTCTATATCAATTGTATCAATTAGTAAATGGCACATTCCAATCGGTAACTTTTTCTATACATCCAGCGCACGGACCAATTACACTCCCGACTCCGAGCACGATTTTCTCCCGGCTACACCCTGACAGCACCATCAACCAACGATGTTCAAATCAACCCAAGCACTATTTGGCGGTCTTCTCTGGTGCGTATTGGGCCCTTTCCACAAAATCCCAATTATACGAATTCAAGCTAACATCCTTCCCAAATAATAGGAAGACCCCGTGGCGTCTCTCCTCCCCCAGAAGGCACGACAGCGCAAGCGCCTGCGCTCCGTGGACCGCGTCGTTGACACCGTCAGTGCCGCACTCGAGCGCAATGGCCAGACCTCCAAGGCTGTGAGCCGGTGGTTTGCGGAGATGCCCCGCGAGGAGGAAATGCTGCCGAAGGACAAGTACACTCTCTTCGATAAGAAGGAGAAGAGCTACCGGAAGAGCATTCACAGTATGTTCTCGTCCCGCTTCTACTTCTCCAATCTATACCAATTGGTATTCATTGCTGTGTGAATGGGCTGAGCTAACCATTTTTTTTTAACTCAGAGCTGCCCAAGTGGACTCGTGTCAGCCAACGTGTCAACCCTCCCGGTTTCTAAACGGATCTTTATCCCCCGCACATGTACTATACATCCGAAACTCGACTCTGACGGGGGACTTGTCGGAGCGAAAAACAACATATGGACACCCGGAGTTTTGGCTTTTTGGAATTTGCAGCGCGGCCACTCTGAAGAGGATGGTGGCTTACAATGTTCCATGATTACCCCAGCGCTTAGATCAGGCTTTCAATTCAAATGCATTTTGGCAAGGATATCTATTTCTCTTCAGTTCCGGTATTCCGGGGGTATACTAATTATATAAACTCAGCGACAGACATGATGGCAGTGAGCGTATAGCATCAGAAGTGACGGATATTCTGAGTGAGTTTTAAGTGAGTGTGGAGTGCGAAATTTGAGTAGGTGACGGGTAGGACAAGACAAAGTGGACATAAGTGGCTGTTGTGAAAAGCCACGGGATCGTGAAGAATCATGAGACAAGGATGTTTGAAGTTGTTCTTTTCCCGATATCATAGCCTGGGATCAATTTTCCGGACGCAGTACGACAGCACTTGTTGACTTGAGCGGCTACTTCCTTGACCCTACCCCGATTTACTCGGCCTTCGTGGAGGGCTTTGTGGAGGCGGTATCCCCGGTGGACTTGCTGCCAATCATCAAGCTTCTCTTGCCAGCCTGCCCCTCCTTCATACCAAGCGTTCTTCTGCGCAGTGGAAATTTCAAAGCCTTGAGGCGGTTTCGGCAAAACCCAGCAGCCTGGATCGATATGACCATCTGGTGGTTCCTCGGCCGATTCATCATACAGTGTAACAGTGCGAATGGCGTCTCGTATACCAGATACCTTCCGCTGCTTATTCACTGCGGCCCGCCAAGAGTCGATACGAGGAGTCTGCGCGCGTTTTGGGTTGGACGCAGGGTACTTTGGTCTGGGGCTGAAAGCCGGCGCTGGATAAGGAACATTGAATCGTGGGTCTCCCTGCGTCCGACGTGCATCAGTAGGAACTCTGGATATGGGATCGAAAACAACCCATGTTTCTCTATTCAGCCAGTGGTTAGCTAGCAAGGCGAAATGGTATGGTTTTTGCCCTGGAGTGAATTCATTGAAGAGCCATAACAGTTTTCGATCTAGCATCTCCATCATCCTGACTTCCCAATCACTCAACTCATCGACAGCGCCTCCTGTTTTGAGCTGGATTTGATCTGCAGAACTTCGAGTGATGTCTATTTCCGGACGTTTCCCTTGATAACGGGAGAGGGCCGGATGTTTGGGGTCATGCATAAATCGCCATTCATAAGACAATGCTGGTCTCGCTTTCGAATTGGTCCCCTTCCCTCGGAACATTGCTGGGGCCGAATTCCATTGAATAGTTTTTGTATATTTTTGCCATTCATTTGAAGATAGACCTTGATTTCTAATGAACAGTCTGGAAGCGATTGATGCTCTATCCTCCGAGATACGTAATCGCCTTTCGGTGCTATTTCGCTGCCGCTTGGAATGCCCACGAAGAGAAGACCTCGAGTCTGAAACATAGCTGACCAACAATTCGGTCCTTGGCGTCCCGGGAGGGCCAGATGAATCCCCTATGTTATCAAAGACTGCTTCTTTTGGCCCCATCTGCATTCGTGCTGACCATCCACGGTATCTGCGGTGACAACCATGTCGCCCAAGTGGTTCAGGTTGTTTTGTGTGCATTGAGCTATTTGGCTTCGCTAGCTCATATGGGAAACCCTCATGTTGCACGACGGGTGGGATTTGACATGAGATATCTTGCGATCCCTCACCCCGCGGCCACGGAATCGATCCTCGGATCTCATAGGATTGATTCTGTCTAGATGGTAATGATTGGACCAGACGGAACGGCATCGGTGTGCGAGTAGCTGACCCTGCTGCATTCTTGCAAGAATTGAACCAGGGTTGGTGATCAGAACTGCCATCGTGTGGCTGTACTGGGTCCCTGAGCAGTTCCTCTAGAATCGAACGAGTGATAGCTGGTTGGTTATTGATCAATGTGAATTGCCGTGGCAGGATTGATCCTGATATATCCTCTTGCGCTTGCGGCCGCCGCACAGAGCCTGGCGCTGGAACAAGTCGGGACATTGCAACACTGCCCTTCAACGCACCATGACACTTTGGTCGCGCACAAGCATTCCAGGTATCATCAGCGGTGGGAAAATCATCATAGCTCTTGAGCCAATCTGGTAGCCAAGGAAATCCTTTGGGTTCTCGGCGATGCTTTTGCTTTTCCACATCACCAGGATCCCACCAAATCCAACTATAGTCGTCTCGAGTAGATTTCCAGGTCACTGGCTTCCAAATTCCAACGAAGAAGTCATGAATTACCCTTTTATTTCTCTCGTGTGTCGGCCGCGTGACCCAGCCATACCATGTGCGTGCGTATCGGGTGTTCGTATTTTTGCCTTCTCTCAGCACTTTGTTTCGATTGAATCGTCTGATGAACCCCCCAAGCTTCCAAAACAAGACAGCAAGTATGAATATTCCAACTGTTCCGATGAATAGCTCAAAGAATACATTGGGGTCAATTTCCTTATGGACTTTGACTGCTGTGTTTGGAGGTCGTTTGGGGGGACGCGGGATACCAGGAACCAGGGAGTGGCTCTGTCGAGTGGCCAGTGGCGCCATTTATGGCAGCCTGGGTATACTCTCCAGGAATTAGTCCAGGAACCTGTAAGGGTATAGAACATGAAATGTCAAGGCTGTGTTCTCGCAGTGTGCAAATGAGAGGGGTTGGAGAGATGAGGAAGCAACATGTCACACCCCGAACTTTCCTACCATATCCTACCTCGATTTAACCTCCATCACAGCCATATTTCTTCGAAATATTTATTCCTGTAATGAACATGTCATGGCAAATATTACATAGCGGTTGGGAAATGGTCTACAATGCCTGAGGTTCCATACCTATCTATAACTATTTGCGGTTTATCCAACTCACGACCTATCAAGAACGAGCAAGAGCGTCGATATTTACTATCCGCCGTAAGAAATGCCGTCAGTGTCAGGCTATTGGATCGATATTGCCAGCCAAATAGCACCCCCGGATTGAACCACATTCGGCATGATCTAATTCTATTCCCCGATAATTATTGCCGTCCAATGCATTTTCTGGCAGCAGGTCACTGTCACACTCCCATATGTGGAAGCATATATAACAAGCTTTATTGGGATAATCCTAGTCGGTAACTACAGGTTCATTATGTAACAACCCTAGGACTTCGAGAGACTACCTAGGTAGGAACCAATGCAGTCGGCTTTACAGAGATCCAATTAGATCATAGGTTTATCGATCTTTTTCAAACACTGTCGAATTATGTTTGAAGAATATAGGTACGACCAACACGCAAATGTCTATTCGTGAGGGCAAATAATATTTCGGGCTTGACATGGGATACGACGTAGTGGTTGCTCTCCACCGAAGACTCTTGTCCATCAGTCTGTGGAGAAGGCTGATGTTTCAATGACCATGTTCCCTACCTAGGTAATCCAGGACCTTTCGTCTACGTAAGTTATCCTCTACTTTTTGGCCGGAATCTACTCTTACTACTTTAGGTTCGACTAATGATTAGATAGCAACCTTGGAATAGTAGATTGACCCATCCATGGATCTATCCACATGCATAGTTCATTAAAGGTCTCGATCACAAACGTTCACTTCTTTACCGTCTCGTCTAGCTCCTATGTAACTTTAGGCAGATACGTTCGAGTGGCAAAATACTTTAGTAGACACGCTAAGAGAGTCCCAAATTCGAATATCAAACATATCAGGCCCACTTTCACATTCCATCCCTTGTATACCTAGGTACGATCTTGAGATCGGCAAAATGGATCTAAGACGAACCTATAAAATGATAAGCGACCCGAGGGAGGAACTCTGGGTCCATTTTCACTTGCCAAATTAGGAAAGAGCCTGATCCACAGCCACACCGCATCAGCCACTCCTTGCAGATCTCGCCACAAACCAGCCACTCTCGAGCCACTTGGAGTCACTTACGGCTGATACGGTGGCGGTGCAGACTATTGACTTTCGAAAGAAGGTCTTTGTCTTACTTGATTTTGCTTTTTGTTGGGCTCCAAGTTCTGCATATTCGTTGGGTATTATCATTTACGGTTCTGATACGTTTCTTTTCAGATTAATTTGATGATTAGCTTTCTCTTGTGGTCACCCTTGGAGTGTCTCGCAACTGCGTTACATCTCAGTACTTGGGATCAGACTTTCCAAGGTTATTCTGCATGCGCCTGCATCACAATCTTCTGCCCAACGGGTTTCGGACCGCCAAAAGACAACAATGTCATATTTTCTGATATTATGCTATTTGTCGCGGCGGGGCTTCGAATGATTTAAATTATTGAAGAGATCGTCGGGACGATCGCCTATGTCTTGAAGGATATGATAGGGTCACATGGGGATGGTTCAAGCTTCTTGTGGGGTGTATCTCAGTTCCTAAATCAGTTTCCTGGAATACACATGGAATCTCGGCCATGATCCGGGTCTCGGTCGGGGCCATTGAGGCTGATCATTGATCATGCCTAGATGCATTATGGAAGATGTCAACTCCCAGTTCGCCCAGCTGTCACCACATCACCCTACCCCCTAATTCAACGCCTCTTTTCCTACCTCCATTAGGCAACACAGATTAGAAGTAGAAAATTCTGATAGATTTTGAAAAGAACGCGAGTTCTCATAGCACAAAATAGGCTTTCGGAGCTCGAAGTGGGATATATCGGTGTTTCCGAGTGGCGAAGATAGTGTCCACTTGACTCCACAAAACGCCACAGTTCACCGTTAGGGTGTGGCTTGCATTTTGCTGGTTAAAGGGGCTAGAAAAAGGCAGCAATTGCGGTCTGGTGTTCTCCATTCACCCGACTCGAGGATCATATCCAACTATGTCTAGGGTGGGGGGTAGGTACCTCCATAACAAAAATATGCACCATGACCAAGATGAGATACTTGCATACTAGTGGTGCGCCACATCCAACAATAAGGGTCCAAACATGACACTTGCGATTCACTAGATGCTAGGAGCCAAATAACAAGGCACCAAAGCTGTGATAGAGACCAAACAACGTTGGGCATGAACCTGCTGCTTGATCCGTGCACGGAACTATTGAAAGAATAGGCCCCAAGGCACTACCCCCTTTGCTTTGAGGTCCTGTGTCTCAATTCACGACTCCTATCCTCGCACATGAACCTCAATTATGCATGTCAAGCCGTTTTCCTGTCAGTTATGTCAGGTTTCCACGGGCTAACTCGGGCCCATCGGTGTAGTGGGCGAAAGGGCCAAACCGGAAGTTCTAGGTTGTACAGATCATGGTGGGGGAACCCGGGGTCGATCCTGGCACTAGCTTCAGATCTCATGCAGTGAATCTTCGATCTCAGAGATCTCTTGTACTGGCTCCACATCTGGTATTTTACTTGGACGCGTACCCGTCGATCATCCCAAATAGGAAGAAAGTGCTATGCAGTACGCACTCGCCCCACTGTTCGATCGATTCCGTTGCCGGAACGTGTTACTGCAAGGATCCTGCAGTATGCCGAGCAGACCTTTTATTGAGCTCACAAATATTGGTTCTGCGGGCATGGTGGCTCCCTTGGCCGTCCCAGGTACCTGGTCACCGACCTTCGTCCAGGCTAACCGTGTACTTTTGGATGGTGGCGACATTCCCGTGGCCCCCGCTGTGACTTTCCACACAATTGAGGTTATGGGTCCAAAGTATATCCGTTATGGATTCTCAGCGAGTGCAATGAAGTATATGAAGCCCTGCGTACGGCCACGTTTATACTTGACCTGATTCTCGTATTCATTCATATCACCAATCATTCTCCCTATTCTTCTTGCCTCTCTTCCACCCAAATCTTATTTGATTATACTTCACGGTTACGGTTCCACGATCTCTCCACTCCCATCACTCCTCGATTCCATTGAAGCAGATCTTCGAGCTTTAAAACTCTTTTCTACCAAGTGATCCAACGAAACTCGTTTGTTCCCAAGCACCATACCGTCAAACAAAAACCAAAAATGGCCGGCCGTGAATTCACACTGTCCTTCGAGACCACTCCCCCAACAGCCGCCCAGCCTGGTTCCCCTTTCACAATCCCAGTAGTCATTGCCGTGAACCCAATCGGGACACCCGCCCAAAATGTGCAGCACCTTGTCGTGAGCGCTTCCCTCCGCGACGAATCCGGCGCAGGAGCTGCCGTTGGCTTGAGCGGGAATCTCACGGCGAGCGTGCGGAGCCGAACCGATAACGCAATGAGCGGATATGCAAAGCTCAGCCCACTCACTATCTCGCAGCCGGGCAAGTTTCGGCTGCGAGTGATGCTTAGTGCAGCTTCGTACAACGGCGTTGTAACGAAGGAGTATGTTGATTCGACGATCATCCATGTGCACGCCGGTGCGGCTGCCCAACGGCCAAGTGGGTCAATCCTTTTCCTTGCTTCGGTCATTTTTGCTTTGTTCCGGGTCCCTTTTCCCCCTTCCTATCTTCTATCCCGTTCTTTTTTGATCTGCCCCTCTCCCGCCCTGGAATTTCCCCTTTAGTGCCAACATTTAGCCCCTCCTGCTCGCCTTTTTTGGACTCTTGCTGATACTCAAAAACTCTAGCTCCCACTCAGGTGGCACGTCTTCAGCGGCTCACGACCGAAAATTTGGATATTTCCGCTGCGGATATTGCGGCGTGGCAGCGTGCGTGATTGAAGGGCATATAGCACTCTACCTTTTTTGCTTCGGTGGATCTCCGGCGTTATTCATGTTTAAGCTGCACTAGAACCTTGGAAGGGTATTTTTTTTTTGCCACACGGAGGAGAGTAATAAGTTTCTTTTGAACAAATGCAAATCCATCAACCAGTTTCGAGCGGTCTATATCCACTTTTTTTTTGAATAATTTTTGCATGCATACTCCCTATTGCATCGTTTTTAGCGTCGCCTATCCCTGTTCTCGGATGGGATTTCCTCTATTCCGTAACTCTTAGCGCATACACTAACCGTCAAATGTTAATCCCTGCAGATTTTTCTTTTCTTCTTTTTTTAAAAAGATTTAGCTGCAGATATAATCCGGCTTTACTCCGTCCTCCGTACATGAAGGCACACTCTGGGTTGTCTCCACTATCCTTCCTGGTTCAATGATCACCAGCCTTTGGCAACCCCCGAATCCCTTCCTCGCACAATGTCAGAGGTTCTTCTCCGGGTCATGATAATGACGTAGCATGGTGCTCTCTTTTCGAGTGGATTCACTAATAGTCTGATTATCATGATAGCCCTTCGGATAATGCTTGGGATTGAGAAGAGCATTCAACATAATACAGTGCCTTCATTTCGAAATAGGGCCTGAGACATCTCTGCCCACTTTCTGTCTGTAAGCAGCAGGTGAATGTGCTGAGTGGGACCAAAGTACATAACAGAATGGAGCCAGGTAACACTACTCGGTACTGTCTAGCCTAATATATTCACAGACTTTGGGTAGAAAGTACGCATAAGCGGGGCAAATGCACCTACATACACATCCAGTTCACGCATTCGGATAGTTATACCTTATCTATACTAGAACGATCGACTTCCTAACCTAGTAAGGTGAGATCCTTGTAAATAGTGGCCAATGATTATTTTTTGTGTGAATATTTCGTCTGTGCCTCCCATAGTAGCAAGTAGTGCCACAATATAAAACTGTCATCAAACCCAGATATGAGTGGAGTAGATGGCGGGGACTTGACTGTTGTCTGGTTTCGAATAGATGAATGTTTGACTTAATATGGTCTGATCAGTTGTGGTGCACAATTAGGGGTATACTCATTTATTTCAGAACTGTATAAGTATTCGGTACTTGATTTTGTTGTTTGAGCTGCTCTTCTAACAAAGTACTAACTACTTATGTCAGCCGAGAGTGCGTAACGTATTCGGTAAGCGAGTGGGCCATGTAAGCCAGTGGGCCACCCAACCCAAAACGCGTCCATGAATTAGCACTTAGTTAGTTCAACCACCCACTATGCCACCAATTCGCTCCCGATCCTCTAGCAATTCAGCAGAGCAAGAGGGTAGGATTTTATTAGCTATCCAGGCTTTTAAAAATAAAGAAATCTCTTCAATTCGCGAATTGGCGCGTCGTTTTAATATACCGCGTACAACTTTACAACGCCGCCTTACTGGTGATCTCTTTCGTCCTGAAACACGCGCCAACAACCATAAATTGACTGAAACTGAGGAGGAATCTCTTGAAAAATGGATACTCTCTATGGATCTACGTGGAGCAGCCCCCGGCCCTCTATGGTACGAGAAATGGCAGATCTTCTGCTTCAAAAGCGTGGAACTACCCCAGTTCTTTCGGTCGGCGAAAAATGGGTATATAACTTTGTGAAACGGCGTCCTCTCCTCTCCTCTCGATTCTCGAAACGATATAATTACGAGCGCGCGAAATGCGAAGACCCTAAAATCATTAGGGAGTGGTTTGATTTGGTTCAAAAGACAATCCTTCAATTTGGAATCGATCCCGACGATATTTATAACTTTGATGAGACTGGTTTTGCTATGGGATTGACTGCAACTGCGAAGGTTATTACGAGGAGTGAATACTACGGTCGGAGGCCGGTTTTACAACCTGGAAATCGTGAATGGGTAACAGTGGTTGAATGTACGAATGCTTCTGGCTGGGTCCTTCCTCCGTGTATGATTTTTAAAGGCAAAGTCTTTATTAAATCATGGTTTGACGGCCTCCCGGGGGATTGGCGCTTCGAAGTTAGTCCTAATGGTTGGACCTCTGATGAAATTGGACTTCGGTGGCTTAAGAAGCTCTTTATTCCTAGTACTTCGCGTACGAAGGGGATATACCGGCTTTTAATACTTGATGGCCACGGAAGTCATTTAACACCTCAATTTGACGAAGTTTGCGAGCAAAATAAGGTGATACCAATCTGTATGCCTGCGCATTCATCTCATCTTTTACAACCTCTTGATATTGGTTGTTTTGCGGTGTTAAAACGTGCGTACGGTCGGATGGTTGAAACTAAGATACGGAACGGGATCAATCATATTGACAAACTTGACTTCCTCGAAGTATACCCTCTCGCACGAATTGAAGCTTTTAAACCGGAGACTATTAAAAATAGCTTCGGGGCAGCCGGTTTAGTCCCTTTTAAACCGGAGAGAGTGATCTCTAAGCTTAATATTCGGCTTCGAACCCCAACCCCCCTCCAAGCCGGGGGAGTGAATCAAGCCGGAATTTTACGCCAAAAACTCCGTTTACAGAGAAAGATCTACGTCGACAAGCTTCGTCAATCAAAGCTTTACTTCGTACAGGATCTCGAAGCCCGCCTAGCCCATCAGATCGTGCATTAAACCAGCTTATAAAAGGCTTCCAGCTCCAGCTACAAAGTCATATTTTACAAGCGCAAGAAATCAAGGAATTACGCGCCGCCAACGAGAAGCAAAAGCAAAAGCGAGGCAAATCCCGGAGTCAGATACAGGTAGAAGCAGGCCTTACAGTACAGGAAGCTTCTCAATTGGATACTGAGCCGGTGGAAGCAATTAAAGCACCTCCCTCCCCTCTACGAAGAAGCCCTTCGCCGGCTTTACAACCACGTACACGGGCCCCGCCAAAGTGTAGTGGTTGTGGTGAAATAGGACATAAGATTAATAGATGCCTAGCTAGATAGATGATTTTACTGTATTTAATTTAATGGCGTTTTGGTTGACATATTTGTATTTAAAATTGGTAGGTTGGGTCGGGTGGCCCACTGGCTTACATGGCCCACTCGCTTACCGAATACGTTATAGGTTTGAGTCAACCTTATATACATCAGCCAAAATGTAACCATCAAAATCCAATTATATTTAGACTTTGGGAGTCATACAGTGAAATATATCGCCTGTCTCTTTGTTGGGTCGTTGGTGTCATGGGATAATCTGCCGTCCTCTTGACCACATCAGGTTAGATCAGATTAGGGGGTCATTCCCTTGGAGACAAGACGGCAGGACATTCTATTTAAAATGAGAAATCATTTAAATGATCAATATTGGCAAGAAAGAGTGCTTAGCACTGTACTTGCAAAAAAGTTTTTTCTTTTCTTTTGTTTGTTTCTTTCTTTCTCGGTATTTTCTCATAAACCCGCTAGCAGCACCAGAATCTGAACACCAGGTGCCTGGGTTTTTTAATTTATACGCGCCTGGGTCATTTTCACCCGCAGATGAGTACTCAGTCACCCGGGAATGCATCTGAGTAATGTATAGCTCTACACGTGCAAGCTACCTAAATATGATATTGGCAGGCTTTATAAAACCGTTAGTATCCCTCAGTATTTGATTTAGGTTATTTTTCTCTCACTTCAAATACACCATGAATACAGGATAAATTTCGCTATAATCCCGTCCCCACCCAACCTAACTCTTCTCTCCCTCTCTCTCTTCTCTCTCCAATATGCCACGTATCCGTCACCATAGAAGGTACCACACATGGCCCCACTGCGGCTCAGAACTATGTATTCGTGAGCCCGCAGGCTTAGGAATGCATGTCTCCAAGTTAGGCGATGGCCCCGCAACCTATATCCCACTGTTTGTTCAGGAAGCCACGGCGCCTCCGCTCAGCACAGAAGAGTTTCTTTGCGATGATATGGGAATGCCCGAACTTTCCCGTCAGCCGAAACGAATGCCTCGGCTCTGGTTCCGATCATCGATTAAGGAGCGAAATGATCAGAGCTCGGTGTCGGGGTCGTCGGGGCAGACGAAACAGGTTTATCGGAGTGTTCTGCGTCGGTTGACACGTCGGCCGCTCTTGAGCAAGACTCGCTCTTTACTTGTTGTGCCTTCAAATATGAGATCTAGTGATTCATTTATAATGTCTGGTTTGATAACACCCCGTGATGTGGCCGAGCAGGCGGGTTTCTCGGACTCGGACAGAGGGAGGTCTTCTGTGGCTAAAGCCGACGCAGCAGGATTCACACCTGAAAGACGAAATCGGAGGTGTCATTCTGAGCAACCACGCGCATGGAGAGAACCGAGCGCTACATTGTGGACACTTCAGGAACAAGAAGAATAATCATCCTTGGTGGTGTTTTTTAGACTGTCTGTGCTTTTGCTCGATTTACATTGTAATTTTTGTTCGAACATGTTGTTCCGTTTATAAGGTTAGGTTCTGAAAAGGGGGATCTGAGCGAATTCCAAAAGGCTCGACGGCATGAAAGGAAGTCTGTGTAATTAGTGTCTATTGATAATCCAAAGACCCAAATGATCTCCAGTCAGGTACTGGTAAAGATCCGAATATCACCATGCAGAATTCAATATATATTCAAACTAGAAGTTTTAGCTCATCAATGAACACTCTTCTTTCACTATCTCCCGAGAGGATGCCCAAGTTCAAAATGGCATAAATTATAGAAATGCTGCAATCTGATTGTTGCAATATTGTACAAATGCCGCTGCGACTCCAGTGCCCCCTTCTTCTTTCCCTTTCATAGCTCGCAACAACTCGTCTCTTGGGCACGGGTGTAGATAACCCCAGGGCAGTATGTACTTTCCTCCATCATTAATTGTGAGATCACCAGAAAAAGCGGACCAGATTCCAGTATATGCCCCGAACTTAGGGGCATAAAGGAACGTCCCAAGAACAAAAGGAAAAACAGGCCGGCTATGACGCATGATATTTGTCTTGATATTTCCTGGGTTCTGTACCAAGCTTAATATCCCATCTCCACCAATCTGGCTTGCGAGAGCATCTGCCAGAAACCAGTTTCCCACCTTGGTATTGAGGTAGTTGCGTGATTTGTCCGCATCTTTCTGGAATAGTTCTGCAAGCTCTATCCCAGTCTCAAGCGCGAATGTATCAACGACAATCGATGCTGTCCAGATAACCCGTACACTGGCGATAGACGTGGTTTCAGCAGTGCTTCGTAGCATTGGTAGAAGTAGTTGAGTGAAAAGATGGGGCCCGAGACAATTAGTTGCCAATTGCATATCGTGGCCCTGGGGCGAAGTCCCTTGGGGAGGGTTGGAGACGCCAGCGTTGTTGAATAAAACATCCAGACGAGATTCAGCTCTGGTAAAGCTCTTGACTGCGGGTTTGATGGTTCTCAGATCGTCTAGCGATATAGGGAGAAAAATGATGTTTCCATCTGGGGATGTCGGGGTACACAAGCTTTTGATCTTCGCAATGGCCTCCAATGCCTTTTCTTCAGACCGACCGGCAAGATAGACTGTTCCTCCTACTCGATAAAGAATTCTGCATAGCTCCCAGCCAACTCCTGAATAGCCTCCAGTGACGATAAAGACTTTGCCTTTCTGACAGGGGAGATCCACTTCGGTCAGAGTAGGAGGGGGCGGGAAAATCTGCGACCAGATAACTCCCATACTGTTGTAATATTGAATTGTTTTATGTATGGAAGCTAGAGCAGACCTGGAAGATTCAGTGGAAATTAAGATGAAGTTCCTGTTTCCCACCGAACCTCTTGCTCCGTTTCTCCCTCGATATTCACCGAAGAGATACAGATACCACCTCGTAAGTATAAGGCCCAAATATTGACAATTTGCTTGCCTCCAAATCGTCATGCTATACTAATTGAGTCCCGGGGTTGTCCTGTTTATGCAAATCTTGTAATAAGTCTCTCACTTCGCACAAGTTGATTTAAAATCAGCCGAAACAGAGGCCACCACCTCCGGCATCCCAACTGGTGTTCTACAAATTGCGGTGCTAAATAAACTATGGTTCGTGTGCCAGTATATATGCCAATGCATGATCTCAAAATCTCCAAGGCCTATTAAATAAAATGCAGCTCATCTTGTCTTCACTCAAAGGCTACGAGAAAGTGGTAGGGCGATATCGGGAGTTTGGAAAGAACCCATTAGGTAAAGGACGTAGAAGTCGCATAACTCTGCTAGTTGCTAGTTAGTGATTACTGAGAGCAAGCCCCATGGTGGGGAAGAGCAGTATGTAAAGCGGAAGACCATTGTAAGGCGGCCTCTGTATATAACAAGCTCTAGAACTAAGCCAATTTAGGAAATTCTTGGAGTGTCATCGACGTACACACACCGTCACTACCGGGTACGTCTATTCTCGCGCATAATGATGAATTTCGGAAGGCACCAAAGGTTTTCGCTCATCCCAGCTCATCAGCCATTTTGATCGGCTTCTATGCATACAAACAGATAAATGCACAGAATAGATATCCAACAAACAAGGGGCCGACTTACTAGGCTTACGTCCTTTCCTGGACCTCATCTCGTGCCCCATGAAACACCCACCGCACTGTGTCCCGAGGTTATTCCGAATGAAAGCCCTAAAGCAAATTTACTCAATCAACTTAAGAATAACCGCTAGAAGTATTGCCACTGCTACTGCCAATGCTACCAGAAGCTATACCCACCTCCAAAATGGCACTATCGCCTTGTCTGGCCACTTTCTCGAGGTCCCTGCTTTTATGCTGGTGGGGTCGATATTTGCCCTTGCTTGGGCATTAAATTTCCGGAGTTGCGTCACTTGATTGATATGGTAAGGCCACAGAAGAAAGACGAGCAATCAGATCGCTCAAAATATCGCTACTACCATATATTCACGAGCTGAGAGTGGGCAACGTCTGGAATCACATGAAGCATAATTGTGCCTTCCTGAAGCATCCTCTTCTTAATATTCAAATCATGACAATAATTTGGATCGATGAGCGCACCCAGTCTCTACGTGTGCTGACTTGTTATGTAATACGTGGATCACAAGATATTTTGCCGCAAATTCTTGCAAACCCGAAGGTCCTTGGACACAAGGATATAGCGAAGAGGCTCAGAAGGACTTTTGTTGAAGCTGGATCTACGTTTTCTGGTTGGCACAATAATAGCTACTTTCTGGTATCTTCAAATAGCACTGAAATGCCCAAAGGTCATGAGCCTACTCTTCTGGAAATATCAACCGTGCGCAACCTGGGAGATGGTCAATGGCCTAACAAACAATGGAAGATGAACATCCATTCTTAGGGTTGCATACTTGGGCTGGAGCTGTGTTTCAACGGGCTACTGTCGCATTGTATCGACCCATAATTGTCTGCTGGATGATTGGTCATTATTTCTTTGTGTTGATATTTATACCAAATGACTTTGCTCTTATTTTCAACCGGGACAATGTATATGTAGTTTAGAAAGCGACCTCTGGATCTCTAGATAAGCGTTTTCCCGCGGGATCGAAGGCCCGCATAGACAAGACGACAAGGCCAATATTAATTCAGACTGTCGTGTGAGACTGTGTATAATAACCAAATATCTTTCAAGGATAACTTTTTCTAACCCAGTCGAAATCATAATAACCTACCCCACTTGAATACGTCAAGTGGACATGAAGCCAACTTGCCCTCAGCTAAACTATCCTTTTATGTACTAGCTTAGCTGACGGACTTCCAAGGTTGTGGGGGCAGGTGACTCAGTCACAGTCGCTCGGTTAGAACGGCATTCTAGAAGGACGCTAGAAGGAGAGTTTGGCAGGTTTTATTGGCGACGAGAAAGAAAATTGGAGCACGGGATTGTCTCATAAAGGCTTCTTGTTTTGGCATTCTTGTTTATATTAATTCCAACCCCGCGCGGTGACCCACTTGGGCGGAACGATGAAGTCACGAAACGAGGAAATAAATATGAAAGGCTTTCATATATGAACAGTATATGGAGTACGGAGTACTCCGTACGTTTACGCACATTCCGACGGAAAAAGTGCAGATTGTAGACGTGTCATTTCAAATACGGGATGCGGGACGTGAGAAAGGAGGCCTAGACGTGTCAAGACGGTCAAGATGCGGTGAATCTGCGGGGTCCGAGGAGCGGAAAGAGGAGGCTCCAAGGCAGAAACAATTGCTGATTGGCTGGTGGGCGGGCGATAGGGCACTTTGTCCCTCGGAACCTCCAAATCTCACCGACAACAAAAAGTCGCACTAAACCTTACAAGTGGATCCTCCAACTTCCTATTTTCAACTATTATTGGTTGGGGTTTGGACAGGTCCATCGCCAAGTCATGGAGTATGAAGCTGATTGGTTGTGTCTCTGCCGAGGGCGTTCCTTTGCCCGTGTTTGACGACATCATAGCGACAATGTTGTACTTCGTGCTGCATCTTGGTTGGTTGCCCTACGAGACTGCCCCTCCCCCGAAGATCCAAACTGGGAAATTACTTGATTGTTTCGAACATAAATAAACCCTTCCCGCAGGCTGTTGGATTTCTATTTCTCATCCTCCACTTCATATTCCAAGTGATGCACACTCAATCCAACATCTACCCCAAGAGATCGCTCTCCCAAACATCAGCTACCTCAACCTCCTCCTCCTCCTCTCACACTAGCCAGTTCTCTCAAGAGAAGAAGCGCTCCAGGTTGTCGAAGCCTATATCGCATCTCTTCCGATCCAAGTCTCCTGCACCGATTGATACCCCCAAAAGTCACCAAGACAAAATGTCACAACCTCGAGACATCCCGCAGAGCTATCACAAATCTTCATACTTCCCGGACCAAGACTACACTTCAACCAGCCCAACTGAGATGTCTACCAGCATGGGTTCACCAAAAGTAGACAGCCCTAAGCGCGCATCTACCCCCACCCGCAAGAACAGCGGTGACTACAAACGCTACAGTGGAACTGTCAACCACTACGGTCGTCACTCCAACGACTGGCTATTCGGCGGCTTCAGTGTTCGCGAGACTGTTCGTGATAGCCTCGATAAGCTCCGCAACCAGGACAAGGAGAGCTGAATGAATCTTCCTGCTCTGCCATCTCAAATACGTCCAATACGTGGATCCCCTGTCGGATCTACTCTGTCTTGTTTACCCTCTGGTTTACATTCATCTTCCGATGACACCCACCCCGACCATTCGGCGCGAACCAATACCTGATCCGCCATTATTTGAAAGCTGGTTTGCTTCAAGGCCTCGAAACAACGTGTGGTCTGCCCTGTAGGGGTGTGACTACACCCGGGCGTCAACCACAGCGTCCGCATCAGTGAATCGTCTGTGACCCTACTTTGTTTTCAGCTCGATCTCTGCCCTCATTCTGTGTGGCCGCCCGTTACTTAAATTGTACCGGTCGCTACTTGTGTTCTCCTGGGCCTTTCTGGTTCTTGAATATTTCATTCTTCTCGTTGTGCCATGAACGGTGTTGGATTTGATATCTCATTGTGTGCACTATTCCATTCTCTCGCGGTATACCATCGATTTGATTGTGATTAGAACAGACTCAGTTGCGATCTTTTATTGATCTTTTATCAAATGAAACTTATATACCATGAAATGTTGTTGCAGAACATATGTACCAACCAAAACTACTAGTAGTGCCCCAATTAATATGCCATAGTAATAACGAAGTTCCATCCTTACTACGAACTTTGATTCATTATTCCTGCTATATAGAATTCGTTATAACCGGGTTTTACTATAATGCGGAATATAAAGCCCATCATCCCATGCTACCCCTGCAGGAACTGATTTATACCCCGCCGGGCCCGGTCCTGGCCCTAACCCACGTAAATGACGAGTTTCATTATATTCACGATGGAGGTCTGTATATTTTCTACTTTTATATGATTTTATCGAACCTAGAATCACCATTTGAATCACGGGGTCGGCACTAGCAGGGATATTTTGCATCCGCCATTGGCTGGTCAATCCTGGCGACAGCCCCGCCTGGGCACTGTATGAATGGGCTAAGCCTCTCTGCCCAGCCTCAAACCTCTCACCCCTCTGTCGCGCAGTTATTTAAATTCCACAAGTCCCCATATCTTACAAAAACTCGCTAACATATTGGTGAATTAATAGTCCTCATGTCCCAAGCGCTCACGGCCGCCGCGCGCCTAAAGCCCGAGATCCGCCTAGCCCAAGCTGTTTCGGAGTTTGAAGCCGATCTGCCCGGAGAACAGAAAGCGGTTTTTCGCAATAATAGAGCCAAGACAATATAATCGGCACCAAATACTCAAGATGTCATGCGTCTTACTGCGGAGATCGATCATGCCTCTGGACAAAATGGCCGCTGTCTTGGGCCCAGGCTTATGAATCTCCTGCAAGCAGTTCAGAAATTCGCTGCCCTTGGTGATGTAATTGTGGGAGGATCACAAAACCTGATTGCGTGCGGAATTTGGACGATAGTTCGAACGTCGTTGCAGGTAGGTGTTTCATCGCTCTCATTAAATGAAGCTCGGATCTTTTAGCGGGGACACCAATAGGAATCTAAATACAGGCCCTCATTTCGCTGACTGTCTGATTACTAGCTTCTGACAACATTCTCATCATATCTTGAGAAGTTGTCCATGTTGTTTATGAAGGTTGGTCGTTCAGCCCCTCGCTTCGAAAGCATGGCTCTGCTTTATCCTCGTTCCAGGGATTTGCAGTCATCACTTTGCGAATACTTTATTGTGGTTGTTCATCTCTGTCACGAAATACTGCAGTTCACCCGCAAGTCAAATCTAAAGAAGTTTGGTTCATCATTATCCGATTCGAACTTGAACAAATATCAGTCTGATCTTGAATCCTGGGGGAGTACGATCACGGAGGAAGTTGGCCTTCTTATGGCAGCTAGGATTGAGGAGGAAGCCAATAGAAACTCTAAGTTGCGAGATGTTTCGTCTAAATTCTTTCGGACAGCCTCAACCCAGCAAAAAGTCGTGGCTAGACAGCGAGTTCTCGACATATGCACCAAATTTGACCACTTGGTGGTGTGGAAGCAGATTCGAAAAGCTGGAAACACAAATATCTTTCGCCAGTGCCCACACTATCAAAGGTGGATAAGTATGACAACTTCGAGCTCACTCATTTATACGGGCAAGCTTGGAGCTGGCAAGTCTGTATTGCTTGCCAATATAGTCGAAACCTTGCATCTGCAGGTGCAAGATGAGGCTATACCGGTGGCCTTCTTCTTTGCCCGACATGATATTTCGGAAAGTTTAAAAGCACAAACTGTGCTTGGTTCGATTGCGCGACAACTCCTTGAACGAGTTTCAGATCTTACAAAGCCGGCTGAGCTACTCGAGCGCATAAACAACATGGATCCCCCCGAGAAAGTCTTTGCTCTCCTCCAATCCGCTTTCCCGCAAGGATATAGGGTGTTTATCGTAATCGATGGAATTGATGAACTAGGCCAAGAAGAACGAGAATTGTTAATTCTACACCTTCACAAACTTCAAAGAACGTTTAGAGTTTCACTTTGCGTTTCGCTTCGGCAAGACGCAAACGACCCGCTAAAGATCGGCTCGGAACATCTTTCTACTGTTACGACAACTTCGATACCCGAAAATACATCCGAGATCGAAGTCTTCATTTCACAGGAATTACAGAGATGTATCGAATCCAAGAGGCTCATTGTTGGAGATATATCCCTGCTCCTTGAAATACAGGAGACCCTTGCCAAATTCTCACAAGGCATGTTTCTCTGGGTAGCTCTTCAAATTGAGTCCCTGTGTGCTATGAAAACCGATGAGGCAATTTCTCAAGCTCTCAAGGACCTCCCGAAAGGCCTTTCCGAAACATTTGGGCGCATCTTACAGAGATCGCAGAGACTTGGCCATTCCTATCAGAAGTCGATACTAGAGCTAGTGACTGTGGCTCAGCGTCCACTCACATTAGAAGAATTGCGTGAGGCATTGAGTGTAGCTCCAGGGGACACAAAATGGAATCCAGCACGGCTTCTCAATAACATCCATAGCGCCCTAGCATGCTGTGGAAGCCTTGTTATTATCGATGAAGAGGAGTTGACCCTACGTCTTGTCCACCACAGCGTCAAGCAATACCTTCTTACTGAGTTCAAGGATTCAACTGGTGGGCCAATCACGAGTGCTGAGGCACATGCAAGGATGTCTGATATCATCGTGACTTATCTGAACTATCCCGTGTTTGATCGTCAGCTTTCAAAGTTTGTCGTCCCTGAGATCAAAACTGACGAAACGATGAATGGCATCATTCGGTCTACTCGGTATTCCTTGGACTCTATTAGCAGCCTTGCGTTGAAGCTTCTTCGATCGCAGAATGACTCCGGTTTCAACATGGCGAAGGTACTCGCGGAAGCGAGAGCCGCGCGCTTTCGTTCAAAAAATCAATTTCTCTTTCGTAATTATGCGATGCTTTACTGGCAGTCTCATATCTCCCGGTCGTTGCCACTAGATTCCACAAGCAGTGGGCTTCTTGGGATGCTATTCGAGCGGAAAGCCTTAGACCCTGTTACAATGACGGATGATGAAGCATCGCTCCTGTTCTTCCGAGCGGCAGAAACAGGCAATTTGGCTCTCATTGAACACGTTATTAGCTCAAACCCAGGTTTAAATGTGGAAAAGACGAGGAATCGGCAGGGACAAACAGCATTGCACGCAGCTACTTGGTATGGAGCTGAAACCACGATCCGGTTCTTACTTCTTCGGGAGCCTACCGGTCTACTCGCCAAAGACTTTGATAAGAACACGCCTCTTGATCTAGCAATTATAAGGGGCCATGTATCCCTTGTCAAGATTTTTGTGGATTACTGTGATTCGAGTGTCGACACGACCTACTTGATTATCGAATCCTTGCGCCGCCATATTTACCTCACAGGTAGTAACTTCAACTCTGATTTGATTGGCGAAGTACTACTTGTGGGAGCACGTAATGGAAATGCAGAATTGATTAGGATGTTTCTCCACGACAGCCGGGTGGATCTTGCTCTGGGGCGTTGGGTATGGAGCGCCATATATGAGGCAGTGAGGCGGGTGAATTGGTATGTTGTTGAATTGTTGCTCGAATATCCAAAGATACCGCGACTTTCGGATCGTGAGGTACAATGCGGGTGTGATCCACTACATCAAGCTGTAAAGGCGGGGAATAGGACAATTCTGGAGGCTTTGATTGGGTCCTGGCAGTTGAATATTGATTCGATCAACCAAGACGGCAAGACGGCGCTCCATATTGCAACTGAGCTTGGTGACCTGGAAGTGGTGCAGCTACTAGATTCTTTTCCTGGCGTGCCTGTTGTGCATGCGACGGGAATTCCGAACCGAACTCCAGCGCAGTGGGTTCCTTTGTCTAGGCATGAGGAAGCAGGAGAGTTGATGGGCCAAAATGTGCTCAGTGACACAACCACCAACTCGAAGATCGAGACTGAAGGCTCGTCTAGGTCACAGAGAGAAGCTAGGCGTGACTACATACCGGTTCATTATTTCGCGGAAGATGGCGATACTTCCATGGCCAGTGTTGTTCTTAAATCTGCTCCCAGCTTGGTCCACAAACAGGATCACGAAGGACGAACCCCACTACACTTGGCTGCAATGAACGGCCATTTGCATCTTGTTAAATTGATACTTGCCATTGAGAACGTGGATCTCTCTCCTATTGATGATCGGGGCTATTCACCTAGGGACTATGCGATGCGACATGGCTATGCTACTATAGTGAGATTACTGTCTTGACCATTCCACACTGAAGAATCAACTCACCAGCCTGAGGCTGGCAGGATATATATCAAGAAAAAGGGGGAAATAAAACGTAGACCAATGGACCTATAAGATATATATAGGAACCTATCAATGTAGTTACAGATTCTATAGATTGAAATATGGACAAAATGTCATAAATGATACAGCACATATTACTTCAAGAGACGAAGTCAGACACAATTGGTATTAATCACATCCATGGATATAGTCTTGGCTTAGATAGCCCAGATGGTCCAATATTCCCATCAACCAGCCAAGTGGTCGAGCAGTAACTCAACCATCGCATCTTCCTTGGTCTAGTGGTGATGATTTCCGCTTGTCATTAATACCGATAAGCGCGGGAGACCGGGGTTCGATTCCCCGAGGGAGAGATTTCTTTTTTTCATTTTTTTTTTCATTTTCTTCTTACTTTTTTGTATGCCAGCCAATGAATAGTATGAATTATTCTTTCTATTAAACCGCAAAATAGTATGAAATGTGAGAAGTTTCTGACGGAACTTGTTTGTATTAGGACTGACCACATTGCGGGCTGATTGAGGCTCTGCCCAGGTGGACACCCCCTGCCCCAACAGTGAAGGGTAAAAAACCCCTCGGATCACTCTCTATTTACATTTATTCAGGCAGATGTGCGCCATCCATGGATGTGACATAGTGTGACATACTAATAGTAGTGAGGCTCCAAAATCTGGTTCGGCTTCTGCTACGGGAGCCTAGAGGAGCCTAGAGCCTAAGAGACTAAATAAACTAAGGGACTAAACACAGTGTGCGATTTTTATTTAAAACATAATGTCTGCCACTTTTGGTCTCTAGTCCAAAATCTCGCTACTAAAAAAACCATGGGCTTTCTGTCTTCTCTCCGTTCGACAAGGCCTGATTTGTTCGAGGACAGCGATGGATCCTCCAAGTCGGAAGAGCCCCTTTCTCCGCTCCATGCGGCAGTTGATGCGGAAGATGTGGACCAGTTGCGCCGATTGGCCGTCACCGCGGACCCTGTCGATCTGACTGCCGCTTTATATCGATCTTGCCAATGGGGTAAGATAAACAGCGCGCAGGCTCTGCTTGAGACCGGGCGATGTGATGCCAACGCGGCGGTGGAGGGAGACACGGTTTTATTCTTGGCCGCGAAAAAAGTCGACTTGGTCATGGTCAGACTCCTGCTTCAGCATGGGGCCGATGCCACAATCAGGTCCAAGAACAAGCGGCCCGGAGACAAGCCCCCAGCATTTACACCCCTCCACGGAATGGCGGACAGCCTGCGTTCCTACGAAAACTTGGAAGACCTGCCCCGCTACGAAGCGCTGATACAGTTACTGCTGGATGCAGGGTGCGACGTCAATGCACAGGATGCCAATGGAAATACCGCGCTACTGCTCTCCGTACACAATGAGACCGCCCTGGTTCCATTTCTCCTGCAACATGGCGCGGACCCGAATATCGCAGAGGACGGGGGAGGCACCTCTGCGCATTTCCTCCACCACCCCATAGATCACCCAGAGTGGTTCAAAGGCCTTATGGCGCATGGAGCCCGCCTAGACATTGTTCGAGAAGGCGGCGACACCCCGCTGCATGCCTATGCGTCTAAATGGCAGCTGGACGATCTGTCGCTGTTCAAGCCCTTTGTGTCGGATTGGTCGATTACTGACGGCAATGGCAACACACTTCTTCATACCGCCGCTGCGAAGCATCTTCCCGGGAGCAAAACCATAGTGGAATTGCTGAAGGTCGGAATTGACCCGAACCAGAGGAACCATGAAGGCCAACAGCCAATTCACATGGTGGAGGGCTTCGAACAAAGTGTCCAGGAAGTATTGGATATTCTCTGCGCAGCCGGTGCAGATCTCGAGGCTAAAGATTATCGTGGATGCACGCTTCTCACCAAGGCCATGCGCAGCCCGCAGTGGAATTGTCGCGAGCTCCTCCCCCACCTCATCAGTCGCGGTGCCAATATCAACGCGCAGGATTATAAAGGCAACGGGATTCTATCGTATCTGATCAGACCATACCATTTCCAACCCGAGTATTTGGACTTTTTACTGTCCCTTGGAGCAGATCCAAAAATGGTAAATTATGAAGGAGACACATTCCTGCATCAGCTGGCAGCCAATTTTGCTACTATCAACCAAGATCAGGCACTTTTAGTCATGATTCAACTTATCAAAATGGGCGTCTCCCCGACAATTCCCAATTTCCGAGGCCGGACGCCTCTGCATATGCTATGTAGTCAGTCCTCAGACCATTTGTTCGCGGCGACCGCAGAGGGAGGCAAGTCTGCTGTCGATTTACTCCTGGATGCGGGTTTTGTTTTCGCTCTAAACATGGGTGATCACCAGGGAATCCGACCTATTCACCTTGCCGCCACAGTTTCGGAGCACCTGGTTGGTAAATTACTCGATCGCGGGGCTGATCCAACAGTTTCAACAAAGGATGGCCGCAATCTGTTGCATATTGCGTCAACCGCGCGTCAAAGTAACTGTGTTGGACTGATCTTGGCCCACTACGACCCCAAGGAGCTGGCTTCAATGCTCAATGCGCAGTCGGAAGATGGGAGAACGCCGTTGCATGTAGCCTGCCGTTCTGGAAGACTGGAGAGTGTGAAACTCCTCCTCGCATACGGAGCAGATGTCAAAATCGAATGCAAGAACAATCGTACCGCTCTAGATGCATGTGCCGAGTCCATTGACGAAGACCAGCTCTGGCAGGTGGCCGACGATCAAGGAAACATGATGAACACGCGCTCCGCGGCAGGTATTTTGGCAGGCGACAACAATCGGCCGACACAGCCCGCATCAAATATGAAGCAGACTCGTAACAATACCAAAAGTCTGGGGTGGAAAGGAGAAATCACATCTGAGAGTTCGACACTCGGAATTGGACGAATCCTGCGAGCATTGGCATCTCATGGTGCCTTCGCATATAAAAAGGAATTTGGCGGTGGCCCCATGTATAATGCGGTTGCCGAGGGAAACGAGGAAATGGTCGTTGAATTGGACCGGTTATCACGAGAAATGAGCCTTGAGATGGAAGATTTCCGCCCTTCCAATACTGAATTCTATCTGCTGCGGTCTCAGCACCTCCCGGACCTCCTTCAGGAACAATTCAAGGAGTATGTTTCTGAACGGAATGTGCTCCCAATGATCTTGCTCGGCTACCACGAGGAGGTTGCACAGGCACTGGAGAAGAACGCTTCGATTATCGAGGACAAGTCCTCCATGCCAGCGCTCATGACCTCGCTCGCGAGATGGGGATTTTCGGAGCTCTTTAGCCGGATTGGCAGCACCATGACCGGCAACTGGATCAACGGCGACCCCAATCCTCGGGCCAAGAAGCCGACTCCATATCTTCTGACGGCTGGTCAGCGAGACCTTCCTAATTTGGATGTTATTCAGGTCATGGTCGAGAAGTTCAACGCGGATGTCAACATCAGATTTGAGGCGGGCATGGTCGATAAGCCCAAGGTATACTACCAATCAACCATGGCACTGAAACGGCATTACAAGCCGGGTGACACCATCCTTCATCAACTGGCCCAAGGTACGCACTGGTGGTATGAAGGAGCCATCCAGTACCTCTTGGAACATGGAGCCGACCCCAACGCCCAAAATGACCAGGGCAAGACGCCCTTATGCAATGCCGTTTCACGGGGAGAGCTCGGCGGCCACCGCCAGCTTGAAATCACCAGAATCTTGCTGGAGGGCGGCGCCGATCCTAACATCCCTGCGACGTGTGGCTATACCCCGCTGGCCATGTCGGCGCATGACACCCAGTTGTTCGAATTACTTATCGAACATGGAGCATATCCCTCTCAGGACCACCCTATGGAACTCTTCGTTGCATTATATAGTTTCAACAAAGACGTGGTCTCCGCTCTCTTGGAAATGGACCTGGACTGCAACACGACGGTGTTATCTGATGCGCAGCCCCATTGGCACACCCACCGTTTCAAAAAGGTTCCAGTGAACCATGGGCTCGTCCTAAGCCCTCTTATGTACATCTCAATGCTACCATTTAACGAAGCCAACAGCCGTGACCACGCCTGTAGGATGATTCGATTCCTGCTAGAGCGCGGGGCAGATCCCTTCCTACCTTGTCACGCGAACCAAGTGGTCCTCCACGAGATTTTCGCCAGCGGAGGAATCATCCAACCGTGGTTAGATATAACCAACCTTGACCTCGAACGGCGCGACCCTGCAGGAAGAACGCTGCTACTGGCAGCGGCGAGCTGTGCAACTGGAACTGACTCGTATGCCTGCACGGTCTCGGCGTACCCACTTCGAGGTGGTCAAATTGGACTAGCGCCCTGGAAGGAGGGCGACCCTACGCGTGCAATGACGCTGTATGAACGGGGAGCGGACTTAACCGCAGTAGATTACGAAGGAAATAACGCGTTGCATCATCTCGCTGATGTTGACTGCTCCAATAATCACTTCGCGATGATTGAATTTCGACGGACATTGGCATTGTTTGTGGATAAAGCACCGGAATTGGTACACCAGACCAATGTGCATGGACAGACGCCCTGGTCGATTGCCGCGGAGAAGAATTTCGAGGAGTTCATGGAGATTTTACGGACAGATGATGTGCGCGCATAATGATAGTCCGAAATATGTGACTATCGAGGAGGGGTGTGAGGCATTATTGATCCCAAGCTAGCTATTTAAGATGATTTGGACATGTTGCCAGGGTCGGCTTCTACATCATGTGGCAGAGGAGCATCACGCATATGATTTCAAGATTGTCTTTTGGGAATTTTCAAGACACTCTTAGAGTGCATTGGGGAGTCATCATGTAACGAGAACAGCAGAGACCACAGGACCCTCTGCCTCCCGCAAAACCTATGTGTCTCCGTTTCGTGGGATTCCTCTTTCCAAAGTTGATATATCGTCGCCTTCCCAACTGGTCTTCCATTCATAATTAGATGAACTTTCCAAGCCCGTTGAATGCGTCGGTTCGTATGTTATTCCAGGCACTATCTCTTCATGTGTTTGGTCCACTGGCACACGTTCCACATCCCCATTTGGCATGCTCTCGTTGGTGAGCTCACTGCGATGGGTAGTCGTACTAACACTAGAGAGTCGGCCCCAATTGCTCAAAGTTGGACACCAACCATTTATTATCCTACACCTTCTCCCTTCCGGCCAGGGTAGTTGGGTGGATCTCTTAGCTTCACTTGGCCTCTTTCTTGGCCTCTTTTCTGGACACAGGATGGAATTTTTCCGGCTCAAGGCATACAATATCGTATCGCACAGACCAGACAAGGCCATCATCGAGCCCGCGACGCAGAAGTATGTGGCACTAAAGGTATGACCGGCTGTAGACGCCATCCGTCCGACGGCGAGAGGCAACGTCAGCGTGATATACACGACCGGGTATAGCACCATGTAGCTGTTGACACGTTTTAAGCGACAGAGACTATCGGTATTGCTGCCTCCTAGCGTAACACAATCGGCAATTCTGCGCTGGAGGTAAATGAACATAATAGCATGGAGCAGTAGCGTAAGAAATTGTGCGGCGAAGATCCAGAAGTAGTGTGTCCACAGTCGCAAAGCTGGGTGTTGAGTTGTTATCCAACACTAGAAGAAAAGAGATCAGCGATGTAATACAAGAACCGTGCGCCAATGGATCGGGAACTTACCCATGCGACCGAAGGGAACCAGACATACCGACCGACGGTCGCGATGGGAATGACGACCATCAACACGCCGAATATCCATAAACTGACGATCACACCCACGAATTTCCGATGGCCCAACTGGAAGTCCAGCACGATATGTAAAAAGGTATAGACGGAAATGGCAAACACAAACACCCCACTCATCGGATTTCCTGCCTGCAGCCAAATGCCTTGCATGAAACACGAGGCGTCGGATGCATGAAGGGAGTTGGTGGCAATCCACCGTAAACTGACAATGAAACCCAGGCCCTGTATTAAATCTGCAATTGCCAGGTTATATACAAGGACGATATATTGGTTGTATCCGATGTATCTTCGATAATATCTGCGCCAGAAAATGAAGCGATAAGTAAGGAAAAATAGCACCGAACAGATCGCCACTAGCGAAACGGAGGCGACGGTTGAAACTGCAATCAGCCCCTTTCGCTGTATTGGAGGTAATGGATCGATCACACTCGCCCCGAGAGGTGAGGTGGCCGGATCAAATTGTGACGGTTCTTTGCGAGACTGGAGGTTCTGGCCGTTTGAGAGCAGCCACTTCGCATAATTTGACATGGTGACATGGCAATCGGTGGTTGGGAACCAGAGAGCTTTTGACTCTACGAATGGATTCAGCACGATATAAATAATATAAATACACATACCCCACTTGAGATATCTCGGTAGTTATAGCTAGGCCCTCTAGCCCGTGGATGCATGAAATGCTACCTTAGGTAGGTCATAGCACATGTCCAGGTATGATTCACCGTATAGGAACATGAGCTTTTCAAAGTTAGTTAGTCTGAAGGCGACATCTGGGGTATAAGTTTGGCGCTAAGCTTATTTAAGCAAGGTATTGGTGGGGAATATGGGGAATGGACCAATTGAATGTACATCATTAAGGGCGGTGGGTATTAGCTTCAACCTTCGAAGAGAAACACGAATGAACTGATCATAGATTCGCGAAACTTAGTTACTTATTCTTGCTTCTACGTCATCCTGTATTTTGCGGCTTCTAAGAGGGAAAGTTGAAAATCCAACTTAAGAAACTACGATTCAGTGCTTCTTTCTCACTCCATACTCAATACGTGTGTACTGCTCCTTCTTTCTCCCGCTTCGGTCAAGGTCATTTTGTTGGAGTATGTGAAAGCATGAAATCATGAAGGAAGACGGGATCACATGGGCCGACAAGGTTGAGCATAGGGGGCCGACTAATTCCGAGGTAGTCTTACCTTACCGTCGCCTGCAGGGCTTTCCGGAATTGGACATCCCATACCTGGAACGCAAGAAGTTCCATGGACTTTTCCGTAACAACAAAGTCCTTATCTGTCTCCTTTTTCTCACGAAGATAGACGTCGCGAAATTTCACCTTGAGTTCTCTACTGACCCTGGAACAGTTTGGCGCTGGGTTGTGGATGATCTCGATCTGTTGAGCAGGAATCCGAAGGTCCATGCTCCCGCCAGGCCGTGGATTCTTTCCCCACTGTTCGATAGTAATTCGGCTACTAGCATGGACAGTCATTGCGCTCGCGACCTTGACTTGGCCTTTGGGACTCTTTGAACCAAAATTCGATATCTTGCAGGAGTTTTCGTCGTGGTTCAGACCACGCTACTTCGCCAACCAAACTTGGCCAGTCTTGAAGTTTTCCGCTTGACGAATCGATCGGTATCCAGGACATGACTCCTTTCTTGGTTATTGTCCCTCCGCGGAAACCGGCTACGCCTGTATCCACTATGGAGGTATCGTCGAGACTGTGCCAGGCCCGGAAAATCTGATTCAGCGCGCTGGCAGCCGTTGCGTGGGCATGCGATCTCACTTCTACAACATCGGACTGTGAGGCATGGTTGTAAACCTCCGATGATAGAACAAGAAGTTTCTCTCCGGAATCGATGAAGCATTCATTATAAGAAAGTTCATCAATATCCATGATGAAGTAAGGATTGGATGTGCCTCTAGATGATTCAGGCTTATAACAATCTATCTCTTGCCCCATAACCCTAACATATTCGTCGATTCCCCCATGGTTGTACTTGTCTCTTGGTATCGTAGAGTAGATGAATTTCTTTTTGTTACCTGACTACATATCCTTCTATAACACTAAGGAGGATGAACACCCTGGGTGAATATCATTTATGTACGGAGATACCGCCTTCCATATCCGGAACCAGGGGTCAACTCCAAAAATCGCCAAGCCATGACGTCAACCCCCACACGTTGTCAACATGGGGTACGCGCTAGGCCAACGTCTGCTGCCCAGATGGTAAGCAATACCAAGCTTCTCCCTCATCAGTGAATTTTCGCCGATAACTGTTGAAGATGAGCCATGGATCACAAATGCCGGGACAATTGGACGACGAGAGCCATGATCTCACCCAGACCCCAGAGGAGCTTGGTCCCCTCCGTGCACTGAGCCCGAGACCAGCCAACACTCAATGGAAGGCATCGTCACAGGCGGTAGAGGAGACTCTAGCTAAGGGTCTATCCAATGAAGATTTATGGATGTTGATCCGACGATTTAACAAGGTTAGTGTGGTCTCTACTGTTGAGAATAATTGCTGACATGGGACCAGCAAATCTACCATGTGAAAGCGGTTCATGATACCGCTGCTCTCAACTTGGATCTCAATCGCACCGAAAATGAGCAGTTTCCGCCCGAAAAAATGCGCATGACGCTAGAGAGGTTTTATATTTCCGTGGTTGTCGGAGTGACCGAGTTTTTCCGCCATATCACTCGCCTGCGCTCGTGGAAGGAACCGGCGAGGACGACAATATTCTGCGCGGTATGTGGATCACAGCAAGCCGGGTCCTGTATAATATATTAATCATTCACAGGGTTATTTCATTGCCTGGGCTGTGGATCTCTTGGTTCCAACCATTTTGGGTATTGTTGTAGCTCTGATAATGGTCCCTCCTGTTCGGGTATTACTATTCCCTGGGTTGGCAAAAACAGACGGTTCAAATGGAAGTAGTCCTCCGGGAGGAAAAATTCAATCCGAGGATAGTCTCACGGGCGCACCAGAAAACCACAAGGGTGAAGCTGCTGAACAAGAAGCCAAGAATATGGTTGATAGCTTTGCTACTGTTGCTATGGAGAGTGCAGCGGCCAAATATGGCCAAACAGTCACAGAAGACACCCCCGACAGACCTGCGCTCATTGAAAGCTTAGATGCTGCCGAGACTGCAGCCGGAACCCCGACCGGTGATTCTCCTGAGGACAAGACCAAGAAGCCCATGAAGAAGAAGGTATCACACGCGACTGATAATGTCATGCGTATTCTGAGCGACATCACCGATATATATGAGAAATTTGCCAAGTAAGTCCATTTTGGAAGGATGTGTGACCACATATTAACGATATGACAGCATCCTTTCTCCAACACCCCCGTTCCTTTTGGTTACATCTAGACTTCGTCTTGCGAGTATATTTACCTTGGTGTCTGTTATTGTACCTTTCACATCTAGTTATTGGATCATCAAGCTCGTTGGCTTCGCACTTGGACTGGGCTTCTTTGGAGACCCAATTTTCACCTACACCCTCGATCTGCTGAACGATAAAGTACCGAACTGGAAAGATCACCTCGATTTGCAGAAGTATGATATCACTCCTTTCTTTCTAGTTTTTCATTGCGTTGCTGACTCGAGACAGGACACTTTTGGCTGGTGTTCCCACAAATGCGCAGCTCACTTTGACCCTGCTTCGAATCGGCGAGATTAATTCTTCGCCACTACCACCTGCACCATCGTCTGATGATAATGAGCCGGTATGGCCCATTCGTAGGAAAAAGTCACAGGCAGCTAGCTCTACAGACGTCAGCAGACAGGGATCATCTGTGGACCTTCAGTCGACGAACTCTACCACATCGCTCCCGGAAACAAAGGTGCCGAAGAAGAGATTCGTATTCAAACTCTTCAAATTCTTTCGCCGCACAATTGCTACGGCCATCAAGGGCCATATTGCCTTTGACCGAGCCATTGCCATTGCAGGGTCAGCACATACCAAGAATCTGATTAGCATGCTGCAAAATGGACACTTTGCCGCAACCCCTTTCGGGCCCTTGAAGTTTGATGCGAAGTTCGAACGCAAGAGAGGCGCGGCGGTCATTGATTCGTCAAAGGAGCCTCCTATCTTGTATTTCACCACATATCAATCCGCTGGACTGGATGATCTACGCATTGAAAGCAGGAAGAAGGGAACCGTTCTGTTCCAGATTCCTGTCACCGAAATCAAAGAGCTTAAGAAGACCGAGGGACTTGGCTGGAAGGGGAAATTGATTGTTGAACTAACAGCTGGGAGTAAGGAGGCGGCAGATGGCCTGGTTGTTAGCGGTGATGAGGTGGGCCAGTCTTACCATCTTACTGGTATGAGGTCACGGAATCAATTGTTCAATCGGTTGGTTGCTATTGATGCGCAGTTCTGGGAAAGTCGTTGATACCTACATACATGTAAGTGTTTAGACCCGTGTTACATGTTGCATCTACTCTATTTAGGGTCTACTATCAGCCCCTGGGGTTCACATACACCTGGGCATGTACGTTGGATGGCGAACATTATATAACTTGTCACAAGCGACTTGGATGCCCGATTCAACCAATCAAATTTACTCTACTGCTGGCTCGGTGGTGAATACGAAGCTAGTCAGTGTTATAAAATAATCTCTTGAGCATTATTTGTGCTTTGCGGTGCTTTGCGGTGCTTTGATCAGCATATTATATGACTCTCTGCAAGGGGAATATTATTAATGTATCCACACATAACTATAGCCCACTAGAAGCACAGAGCTAGATACTTTTTGCACACCCGAATGAATGCAGGTTTTGTAGCAATGCTCTCTTTCATCTCAGCCTTTCGTCGGGCTCTGGTTATCTCAATTGGCTCCATCGACACCCCAGTCACCAGATCTGCTTCGAAAGCCTTGACGCGTCTAGATCGGTAATAAAATTTATAACCAAATATGCAAATTAAATAAACCGGTAGCCCAATATACTGCAAGATGAAGTTCTTGTAGTCAAACTCGACTAAGAAAACTCCAAATCCCTTTGTAAGTGTCAAAAGACACAGTATCAACAAGCCAACCAGGGATCCCCATTCTCTTAATGGTGCCCGGTAGGCGAATAAATTTGCTGGTACTTGTTGTAATTTGACCGCACGGGAGAAGTATATGTGGGTGACCAGTATGGAAATCCAGGTAAGCATGCCTGGTAGTTATGATGAAGTAATCAGCATTAGAAATTCTTGCACGAGACGTGTGTTATAAGAGGTCGAGATCTCACCGAAAGTGGAAACCATAGAAGTAAGATAACCGAACACGACCTTTGCGCCAGAGCTTGTGCTCATATATGCCAACAAGCAAAATGCAGTGGGGATGATCATTGCAAAGATTGGAATACCTCGATTATTTGTTCGAGTCAAAATCTTAGGTGCGTTCCCATCAGCGGCAATGTTATAGAGTGTTCTTGTGGCGATATAATAATCTGCTTGGTATTAGCCACTAACGAATCAAGATATATGAAAGCCAGGACATACCAGAAGTAGCCGCTGACAACACAAAAATCAACAGGCATGCGTTGATCACATGGTCCAGACCCCCTATCTTTGCGAGTTTGATGGCCACAACAAAAGGCGATGCGGCGGCGCTGGTGGTGGAGCTTGCCGCGAATGCCAATTCAGAGCTGTTGTATGGAACAACCATTCCGAGAAAGAGGACCGATAGTATGTAGAAGATAACGATGCGGAAGAATGTCAGCTTCACAGCTCGTGCCATGGCCAGCCTTGGATTTTGAGCTTCCGCGACTGTGACGGCCACCAATTCAGTTCCGCCATAGGCATATACTCTGAAAGAACAAGACATGTCAGCATTTTTGTGTTTTAATAGTGCATAATAAAGTTGAATAAGGTAGGATCCTTACGCTTGAACCATTGTACTCCATACACCAACAAACCTACCCAAGGAGCCTGTTAATTTGTACTCTGCGAAGGCGCCTGGGTTGCTCCAATATCGAAAGCCGGTTCGTTCCAAGCTGTCTTGGTCATTAGAAACCGATTTTTGATAGTTATTATTCACGGGGGGATACTGACTTGGCTCCACCACCAAGTGCCAAAACCAGCAGAAGAATAATAGCACCCGTCATCACTATAATTTTGAAGGACGATAACCAGAATTCAAACTCCCCAAAGGCTTTGACGCTGATAAAATTGATCACCAAGATTGCTACCAATGCGATGGTGATCCATACCGCTGGGTTGACTCTGTCTCCAGTCCAATACTGATAGAAAGTGTGAGTGTAAATGTCCCGCCCATAAGAACCGGATGAAATGAGGAATTGGTACCTCAATGATAAGAGCTATAGCCGACAACTGATTGGGGGTTGCAAGAAGATATTTGAAGAAGTATGCGTATCCCGTAGCAAATCCAAGAGCAGGGTCAACAAAACGTGTTGCATATCCACCGAATCCTCCTGAGGTCTGTTTTAGCACATCCAATCTATCACTAAAGATATTCACCGCGTGTGTACTTACGTGACATCGGAGCAAACGAGGTCATCTCTCCAAGTGCAGCCATAACCATGAAAACAATCACCCCGATTATGCTGTAGTCGATCAGAATTCCTCCAGGACCCGTCTGTGCTAATGCCGATCCACTAGTAGGTTGCGTGAGCTATAAGATCAAACATAAAGTTGCACAGGTGAGACTTACGTTCCGATTAGAAGGCCAGTGCCTAGTGCACCACCCATGGCTATCATGCTCAAGTGACGATCCTTCAGGGTTTTGTGTAGGTTCCCTTCCTCATCAGGAGGGATATCTTTAATAGAACCTGTTACCATATCTTCCACAGGAGGTGGTTCAACCCCAATCACATCTGTTTTGTGGGCCATGGTATGAAACAAAAGTGAAAAAAAAGACAATGGGAGTGAAGAGAGAATATAAGGTCCAGAGATTTCACTCCAGATACTTTTTGAATTCTTTCAGCACCGTAACTGACTTATGGCTGGGTGGCCACGGTTCTTAAAGACGCGGTTGCGATTGCCAATGCGATAGTCATTCAGCCAGTCCCCACGAGTCCTCCAGATTATGGGCTGTTATCTTTTGTGGATAGCCCTGGAGAATGAGGAGAATGTGGGTTTCGAATGATAAGGCTCGGGCTCGGAGCCCGAGCCCGAGATACCCCGAAACTACATTTTGGAACTCCGGGGAGGAAGGGTCTTTGTTACCTACTTATGTGCACGTACCCTTATTATGTATCTTTCAAACTCACATATCTGACATTATTTTCTATTATTCCATTTTCCGTTTGAAGCATAATGGGCATGTTCGAAAATGTCTTGCCAGGTCCCAAAGACCCAATGTTTGATCTGAAAAAGCAGGCAGACAACGACAAATCTTCAAGAAAGGTTGATTTGGGGGTTGGTATTTATCGAAACGAGGAGGGGAATTATCATGAGATAAATGCTGTTCACGAGGTAATACCCCAGCTTTGAAATGATCGATTTGAATCTGACGTTTCTCTGGTAAATCAGGCCAAGAGAATCCTATTTGAAAACAACCCAGGGCATGATGTATGTATAGACCTTTGATGCCAATATTTGGCTTGGAATCTAATGGGTTGGGACTAGTATCAATCAACTACCGGGGATCCAGAGTTCTTGAAGAGCGCGGCAGCTATCATGTTCGGAGATACATGTGAGGCTCTAACTTCCGGTCGAGTAAGTAGTTATCCTGGGAATTTGAATATGTGATGAACTTGAAAAACTCAGTACTAGCATGCTCACCGTTTTGCTCCTCTTTCTCACAATCTCCTGCTCGCAGGTTGCATCTGTCCAGACCATATCGGGGACGGGTGCCAATCATCTTGCTGGCGTGTTCCTCGCAAGATGTGGAACGTCGTCAAGCCCCAAGGTATACATCGGGACCCCAACTTGGGGAAATTATGAGCCACTTTGCTCATTGGCAGGATTAGAAGTGGTGAAATTTCCCTACTATGATCCCAAGTCCGCTACCGTGGACTTTCCCACCTTAATCGAACGGGTTTTGCAAGCATCACCAGGCAGTATCTTTATTTTACAGCCCTGCTGCCACAATCCTGTGGGCATGGATTTGTCTCGATCTCAATGGGATATGCTTGCTGATGCGATGAAAGAAGCGCACGTATTCCCATGGTTTGATATTGCTTACCAAGGCCTGGGAGATTCTCTGATAGAAGACGCTTATGCGGTGCGTCATTTTGCGGAAATGGGATTCGAAATGGCCGTTTGCCAATCTTTCTCTAAGAACTTTGGACTCTACGGAGAGAGATGCGGCGCCCTTCATATGATTTGTAAATCCGACACTATTGCTGCAAATGTCTATGATCAATTGCGTTGTCTGATCCGATGGGAAATATCATCTTCGCCGCTTTACGGATCACGTATTGTTACAAGCATCATCAGGGACACCCAGTTGAAGCAAACCTGGTGCGTATTCCTTTTGTTGGGGTAGCCCTTGGATTATTCTAATTATTTATAGGTCTGATGAGTTGTCAATCATGCGAGACCGTCTCCGCAGTAATCGGCTACAGCTTCACGAAGCCCTAAAAGGCGTAAGTTTGGAGAACTTATCCTCTAGCGTTTATAGACTGACAAGGGTCACGTTTCCAGAATCCCGGATCCTGGGATGTCATTATCAAAACCAAAGGTCTTTTTTGGTAAGATGAGTATTTCCCTCTTATAACCAGAATGTTGAAATGCTGAAATATTTTAGTTGCTTGCCTTTATCTCCACGGCAATGCAAGCAACTCCGCGATGAGCATCATATTTATCTGCCGGATAATGGCCGGATCAATATCTCTGGCCTAAACTCGTCCAACATTGACCGGGTGGCATCTGCGATTGTGGCCGTTATGCAGGATACAAATCGGGCTCATTTGTAATGCATTCGATTCTTCGTTTCCATTCACGCTTATAGACTAGAAATTTGAGAATTATTTCTAGATTGTTTTGGACTATTTTGGCTCTTGTAAGCTTACGGTAGGGCCTTGAGAGGTCGGTTAATGAGAAGTTGTCGGAAACAATACAGCTTCGTAGTCTGATAATGCGGCAGTAAAGTTGATAATAAATGATACTGAATTGCATCAACTTAAGAAAGAATTTCAACCTAAGGTTGTTCAAATGGTAACGACATAATCGGATCCCGGAACACATCTCCCCAATCTAACAGCCGCGCAATTTCAAGCATTTCCGATGGTGACAATCCGGCGTCCCCAACTGCATCGACAAATTGTGAGAATGAGGATGTCTCTCCAAAACTCTCATTGTGATGTGCATCATCCTGGACACCGACTTCTTCTGATAGGGCTGGATTTTGATCATCCTGGTCTCCGAAGAGCCGAAGCAGCTGTTGGAATATGTCCAATTCAGATTGACGATATTGGGCGGGCACTGAACCACGTTCGATCATCGAGTCCAGAACCTCCTTCGAACGATCAATTTGGGGCATATCATAGCCAGATATTTCTGGAAATGGGCAGATGCTTTTAATTAAGAGAAGGACAAATGCCGAGGAATATGTGCAGTCAATGTCAAATGGAAGAAACCAGTCTAGCCATGGGTTAACATAAAGGTACGATATCCGCATGTTTTTTTTTTTTTTCAAGAAACATACCAAGAAGACCCTGGGATCGTAAGGCTGAGAGTATTTGAAGGGATTTGTGTGCAGCTTCGAAGCATTTTCTAGTCAAAGCTATGATCGGATCGGTAAAGGTATGATTGTTGGAGGAAGTTGAGAGTCTTTGAAAAAGGATGTGCACAAGAAGCGGTCGCGTGGCTAGTATCACACACTAATTGAAATAGATTAATATCCTTGTCAAAGTCGAAGACCCATGATACACTGGAATGGAGACTACCTGGTGATAACAAAGATGTAGCGTACCAGTCGCTCTCGATATTGGTTCTCCGCTAGAACCATTTAGCTTGAACTGGTGCTCAAGATCTGGTGCGAGAGCAGCTAGACTGCGGAGAACTTCTTGCACACTTTTTATAAATGACTCATTCAATCGCCCATCTGAACCATAGACAGCTTAGAAGGGAAAAGGGAAGAACACGTTAGTTGAAGCTATCACACAGTGTGTCTTACAGTGGAAGAGGCACTTACAGTCAAGCACATTTGAAATAATTCGTGAAAGTCTGACGTGCATAGCCAAAGTCTTGCATCTGTGGTGTGAAATGTCGGAGTTAGGTAAGCCCATGGTCACATCGGCATCATTTATAGAGATCGGAGTCCCCATCAAGGAGGAAAATCTTCGATCTAAAATGTATAGTGTCCACCAAATAGACCGATATCGGGTATCTGACTCTTCAACCGAGGCTTCGAGGTCAACCTCACGATGCAGCCCTTGTGTTAGAGCCATACGGAAAGCGATTCCAAGCTATGTAGAATATTCGTTAATTATCTGGAAGTTTGTGAGATTGAAAGTACCTAGGTACTCTTGTAACCACTTACATAAACATAGGCATTGTTTCGGTGGTCTAAGCACTGCAGGTACAATGACGCCGCACATAAAATCTCCATAGAGAGTAGAGGGTCATCATATAAGCCTTGTATGTTTGGCAGAAGCTTCATTGCTCTAGCGAAGTAGACGACGCCTGATGGAGGCTCTTTGGCGGTCTTTTGGTTTAAAAATGACTTGCCGAATGAAATGACGAGAAGATATTGTATGTACCACAATTTGGACTTCGGAGGCTCCGGAACAGTGCAATCGTAGAATTGATAAAGGCCATCCATAAAAGATTTTTGATCGAAAAGATGATATAGCTGTGCAATGTGAAACTGAACGGTATTCATCAGGTAAATCGCATAATCTAACGAAGGTAACTCGGCCTTCGTGAATGGTACATCTCCAGCATTCGACCAATCAAACATGTATGCATTACCGTCCACATGAAGAGGTATCTCCGGTATGCTTGATTCGTTAAAATGCTGTTGAATATCAACTATTACCTGGCGAGTGTAGGCCCATGTTGACGAAGGCCCGAGGAAGCCTGCAAAGACGTCAGACCTAGGTAAAAGCAAACCTCTAGAGAAAAAGGAGCAACCCACGTCTCCGGCCGTTATTATCAACGCAAAACCTCGATCTTCCCGAATCCAATGGATTTGAGATACTCGTCTCAGGTCCTTCACTATCACACAAATCACCATGAGAACTTGGTGCAATAACAGGATCGTTTTGTTCCACGGTAGCCGCTGTGGTTGCCGTGATTGTTTCTTGGCCTATATCAAATGTTCAAAATGTTAATAGAGAAAGGACACCAGAAGCTTGGCAGCGTTGTCTCCAAAGACCGGTGTTCAAAAGAGGGGGTTTGGGGAAATAGAGTGGGTGATTCACCACTACCGCATGACCGGGCTCCAGTATCTCCAACGTTAGAGGTTCGGCTTTGTAGATCGGGAGAGATTTCTGGTCGTCTTCTTCTATTTGGGCTTTGCTCGCTTGGGTCTTCACGAGCTTTTCGTTTCAAATCATTTAAAAACCTAATGATGATCTTGTAAGCTTTTCTACTCGTGGGAAACGTGCAGCACGTACCTTTCGCTGACCGTGACCTTGCGGTCATCTGGGCCAAAGGTGCAGACGATAGAGCGTCGAACGCAGGTGGTACATGGAAAGGTGCCGGAGCACCGAACTTTCCGATCGCGACAGGTGATGCATCTACACTAAGTATCAGCGGGAATGAGGCTTGTAACCCAATGCCAAAGTGGGCCGTTACGCATTAACCCTGCGGGTGCGACGCAGGTCCTTTGATAAATCCCCATGATCCATCGTCCTACTTCGATTCTGACTGGTCAGTGAGTCCGCAGTAGTGCTGTAGGCACAGGCGGGGCAACTGTGGGCAAAAGTTCGGTCGACGAACCCGAGATAAAGTCACGCCCTGGAGGATCTAAGATCTCGTCTCTTATCGCGGATCCACGTGATTGTTCGGTCAACCGGACCGACGAATTCGAGAGCGACTCAGCTGATTTCCATCACCATTACCCAGTGAGGGTTAGGCACAGAAATTCACACCGATGTACAGCCAAGATCAAGGCTGACTTGAAGTTGAATGCCAACGACTTAGCTATGCAGGACAGTGCGTTGCACAACTACATATATCCCTCTACCTAGGCTAACTTGCATGCTTAAACTTGACAGACCGCAAAATATATACATACAATTTGGATGAATATTCTATTGCTTGTAAATCTGAGAGAGAGCATCAGCGCATTTCTTTCCAGCACTGGCAATTAATCCGGAATCTTGCTGTGCAAGGATGAACCGAGCCCCCAAAGTATTCAAAGCCCAGTTCTGGATGTCCGGGGCGTCGTAGATTCCCGCAAGACCAAAGATCTTGCGATGTTTATGGCAAGACTGGCTCACTTTCTCTAATGCAGTACGGAACTCAGTGCTTTGAAATTGGCCAGGGACGCCGAGTTCGATCGCCAAGTCATTCGACCCGATGAGAAGCACGTCAACGCCGTCTACAGCAGCAATGTCGTCCACATTTTCGATGCTGTCCTTGGTCTCAATCATCAAAAGCACCGTGGAGGCGTGTGCATTTGTTTCCTCGATGATTCTCTTAGCTGGAGTAGGCTCAAGGCCGAAAACTGGTAGCTGGCCAGTCATCGATCGAAATCCCTGCGGAGGATACTTTGAGATTCCCACTGCGGCCTCTGCATCTCCTGTATTTTTTTAGACACCTTTAGAGTAGCTTGAGTTGGTACGTGGAAAGAGTTGCTTACTTTTATTATGGATGTGTGGGAAGACAACACCCATGGCACCGCCATCCAGCACACGCTGGACGAACCCGTTCCCACATTGATATGGCACTCGAACAAAAGGAGTGATACCGATCTGTAGAGCTACAGTGCAAATCTGACTAGCGTCATTGACAGATAACGTAGAATGTTCTAAGTCGACAAATAACGCGTCGAAGCCGCCGTTTTTCGCAAGTTGGACAACAGCAGGATTTGTGACTAGTCGAATGCCAAACGCCTTTATTGAGAGGTCCCTAGAATTAGTATGGTATTATTATGCAGTGCAAGGGCTACTGACCTTACAAAGTCCCTCTTGGGCCACTTTCTTGTAAAGAGTATTGCTTAGAGTCATGTTTATAGTTGTAAACTTTGATCAGCAAGCGCATGAAAGTGGAAAACAGACGAGGGAGTTGGAATTAGGAAGAAAATGAGACTATTTATTTCAACACGATGGCAGAGCCTTTTAATAAAGACCATTGAATTTCTTTCGTTGAGCCCAATAAATCGAATTTGCATTCTCCACGCCCATAACAGACCTGGCTAGTACAATTTCAGGCTCGGACCGACACCCCGAAAAACAACATCAGCTCGGCACATGAGTCTGGAAAGACCCGCTTATAACCCCACATGCTATCTGATTACAATCATTTGCCCTGGTGGGCTCACATCATTAAAGATGGTTGGTTAGCTATCTTGGCCAGCGACTTGAATCTCGGCCTCTCTAGGTGTATCTAGTTCAGGGACGGATTCTGAGTTTATAAGCTCTTAAAGTTGATGACCGCAGTATTTTCAATGCAGGAAATAGTGTACCGTAATATTAAAAGAAATTGAAATGATAGCGGGGAAGAAGTATATATTATATGTAGAGTTGTTTTCTACCTCCTGTGGTCTCTGGAATTTGATATGGAGCCTTTGGCACCCGTAGATTAAGATATAACGTCATCGTCTTGTATGCCACCCAGCAGAAATGGCTGAATGGTAAACATTCGAGCAATATTCTCACTCATATGGGTTAGGGCAAAGTCTCCATTGGGTGCGCGACCCCTCTAAAGCTCGCAGTTCAAATCGTGCGCGAAAAACAGGTTCCCTTTATCCCCGGGGTTTCCTTAAAAGACGACCAGGCATTCAATCTCTACCCGGAATCATCTTTTTGCTCTCGAATATAATTTATCTTGTTTGTTATACAGATAGCTTGGCCATTCATCTCACTACATTTATAGACTAAGACTCTGTCATACAAACTGTGAGGACAACTTGTAGAGCTATAGTCCTACGTTGTGTGGAACATAGTCCCCAAATATGCCACTATGTAAATATTGTCCCATGTGCATAACCGCTTTCATCCATTGTGTTGTGAGAGCTTTCAGTTTGATAAGTATCTTTAAAATTCTAAGACGAGACGGTCTTTCAAAGAGGAGGTAGATTCTGGAAGTTGTTCATTCAATCTGAGTAAACGAGAGACTTTATAGGAACTTCGGTAACTGCTGCCCTTGTAATACAGCCAGAAACTCGTCTCGATCTATAATGTATTCCGATATAGATTAGCAAAGCTGAAAGTGTAAAGAAAATCAGTTCCCGAAGAAACGAGGCAGACTAACCTTCGCTTGTTTGAAAAGAAATCGACATGGCACCCTCTTTGTTTTTGGCATTGGAGTTCTTAGGGCTCCGAGCCATCACATTCATCATATCAAGTGTTATGCCACGAAAGTACGGAAGACGAGGAAGGGTGAGCCGGGTATTGTCTTTTGAGAAATCGATGAACTCGGATGGAACGGACATGGTAAGCCACTTGTCCGGTACGGAGCCATCCCATCGTGCAGCAAGCTGGAAAGCCGTTCCCCGACGCCATAGCTGTATATTGGCACTCCTCCTTCCGGAAATTTGGAACCCAAAGAGCGAATTGTTTTTCGGTGATAGGGACTGGATACGTCTGGAATAGAGGAGTTCGTACAGAGGAGAGAGGGAGCTGAGGAATGTGCGAGCTACTAGATCGTCGCCAAACTCGATAGTTGTCTGGGTGGTCTTTTTGTCGCAATGAGAGAATGTGACATAGCTTTCTGGGAGGTAGAGCTGGTCAACATGCGTTGAGATGTAGTCTGTGCAGTAGATGCGGGGGAAATGGATGCTGAATGAGGAGTGATCGTATGTATAGTCCGCGTCACGATAAATATAGTACAAGTCTGAATATCTCCACGATGAACGAGTTCGGAATACTAGCACAGCTTTGTATTGCTTGTGTTCAGTGCCTGCATCAACCACATTGTAGGTGAAACCAGAGCTACTGGGCTGAGACCAGGAAAACTCCGGACGGAAGTTCATTTCTAGAACGGCTTTTTGAAAATCTTCCGCCTCTTGATGTGAGTGAAACTGCAGACCGACACCAATATTTGGCGCAGTGTCGTCGTACACGTAGGAGTGCAAGGTGTTGTAATTGCCATCAGTCTTGTCAGATCGCGCCTGGCATGTATCGGACCACTGCAAAACCACCTGGCGGGACATGTTTCCTCGGTTGATCTGAGCTCCACTGAGAGGCATGAATAATTCCATCGTTCCTGGGGACTTCTCGGCAGCAGAGGAAGTGATCACCATGCGTCGGATAGACCGCCAGGCTTCCCCAAAAGACCTTTCCAGAATACGCATCTCGCAGGATTTCACCACGACAGGAGGGTTCATTGATTTCATGGTCGGCGTGTTCAGCTGCTCGAACATATCCACCGAGGTGTTGAAAATAACGCTCTCGGTAAAGTCGGCTGCATCAATTGGTTCTCTTTGCCACACAGCGTCAAAGTAGGTTTTCGGGATATTGATGAATTGTGCGAGATCTGCATCAAACTGAAATGATATCGAAACACTCATATCCGCAAATTTGAATGGCACAGGTTCTGAGACTCGGGCACCAGGAAAGCCAGTTAAAGTGGCATTTGATAATTCGATAAGGGGCGGTAGATCATCCAGTACGACTAGCATCATCGGTTAACTCCTTGAGAGGATATTGTGAGAATCGTCACTTACAGTCTCGTTCAAGACACAGTGTGCCACTTTGGTTGCAGAGAACAATTTTTGGTTCGCTTTCCCCTTCCCGCGTTGCCAACAAGAGCATATAGGGAGCCCCCTTTGTGCGCATACGAGACTTTTGCCACCGATGCCGGCATTTACAAAGGTGCGATACAAAACCTTTTCCTGTTCGCTCCCTGCATCCTCTGGATCGACAGCAATCCAGCGCATATTATCCAAGCCAAGATCCAAATCGATGGCACCATCCCAGATTTCCTCCGGCTGCATGGGCTCCCAGAGGGCAAGGTTTTGGGTATGTAGACTCGACAGTTCGGGAATGTCGACGGAAGTATATTGGGAAAGTTCCTCGTTGATAGCCTATATTGAATCAGTCAACGTTTAAAATAACGATATAAAGGCACCGACTTCAGAAAGCTCGACAATTGACTTCCGATCCTCATCAACCAAAGGAGAAGAAGAGGCCTCTTCCTCTAGAACGATATCGTACAGAATATATGAAGCCTTGAGGAGGTCATGATAAGCTTGGTGACTAGTCGATCTGGATTCCATGGAGGGACTCAGACTACCACGGGCACTGACATAGTTATGTCTGTTGCAATTCGCCAACGTCGTGCGCGCCTTGATAAACTGTTAGTAAATCTTGTGTCCTCTTGTTTTACATGGATAGCTCACCTTCAACAACCACCAAGTCGCCATGCGAAGCCAATCTCTTGTCGTTAGCCTTGTGATCTGCAACCCGTCATTCACAGATGCCTCAAATACTTTCAAAGTTTCTGCGGTTGGTTTATGTAGTTGGTTCTGCGGCTCAAAGCGTATGGACCTTGAGAGATGCTCCTGGTACCGAACATCATGAAGGTGTTGTATAGCAGATGTCACGGCCTCAATGACGTGAGGATGGGCGTAGTCAGAATCTGAGTAGGATCGAGTATGATGTACCACTTGCTTCTCCCCCAGGTCAGAATCGTTCGTCCACATTTCACCATCAAGTGTCCGACCATCAATCGAGCCGCCAAAAAGGAGCTGCTCACTGCTCATCCGTGTGTAATTCATTCGGCTCCCAGTAGGTAGTAATGGTGATGTGTTCAAGGATAACCAAGAAGTCGGCGAAGTAGCCTCGAAGAGCGAATCATCGGATTGAGTTATTGCCGATTCGGAGGATGTGGATGTATGTTTGACATTGTTGCTGCTACCGACGGAGCTTCTGTTATTAGCCAACTCCAACATTCTGGCGCGAACTTCCTGGATTATATCGATTTCGCATTCTTCTTCGTTATTAGCTGGTAGCTCCACCACCACACCCCGGGCCGGGCTCATCGGCGAGACAACAGAATCTGTATCCCGAACAGGTGATGCCTCTGTGCTGAGAACAATCTGTTCATCTTCTTCCATCGCCAGAACCATTGCTTTCTCTATACGAGCAAGCGAGGCACTAAATTTATTAGACAATGAGCCCTAATTTGGGACAAAAAACATCAAACAACTCACTTTCCTATAGAGCTTATACATAGACTCAGATTGCAAGTGTGCACCATGATCTTGGATCTGATATCTTCAATCTGAGTTCTTTGTGTGGCCCATTTGATCTTTTGCCAGATCCCCTTTCCGTCGCCGGTTTCAGATCCCTTTAACCTGGCAAGGAGCTCTTTCAATCGCTGTAGGGTCGCGAGACAAGTGCTGAGGGTTCGTTCGAACGTCTGTTTGCGATCATTCTCCATCTTCTCGAAGAAGGATACGTTGGAGTTCATATTGTCGGGAAAGTTGCTCAGAGTTCCTTGTAAAGAGCCCAGCTCAGTTACTAGCTTTTGAAATCCTGTAGGAGCACCCTTCGCGATGACCTGACATTGGTTGTATAAGTCCCATGTCACCTTGGCGAGGGCGGGGATTTCCACAACGCCAAGATTTGAAGGCATTTTTGAGAACAAAATGCACTGTGACCAAGACTGAATAGTCTGAGAGAAAATGAACAAGAAGTATGAGGGGTGCAACCTTCCCCACAGTCATGATCCACAGGACGGGGTAAACAGAATGCCTTTCAACGGGGCTGAACCGAGGTAGGCAGTAAAATATAACAAAGTGTTGCCCAGAGACAAGCAGGAGGCTGCTTAGCCATCATAGTAATAGCCATGAAAGAGACAGCCTCGAAGGACAGCCCGCCAAGCATCCGAGTCAACACGGGGATCGGGGGTTGATTTGACTATTCGATGGATGCACCCAACCATAGGTACGTCTTTCGAGTTAGTCATTCATTCAGCATATATGCATTGGCCAAACTGGATCAATGGAATGAATGGATATCGATGGGGAATGCAGACAGCCTTTCCTAAACGCATGTTTCTTTGAGAACACGCCACTAGGCTGTGTGCTGCAGGCAAACAAAGAAGCGTAGAAAAGGTGGCGCCGGGTGACTTTTTACTGTCAAGGTGGTTCAAGAACAATCGAACATGGCAACATGCAGTAAGCAAGGGTATTACACTGTCTGTTTCAAGTAACACAAAGCGAAAAACCCCGAAAATGAACACTGAAAATGAAGATATAACTACTCTCCGAACTTATAGAAATTGCCCTCATCCGCGACCTCATCCGTGACCCACTTTGTGCCTGAGGCACCAACTTTTGATCGTCGCGACAGCTCAGCCCCTAATTTTTATTTTTATTTTCTTTCCTATCAGACACCCCATCTAGCTCTCAAGTTGATTCCACGATTCTACAAAGCATGAAACACATCTAAATTGTGTTAATTCCACCAGGCTGAGACATCTACCAGCTCGTCCCCCCCCACAACCCTGCTCTACGATCTCCAAATAACCAAATCCACCATGGAGTCCACCGCGTCCTTCACTTTGGACGCCACGACAGTCCTCTGTATCGTATTCTCGCTTTCTATGATGCCCATTGCGTATCTATTGAGCAAAACACTTGTCCCAGCCCACAGGACACGCGATCGCGTCCTCTTTTTCTGGCACGCGTATGACGCGCTCACTCACATCTTCATCGAAGGCTCCTGGCTCTACGAATGCTTCTTCAGCTACATCACTGTCGCTGAAAATCACAGTGTGGAGCCCTTCTTCCTCAATGATCCAACCCGTTTGTACGGTCCCGCCTACGGCACTGGACCTAGCTCGCGTCTGTGGCAGGAATACGCCAAGGCTGACCGCCGCTGGGCTGGTGCCGATTTGACTGTCGTCTCGCTGGAGTTGTTGACCGTCTTCCTCGGTGGACCGACTGCGGTATACATCTGCTATCTGCTGTGCCAGTCTTCAAATGAGAAGATCAGTGCCAAATCCCGTGGTGGTGTTAAGGCGACCCTGTGGCTGGTTTCAACTATGCTTGCTACGGCCGAGTTGTATGGTGGATTCATGACCTTTGCACCAGAGTGGCTGACGGGAAGCTCCCAGCTCGCTACTGAGGATCCGGTTTACCTTTGGCTCTACTTGTTCTTCTTCAACACCCTCTGGGTCTTTATCCCTCTATGGGTGTTGTGGGAGGCGGCGAAAGAGCTACGCGGTGCCTTTGTGGCCGCCGAGCCTCAGAACGAGAGGAAGGACCAGTGAGCTTGGCCTGAGTGCGGGTGTTATTGAAACATATGGATGAACTTACGGCTGAAGCATCTTCTTTTCTTCTTTTCGGGAAATCCTGGTTGGTTGACGTCCACCAGGTACAAAATAAGGCTAGCAAAATGTTGCCATGTCTGCCAAGGATCGTGATAACATAGATTGATAAAATCACCATTTTCTTTCAAGCATTACCAGCTGTTAACAGGAGTATATTGCTTCTTGCATGGCATTTAGGCATACCGAAGCAAGAATGTGCAAAACAGTAGCTTCCAAGGTCATCGAGACATGTTACCCCAGAATGGAAGGTCCGGAGCCATGAGTTCATCCTTGCCAACCATAAACATCACAATTAGCGTAGTAGTTTGGGGTTCCTTGGAGTACTCCTACCATTAACCTGTGTTTCCTACAGTTTCTCGATTACAAATCCCTTAATTTCGTTCTCATAGCACCCCTCGAGGTACCATAACCGGACGCTGTCCCAATTCCCTGGTGGTATCATCACGAGGACTGGGGGACACCATGGTAATCCAAGTCTGTGAATTTCCGGCTCGAGGAAACGGAACGTGAGCACTGACAGAAACTCCGCCAGCTTCAAACCAAACCTTAGTTTAGAAAGGGTGGGTGTGAAGCCACGGGAGTAGTGTCATCTGAAATCTCGTATCGTTGGCCTCGGAAATATACTATTTATCGCACTGTCTATACCTCAGAGTCCGACCTTTACTGGGAAGCTGCCGCTGATGCAATCCGATCAAATATCTTCGCTACACTTGATTGGGATTTACACCACGATCGACGCGAGCTGGAGCAATCCCATGGGCTTTTATGTGATAGTACTATAGTCTCGTGTTTGATGACAAGACTCGCTTTGATGGGGCTACCGTCGCTCAATTCCGAGAGGATTTCAAATTTGATATGCGCATTCCTCTTCCCTGACTTCTCTGGCTTGCGCGTCTGGGAGACGTGGTGCCTATGTCTGAAATGTGTGATATTTCTGTAGATATTTCCTGGTACAATGACTTTTGAAGCAGCACCATGGTTAAACAGCAACGTTGCTTTTTATGGACGCCGTTCATGTGTAATGGATGTGAAGGAATGCAAATATCTTTGGCCCCACCATTTTTATTGCTATCACTCTCATCATCTCCGAGCCTCTTGAAGCTCCAGAGGTCGTACCTTGATAAATGATGTGCTTTTGAGTTACTCTCATATAGTCTATCCATCTGATAATGCATTTTATCCAATTGGACTGTATTCTTTGCCTAGATTTTACATCGCTGTTTAGACTTGCAATTTGAACTAGAACCGTGATATTCTGAAAACTCCGGTTATTGTTGGCCATTGAGAGATTGAGATTGGGATTCTCGTCCAGTTGAGTGAAAAGAGCCTTGAGAATCCATATCAATTTGGCTCTAATCTTGCCTTTCTTTCCGCCCATTTATTCTCCATGCCATCTAGTTCATCCGCAACTCAGTCAGTCGCATGGTCAGCAATCAAGCTTAGATACTCGACTAACTACTCACCCAACTAACCTAAGGCTTTTGAGTTCTTTCTAGTGGCGTTGTACTCGAAGTAAATAAACGATTGATTCCATTGATTTATGTCACGTAAGGTATGATGACCATTGAAATCCCGCTATTATGAGCTGCACGCAAGGCCCCCTTTTCTACTTGAAGGGATTATTGATGCTCACCAGGGCTGAAAACTAGGCCACGAGCCATTGTAATGCATTTGTATACTCTCATATCGAATTACTTTGTGAATTGCTCATAATCAGGTGTCTGTTGGAACACTTCATGAAATAGTTCAGTGGAGTTGTGCTCATAGCAATTCCAAAGTGTAGTGTTTCGTGTCAGAGCCGAATGAGTGAGTCTATTACCTGCATATGTAAGTAGCGCTCAATATTTTCCGAGTGCCCAAAATCAACTGGTCAGGTTCTGACGATGTAAGCAATTGCCATGGCGACTACCTAGGTAATAAATCGTGATGGCGATAAAGTGACTGTCCATGAATGAGACAGGTTGTGTAGAGAGTGCACTCTCCTCACTTTCATCCTTCTCGCATCCGTTTTCTTCATCCACCGCCTGGAGTCAGACATCAGATTTCACAAACATGGCTCTTTTTTTGCCCCTGCCTTTTATTCCTCTCATTTATCCACCCCCTCCTACCCCGAAAACGGAGTTCCAAAGCCTTCCGGCAGAGATCAAACTCATTATAATTGAGGAGCTCGATCGTGACTCCTTGACACTGAGCCGTGTGGCTGCCTGTAACAAGCAGCTTTATCACATGGCAATGCCTGTACTATACGGCAATGTGTCCTTGGGAGGTCCCCCTCATTATCGAATTTGGCCTGGTTTGGCATTTCCTGCAGATCGTCGTTCCGTAAGTTGACTCTGCTTTCATGACTTTACTTGCACCTTTTCATCCTTATATACCAAATATTCAGATCGAACGCTTTCTTTGTACGATCCTCCGCAACCCCCACATCGCGCGACTTGTGAAATCTCTCGATTTGGCTGATTTGCACGACCTTTGCTACGCACACAGACAGAGTCACGCCCAATTGCAGGGAAGAGATCTTGGCCTTCAACCTCTCGATCCACAAGACCATGCAATGATTATGACTGCGGGTATGAATCTACCATTGTACCCAGCCCTGAGGGTGCTATTGCTCACAGCACTTGGGCCCGATGTACCCCGGTCTGATGCGTTACTGGCCGTTCTTCTGGGTTACCTGCCTTCCTTACAACGTCTCGAGCTCTCACTGGAACATGAGGACCCATACGGCGATCCTCAGATCACAGATTGGAACTTGGTTGAACGTGTCTTGATGGGTATCACCAGTGCACAACCGTTACACATCGATGGAAATGGCATTATAACTTCCTCTACACCTATGCTATCCAAACTCACTCATCTGAAGGCTGAAATCAATGGAAACTTACCTTTAGCTGACATTGATTGGCTCATGGTGCTGCTTCAAATACCCACTTTGACCCATGTATTCGGCACCAAATGGACCAACGCAGTACGGTGGTTGAGACCTAGATTTTTCAACGCCGATCGTCTCGTTCACCTCGAACTTCGCGAGTGCACCTTTGATGCTGAGAGCCTTGAAAGGCTCCTCAAGCAGACTCGCAAGTTGCAAACCTTCATCTACGAACGCGGGTGGACAAAGCGGATGGGTTGGGTCGTGAAAACATCCGAGCTCACCCACGCACTTCGATACACATCGAAGACCCTGACCTGTCTTGAACTATCATACAATCGATCTGACCGAAAGATCAACGAGGACTTGTATCTTCAGCCTCTCGACCTCTCGGGGCTTGTTCATTTGAAGAGACTGCGACTATCCGCCGGCTATCTTGTTCTGACCGAAGAGAAAACGACAAGGTTTAAAGGTCGCTACAGATTGCTATACGAAGAGGACGGGCTGTACAACAGCGTAAAGCCTTTGCACTGCCTGCTCCCTAAATCACTTGAGGAGCTGCACATCTTTCAAGTCCACGATGGTCTCGAATTCAACCTCATGAGTGATAAGTTGTGCGAAAGCCTCTGGACCAGGACACTGCCCCTTTCGTCGGACCGTCAATTCCAACACCTCAATGAGATCATAATTGAGGCACCTTATGAGGACAGAGGCGTGTCCGTGTTTGAGGCACTCTCTACGGCCACAAATCAGGTTGGAGTGAAGTTAACAACAATTGAAAATTCCGAAGATTACATCAAATCTTGGATTACTGGCGCGACGAAAAAGGCATGCCCGGAAAAGAAGATTGACTGGGGGTTTGACGGCGAGATCCAGTGGGCGCATCCTTTCACTCAGCGAGCGGACTCGCATTCCCAATTCCGCTGAATGTTGGAATCAGAGCCCGGCAGGATTATTACATGAAACTGGTGGATACATGTATTGTGATGAGGGACCAAGCGGTGAAGCGTGCTGAGAAGGATTCCCTTCTCATTTCTATGCATGAGTACAGTGAACATCGATCGATGTATGTTGTATGTAGGAAATTGACTGCTTGAAGCGCACGGACCATAGGATCTACATGACGTAATCTCTCCACATGGCACCGGGGTGGACCTCGGCCTTGATCCAAGGCGATCACGTTCGTAGTTTATTGAGAATCTTCCCACTGTCTGTAATTATCATCATTTCAAATCATCTTCGAAATATCTTACCCATGAACATACTGCCTGGAACGGATACCAGAGGTTGAGGGGCCTGATCCGGAGCATAACACCATTTCCCCACAAATTGCGAACTTCGAGCACCAAATTTTCGAACAAGCAGAGTCATGGCTGAATTCAAGCTATCCTACGAGTCTCAACTGGTGTGTCCTAAAAAATAAACTCGCTTCCTATTTCCTCACCCATCTTCATGTACATCCACACACTACACTGGACCGTACTAACATACTCCGGCAATCAAGGACGTCTACCACCCCTCCTACCGCTACGAAGCCCATGACCCGCGCGACTGGAAATCTGCCGCTCTCCGTGGCCCAGCCCTCCCAGCTCTAGGGAATGCAACTGCTGGTGCAGTGGGAGCAGCCATCTCCAATGTGGTCGTCTACCCGCTCAATGTCATCGTCGCTCGTCTACAGACTCAGAATCAGAAGCAGAAAGACAGCGACTCGAGCGAGAAATCCGACGACGATAATTCGGACGAACTATATACAAGTGTGGTGGATGCTGCCCGCAAAATATATGCGCAACAAGGCTTCGCCGGCTTCTACCCCGGTCTGGCGCAGGATACCTGGAAGACGGTCGCAGATTCGTTCCTTTTCTTTCTTGCATATAGTGCCATCCGTCAGAGGAGGATAGTGGCGCGCGTAGGTGTAGAGCGAGCCGCCAAGAGCAAAAATATTGTCCTTCCAATACTTGACGAACTTGCCGTGGGTGTTTTAGCTGGTTCGTTTGCCAAGCTATTCACCACGCCACTATCGAATATCGTCGCGCGCAAGCAGACATCTGCGGCACGCAAGGGTGGAAATGGGAAGAACTTGTCGACAAGCGACATAGCAGCTCGCATCCGTGCCGAGAAGGGCATCCTTGGCTTTTGGTCTGGATATTCGGCCACTCTGATACTCACCCTGAATCCATCTCTCACGTTCTTCCTCAATGAATTCCTCAAACGGACCCTCCTCCCACGATCGAAGCGCGACAAGCCCCCTCCAGCTTTGACATTCCTTCTAGCGGCTCTTAGCAAAGTCGCCGCCTCGTCAATCACATACCCCTTCTCTCTTGCGAAAACCAGAGCTCAGGTAATGAGCTCGGACTCTAAATCCAAGTCTGGGACTGCAGATAAGACCAGGACCTCCCTTCTTGCCTCTCTCACCCCCGAAATACTTTCCACAGTCGCCACTATTGCCCGCACAGACGGTATACCAGGGCTATACGCCGGCCTTCATGGCGAAGTGCTAAAAGGGTTCTTCTCGCATGGATTTACAATGCTCGCAAAAGATGCAGTGTACGCTTTCATAGTCAAGAGCTACTACCTCCTTCTGCTGCTGGGACGTCGCTATCCCTCACCAGACGAACTAATCCAACGTGCCCGTGAACAGGCAGAGGAGTATACAGAGATCGCACGTGAAGGCGCGCGGGATCTAGCAGAGAGAACAAAGGAGGGCGCAGAGGGGCTGCTGAACGTTAATTCTGGCGGTAACACTGTTGATATGACATCAAACTCCGCAGGCGCAGCTGATGCTTCTTCTGGTCTGAAGGTTCCTGCTTCGTCAGTTTCCGATGAACTTAATGAGACGGCTGAGCTGGTCGGTGATTATGTTGAGGATGAAGCAGCCGAGTGGAAGAGCCTTTATCATTGGTTTTGGGAGAAGGATCGTGGGCCGCATCACGATTGATTGCAGGGCTAAAATATACCGTGGTGTTTACATATCTGAGCATTAATTTTACGATCAGCTTGTTGTCTTGTTAATGAAGTACATAACGGCGTTTGGATTACATTCTGCTAGAAAGCCACGCAACAGAAAAATTGAACTCACCGTGCTCTCTGTTTAGAAATTGTCGTATCCAGGGTTCACAACCGCAGCGAACATCTCGGGTGTGGAATCCTCCTGTGTCACATAAACCAGCACAGCATCTCGGACCTGTTTTTATTACCTGGATATTGCAAGGGACCGTTTCAAGACTTACCTGTCTACCCAGTCACTTGGCTCATCAAAAACAAATCTCCACCTCTCGGATCTGCTGGCTCAAATATTTACCTCGATACGGAAGTTGAGGATGGATGGTACCCCCCTCCCCCTCACCCCCCATTGGAAATTCTCGATAGCACCACACCAATAGTAAGCATGGGATATCGTCCTCGACATTGATATATGACCACCTGATCTCTGACCTAAGGCGGTAATATATCAAAGTGCTCAATAGCCTATAGCTGCCAAGAGGTGCTGCAAAGTGTTGGAATTAACACGAAGCTCCATATGGATAAAACCGGACACAAACCTGTGAATTACCTCCTAGAAGCTGAATGAATTTCTCGGCGAAAATGGTCCACGCTTTCCACATCCGTGTATATCCCACTTCCAATCCCCAAGTATGTCAAACTTGGCAGGAGGGCACTGCGACCTAGCTGATTTTGATCTTTGTTGCCTTGTTGAAAGGGTTGCATGTAGTCTCCATGCAAGATAGTTGCAAGAGAAATCTCAAGTCATCTCAGTCTAGGCATTGACAGAGAAGGATGACAAGCATGACATCAAAGGTAGGTCCTAGGCTTCTAGCCAGGTTTCTCACATGATACTGTAGCATTAGAAACTGTTGTGCGGCACCTGAAAGTCATTTGAGATTAAGGGGGTCTATCTCGTAAATTTCCAATCGACTGTAGACCTTGATTCTACCTTGTGTGAAAGAGAAGTGAGATCAGGATGGTGAACGAGAGTAGTAAGAGCTGGGGTTCGAAGGATTGTAGCTGTTTCTTTGTTATTAGCAAGCTGTTGATGAACCTGTCACAAAATCCATACCAGGTAGGGTTTGGTATATATTCATCACTAACAGAGGATATTATAAATATAGAATTTCCCCTACACATACAATAGCGGATAGAGAATGGAGAGATGGCAAAAGGAGAGATGGCAAAGGGAGAGTGAAGGATAGTTATATATTCAAGCATTATACATAGAAAAGCCGTTTTGCACGTTTCAAGCCGTTTGATTCAAAGGCGTAGTACCAAAAAATCGTAACAACGCTGCACATGCCGCTGACTATCCTTGTATAAAGAAGTTTGTATTTGTGAAATTATGTCTACGGTTTGATCTTCTAACTCAATATGTAGTAGAAAGGCAATAAGAATAGGAGAAGAGGAAAGACAACAAGATCGTATACAGTAGTATTGGTGTCTAGGCTTCACCGATTTATAGTCATGAGACATTCCGACCTAATCGGGAGCCCGAGATTGCCCTCTAGGGATTAGCCCCAACTTCGGAGGCTGATAGTGCTTATCTCACGGTGACTCAAATGCAACAGGGCGTCCACAATGGAAGCTAATTGGTTGCAACCAAGTGGGATATTTCCCGCTCATCCATGTATGTTTCTATAAAGCTATCGACGATCTCCCAGAAGTTGGATGGACTTTACATTCTAACACTAATTTCTAATCTTTCAATATGGCATCAACCCAATCCTACGGGGACCTTTCAAAGTCTAGTCGACTCATCTACCGAACCCCAGAGAACTCCGAAGAGGACATCGCATTTTTCCACGGTCTTATGAACGAGCCTATAATTCAAACACTGAGCACTGCGCGTCTCCCACGCCCGTGTCAAAAAAGTTCCGCAGGGGAGTTTATCAAAGTACTTCAAGACGCCATTTTAGGAGTGGTTATATGTCTCCCTCCTCAACCCTCCTCTGAAGCAGAACCAAACTCCTCAACTGAGACCGAAACCTTGGATCGACCTGCTCAAAATTCCAACCCAGTCCCAATTGGCCACATGAGCCTTTTCAGCGTCACTGGACCGAGCGGCACTCATCATCGCAATGCGATGATAGGAATCTCGCTTGCGGACGGGTTCCGGGGGAAGGGATACGGTGGAGAAGCTATCAACTGGGCATTGGACTGGGCATTTCAGCATGCTGGACTGCACAGAGTCTCTATTGGCACATTTTCGTACAACCCGAATGCCTTGAAGCTTTACAAGAAGCTTGGTTTTGTGGAGGAAGGTCGCGAGCGTGAGGCATTGTACCATCGCCGCGCTTGGCATGATGTTGTCAATTTGTCTATGCTGGAGCATGAGTGGGAGGTTTTGAGGGGAATAGCTCCAGGTCAATCAGATACCACTCCAGCTTTCCCTGCTGAAACACCCAATCAATGAAGACTTCGTTTTTAGCATGGAAGGATTTGGAGCTAATTGAGGGGTCTGACTCGGGGGGGATTTTCGTGGTTGGATGATTGTTGTCTTAATGACTCCCATGCATTCAGTAGACAGAATACATACAACATTTTAACAGTGATTCGCAGAGGAATGTATATGTTTTAGGGAAAGTATATCTATTTCACAGTTAAATATTCCAGGAAAATCCACGCAAGGGCGTCATATTTGTTCAACGGGGGAACGGAAAAGCTGGCAAAATTCTAAAACAGAGCCATCTCACCATCCCTGAAATAATACTATACATAAAAGCACTGCCGTCGAGACCGATTCGGCGTTATGGCGGCATCGCAACATGAAGATTCGTATCAACCAAATCAAACCAAATGCCCGTATATCCAGACTCCCTTGAGGCCCTAGCCACCTTCACAAATTCCTGAAGCCGCGCTAAACATTCACCTTGAATTGTAAACGAGCCCAAGCGTTCTACCAAATCTTCCCCGGGTCCATATATCTCAAACATGGCCATCGTCAAAGGAAACACCACGGGAAATGCGGTAACTTTATTAACATTGACTGCCGATTTGGCAAAGAACGACAACTCGGAAAATATCCCATTTGCAAGTTTCCATGCTGCCTCGTCCTCAACTCCTAGCGGATATCGCAGCCGGTGGAGGATCAATAACGCGGCCAGACGATACACATTTGCATGTGTCACCATCGCTAAAACTGCATGCTGGCCGTAACTATCGAATAGTCCGGAAGGGGTTTGAGGTCGCCAGCGTCGGATCTTCTCCTCTATTTCGTCCAGTTGGTCGTGGATTACTGAGTAAGATTCAGATCCGACAGCAGGAGCTTCTCTCTTCAAGGTATTGCTGCACACGCAGATATCGTAAAGATGAGGGAGAAGTGTGGCGCAGAGACCAAGATAGCGGTCGACGAGGACGCGAGGCTGAGGATCAAGTCGTATTATAGGGATCTCACGGTGCACGAGACACTCGACTGTGTCGACCAGAATCGGGGTCATGGTTATTGTGTCCATGATAGGGGCTTGCACCAGTCTGGGAAGCCATGGTTTGGCAGACATGAGGGAGCTTCGAACGATAGCGTGGGCTGTACTGGAATATGGTGTCGTGAGTACGTTGAACACGTACATGATCTGGCCCAGGAAAAGAGCGCAAGCTGCGTGGTAGTCATGTGAGATTTTCACACTTCTCAGACATTGCAGGCCTTTCGCCGCCTTGAGTACGTCGGGCTCGTTTCGGCGTATAACAGGGTACTTTTGATAATTTGTCATCAGGCCTAGGAAGGCCAGATATCCTTCGGTCAGGATCGGAGCGGATAGTTGCAAAATAACATAAATGGTCTTTTGGGATGTTGGGATAAAACTATCTCCATATACGAATGGTGAATGTATGGCTGAGAATTGGTCCACATTTGTAACGGTGCGGAATGCATCTGATGTTGTTTGGAAGTCCATGGGGGCGGCAAGTAATTTCTCTGGCGACAACATCGTGACATCGGTGCTTTCTGGCGTCCAAGGTTCGTTATTTCCGGGAGGCGAACTTGAATATGAGCGTAGACTAGACGAGGAAGATGAAGCATGGCTCTCGCTTTCCTTGGACTGGGCACGATGTCGCGACACGATGGTAGAAACCCGCAAATTCCCCTGCGGGAAGACCTCGGCAGAAGATAGGTGTCTGACGCGCTTAGTGGCATGAGCGGTGGAGCCAACCTTCATATGATTACATCTGGTGCATGTCGGACTAGCACTCGGAGTACAGCCCTCTTTCTCTTTATTCAAGTCACAGTAGTCGCAAGCCTTCGCCATCATGTTAGCGCAAATGCGCGAGTAAAAGCAGGAACAGATAATAAGCGGGTAGTCAGGTGCAGTCCGCTTGGTTTTGAAGATTGACGTTGGAGGTGTTTATGAATTCAGCGAGGTGACCCGGTCAGATCGGCCGATTTCCCCGCTCTCTCCACGATTTCCCCATAGCCGGTGGATCCGCGTATGGATTTCCTCTTTGGGTAATCCAATCTGATCCATCTCATTTAACATCTAGGCAGTTTGTTTGTAATTCTGGATGTTATATCATTATTTCACAATGTCTGTTAACGCTCATTCACCCACAAACAGTACTGGTTGTGTTGCGCAGTGAATCACACCCCCAGCCAATGGAAGCGCAGACAAAAATACTGGCCGAACCACGCGATCAGGGCACAAATTCTGAAACAGCACCAAGGCCTCTTGATCCCGCCGACTATCGCCGAATTGAGGAAGAATAAGCCCGCCATTGACGAAATAAAAATTGACATAGTTAGTTGCCGGTTCATCGTATGACAAGACCCCGAAGATTTTGGGGTTCGGCTCGTCTACTATGTGTACCTCGAAAGGACGACCCTTTGCATCGACCGACTTCCCTAGAATGTTTCTGATCTCCTCATAAACCTCCACCCATTGCTTGGGCACGCTAGAATGGGGTCGCGAGAGGACAACAACTCCGGGCCGGATAAAGTTGACTTCAGCGTCAACATGCACATCAGTAACATCGAGGTTCTTTCTGCCAGGGAACCAGATAATTTTCTCAACGCCCAACAGACGACGTAGCTCTGTTTCAATCTCTGTCTTCGAAAGACCCGGGTTTCGATTTTCGTTGACGATGCTGCTTTCAGTGGCCAGAAGCGTCCCTTCGCCATCCACAGCTAGCGCACCACCTTCCAAACAGACCTGCGATTCCACCAGAGTTACGGGAGATGGGAGAATATCGGATTCGATAACTCTGCGGGCAAAGCTTCCATTTTCTTCGATCTGTTCAGCCGTCATCACAGGCCAATCAAGCCCATCTGAAGCCCGGTCGTGGTCGCCGATGTGATTTTTTCGTCCCCATTCACTGAAACGGAAGTTGATTGCAAAACGTTGGTGGATGGATGCGCCAACGCCGCGTACATATACAGGGCCTGTATCGCGTGCCCAGAGGTGATTTGTGAGGAATGGGATGACAGAAATGTTTGAGGTGTTACTCGGATATTTTGTAATAGCTTGGCTGACCATTGACTTTGCTTTCTGGACATCTTCGGGTCGTGCATATAATCGAACTGGTTCGTGGGCTGAAATTACAGAGGCCAAACTGGCAATGTCGACACATGCGCTTTCGTAGTACGCTGAGGCGATGGAGACTTTGGATGGGAATCCAAGAATGGTCGCAGCATGACGGGCAGTCTCATGGGGGCAGAAAAATCTTGCTTTTAATTTAGATGAAGCCATGTTTGCAACAGCTTGGATGCTAACAGACATTCCACATAAGAGCCTGAGTTGATTTTGTAAAGAGGAAGAGCGAAGGGAGAGTTCTATATTCATAAGTGAGCGGTGAGCTCTGCTGAGAGAAATGGAGTTGCGGGGGTCTCCACCCGTGGCTTTCCACCTTACAATGAAATGAGATCGTTACTCATTGAAGACAGCATACATAACCAAGTATTACAAAAAGTATACAAACTGCGTGATTTACTTGCTACAAGATACAAGCTACGTAAATAAAAACACATGACTGATAGCAAACGTTGTATTGAACTCCATAGAGCCAACCCGAGAGTCTATCAGCAACTATTTTATTGACGGACATATAGTCCATCAAACACGTAAATCAAAGTCCCTAAGTCCCAACCACAGAAGGTAAAAAAGCAAACCCAAAGAAATTCCCTAAACCCCATAACCATTTGACGCAAAAAGAAAAGAATCCGTCACACCGTAGCGCATTAAGTAAGAAAAGTCTCCGACCGCCGCCTCACACACAGAGTGGCAAAGTCGGTTAAGACGATGAAAGTCGCAAGACAAATCTAACCACCGAAACCGTAGAGGGTACGGCCCTGGCGCTTGAGGGCGTAGACGACGTCGAGGGAAGTGACGGTCTTACGCTTAGCGTGCTCAGTGTAGGTGACAGCGTCACGGATGACGGACTCAAGGAAGGACTTGAGCACACCGCGGGTCTCCTCGTAGATCATAGCGGAGATACGCTTAACACCGCCACGACGGGCGAGACGGCGGATAGCGGGCTTGGTGATTCCCTGAATGTTGTCGCGCAAGATCTTGCGGTGGCGCTTGGCACCGCCTTTGCCGAGACCCTTTCCACCTTTGCCGCCTGTTTAGATTGTTAGCTTTTGTTCAAGGAATTGTGCGAGGTAGTATTGTATGGTATACTATAAAACGGTATGAAGAGGAGGGGAGTATGGGGAGTTGAGGGTAGTAGGAGGTTGTGTTAAGATGCGTAAAGATGAACGGCCTTTCCTGATTAGGAAAGGTGGGGTGCATGTTGCGCCTGAGGCACAAGTCACGTGTCGACAGGGTCATCACCAGTTCTTATTTTGGGAACTTTGCGCTGACAACAAATAGACGATGGGGTATATAGTGATAACAACACGTGGAAAGATATTAATACTTACGTCCAGACATGGTTTCAAATATGAAGAATTGAAAGATTTAAAAATGTAGATAGATCGACGTCTGTGTTGTCGATAAAACGATGAAAAACGCGCGTTTTGATGGTCGGCGTTGAGGATAACAGAGGGGAAAAATAGGAAAATAACTAAATGGAGGGGGAAGGCAGTTTAAATAGGAAAGCCGATTACGCGTGATCCGGGAAGTAGGTATTTTAGGTAAGCGAGATATTTATCCATCATTCTGCAATGCGGCGGTGATTGGCGGGCGGCGGGGAAAGAAAAAGGGCGTTATGAAGGGTCGGTTTCCAGCGCGTCTATCAGGCATCGGCGAACCCGCAGTTTCCTGCGTCGAGCAACAATGATACTGATCACGTGGCGATAAGATAGAGTGACGCTAGCCTAATCGGGAAGTATACCCCAGGACTCCACCACTCGAATGAATGTGAGCTTCATATTATCCACTCTTTAGGTTTTCAACTAGAAGCTATTCTAACAGGCTATAGGTGTAAAAGAAAGATCCAGTCGATCGCGTTCATCATGCCTCGTGTCATTTCAAAGCCGTCGAGTTGCCTATATAAGACGCAGTCATGTATCGCTATCTTCGCATCCTTACATCTCCGCGTCCCCTGTCTGCGTCCAACCAGAAAGGTAGACCGTTTTGTGGAACTGAAACAGTAATAACAAGCAGGAAAGAGAAAACGCCAAAACACCATGCAATAGAAAAAAAAAGAGAAAAAGAAAAACAAAGACAAAAAAAAAAAAAAAAAAAGCATAAAGTGCGAGATCAAGGGCGGAGGCGGGCATACTAAAAACTTTTTGCGTTGAAAATGAAGGGCCATCCAGGAAGGAACAGCAAAGAATTGAAAAGTGCCTCGGAAAAGAAATCGTAGCGTCATCATGCATGGCCGAAGCGGCATGCAGAGGTAAACAAAGAAATCGTGAGAATAACCGCGCCAGACAAAAGCTGAGACGGTTGCGTCGATAATTGGGACGACGACTGGTGGAAACGAGCCGGACAGCGAATAGTTCAACGAAACATCCGCGGTTTATTATGCATCGCAGGGACAATCGCTCACATGTGCTGCTGGTCGAAACCACTCATGGATAAAGCAGGTAATGTCGAGAGGAAGTCAAAAGGAAAAAAACAAAACAAAACAAAACAAACCCCCCTCCATCACAGTGCGCTGATAGGTTGTGGGATGAAAGGGGTCGAAATTGGGCCAATGGATCTGTCCAGTTCCATGCGAGGATTACCGAATCCCCTTCATGAAATCCGTCAACGGTATGTTTCAAAAGGTCGACTGGAAGGATCATAGCCAGTTTGGACGCTGTCATAGAACAGTCCATGTTACTCACCCTCTAATAACTGTTGGGGAGTGAGGGTCATTCATGAAACCGCCGTGGAAAGAATAGCGAAAAGACAGGGGGAGGTCGAGGGTAATGGAGAGGCGTGCGGGCTAACAGAAGCACGCGGCGCTTCGGCCACAGGAGCAGCGAGAGGAGCAGGGGACCGAGGAGACAACGGCGGCGAAGGACAAGCTGGGGCAGAGACATGCTTTGGGGCTTCGCCTTCACGGCCGCTCGAGACCGATGGGTGTGCCTTCAGGTTCGATCCTTGCGGAGACCCGTACTATAACAGGTCAGCTGAATGTCATGGCATGATTTGCTTTCGTAAAACTTACAAAGCAGTACTTATCGACCAACTCCCGGTACACGGAAGACTCGAGCTGTGGCTTGCTAGATACCAAAGAGGAAGGTTTTAGATCTCCCACACGACTTCCGGTGCGGAAATTATCGCTCACTGCAGAACCAGGGCCCTGCTCAAAACTGGGGGTTTTCTTGGTCGGTTTGGCGGTATCCGGCACAACCGTCTCCCCAGATTTCGCACGGGCAGTCAGAGCGGTGCGATCTAGAGGCGCCTTTGACCGCATAGCAGCGGAGAGCGACGCTCCGAAGTCGTACCGGTTTCCAAATGCCTGGCGGTTGGAGTTTTCACGGCGTTTGGGCGGCGCAACCGTATCGATCTCATCCGAGGACGTGCGAGCCAAAGGCGCACCGTTTGCACCATTGAAAGGGTTCGTGAATGACGCCTTGTCGCCGAGGTCGGGGAAATCATAGTTGGGCGGCATAGATTGCGGTCGAATGCTATGGGAGCTGGTGAAGGATCGGCTGCGAGGAAGAGCAGGGCGCGATCCGCCATTTGCAGGCTTGCTCGTGGGGGTTTTGGGGACTTTGTGGAAATCAACCTGATAGTTCACTGAATCATTATTATCCCAATATTCCTGTCCCTCCACGTTATAGCGGATGCACATGAACATGGTCTTGGTCTCCAGATTGGCCTGATCATTCAGCTTGAGGTCAAACGAAAAGCGATCGAAGCCATCGGCAGCTTGGTGGCGGCGAACATCATGGCAGTATGTCGCTGCAACCTCCGAAGTAGTTCTCCAGTAGTCCAGTGTAAAACGAGCGGTCACATTCTTGTGGAAAGCAATGTTTGCCACAGCCACAGTGCCAATCAAAGTGCTCTTATCAGCCGACAAGAACAACCGCTCAAGGCGGACCGGACGAGTGGCACGCGACGATGTATCCTTCGGCCAATTGGGAAGCTTGATCTCCCATTCCCACGACGGGTCACGCGAGTCAGCGGAGCTGAAGGGAAACTCGTCCTTGGTGTCGTGGTTTTCAACTGGGGATGTTTCTGTGCTGACAGCCAATGGCCGGTCCAGCTGGAGGAAGTGACGGATGTGCTCCAGGTGGGAGTCGAAGTGCACGGCCTTAGAATAGACCGGAGTACCAGGCATGCTAGATGGTCGTCGCCGTGACGAAGAAGGGCGGAGAGCAGGCCGAACAAGCTCACCTGACTTCTTACGGACCATTGGGGGCTTGCGCGACATCTCCACGTCACTCTCGTCGGGCGAGCTAGTCACCGCCTCTTCCCGAGCCAGATCGATGGCGGTTTCAGTCGATGATCGAGAGTGACTGATCTTGCGAGCTTCTTTCGACAATGGCAGGTGGGGGAGCTTGGGTCGAGTGGGCTTTGTGTCAGTGGTTGATGGCACATTCGATGAGGGTTGAGCCAGTGTTGGTTTTTCTGGGTGGTCTGATGGATGCATTCTTTCCGGTGAGCTCTCCCTCCTCAGTCTGATTGATCGAACAGCCGCCTCCAGCTCGTCAAACTTGACACCCTCACTCCGGTGCGGCGATTCTTCATCACTTGAGTTCGGTCCGGACTCAGGAGGCGAGATTACCGCCCCGGGAGGGATGATAGCATTGCTTATCGGCGGCGGGGACTGACGGAGACTGGCATGTGGATCGATAGAGGGGTGGGCCCGGGCCGGTGATTCTGGAGCGGAATGCACTGTCGATTTGGTGTTCGAAGGACTCCTCCGATGACGCCGAGTGTATGAGGTAGAGGAATATGAACGGGAATTCTGAACCCGTTCCGACGAGGAGCGAGCCAAACCGGGCCGCTCACAAGGCTCGTCGGTTGGTCGGGAGTATTCAATGTGCTGTGCGGAGAGCAACGTCTTGAACGGCGCAGTGTATGGCATCCGGCCGACTTGTGTATCTCAACACAAGAAGGGGAGGAAAGGATAGCAAAGAGTCGAAGAGTGTTCAATGTTTCAATCACAATAAAGTGCCTGAAAGTAGTTCCGTCAGTTAAGGCTTCATTGAATTCGGGATTGTGGCAACGAGAAGATCAAGTGGCAAGAGGCGAGGAAAGACATGCCATTTCATCAGGGCCAAAGGGGAATGGGGTGACACTTGAGGAAGGTGCCAGTGGAAAAAAGTCAAGGTTTCACAGGTAACACGGAAAAGAGAAGAGAGATAACTTTTGGGGAATGGGGGTTTCCAAGGTTGAAGGAGACAAGAGCTTATCAATACCTTGAAGTATGAACATCGAGTGGCGAGGTATTAGCCAAAAGGAGAAGGAAATGTTTAATAAAAAAAAAGTACAGAGAAGGGACAAGATGTACATATAAAAAAAAAGACAAGGAAAAAAAAAGGAATTGGCAAGCTCCCGGCACAGCCGCGATGGAGGGAGAGAGGTGATATAAAGGTACCTTGGAAGTACTAGATAACCTTGGAAGTTATAGTGGCAAATATCAAGCAGCCATTTCCGCTATAACCGGAAAGAAGAAGATAAGCCGTAAAGAAAATATTCATCAGAGAAAGAGATCAAAATCCGGTATTATAGCTTTTTGAGAGAAACTGGAAATGATCAAATCATTAAATGATAATAAAATAGTAATAAAATGGTAAAAATGATTAAATCAAAAAAGTGGAACAAAAGATAAATAAAGATAAAAAAATCATCCATAAAATTTACCAGGTGCGTCTGCTTTGCATAGACTCCGCTTCGATACTACGGTCAATGCGTCCCGTATAGGTGGGGGGATTGGTTTTTTCTCCTTTTTTTTCCTTTTTTTTTATGTATTTCTTTTTACTAGATTCTATTACTTCCTTTATTTCTATATTTCTACATTTCTACATCCCATTGTCAATTGTCTGTTTGCAGTTTATACATCTATCAAATATCTCCGTGGACATCCTAGATTGATATCTCACCATCCATGGATATCCTATTTCCGCCTCGCCCATTGATGTATTCAAATTCTCCGACATGTGGTCTATTCGCACGAGCACGACGATCCTACACAATTGCGAGCTCACTATAATGCACTGGTCGTTCCCCCTAGTGTCACAATTAGCGGACTACAGGCCTCCATCAGCCCACAGGCGCTAAGAGGTCCATGTACACTAACTTTGCTTCAACCTGTGTTCCCTGTTTTTTTTTTCCTTTTTTTTGACCTGACGCATATCATTTTGTATCACTTATCCCCAGAACATCAAAATCAATCCTCAAAACATATGTCCCTCTCATCATTGACCTTTTCCGTTGTCATTGACATTGTGTGGTACCGATCTTCCCTTATCAACTACTATCGAAGCCCCGTGGTCCAAAGATTGGCCGAGATTTATGGATCGACCCAGCCAAAACCGGTTTGTCCCAGATTCTCCTAGCCTGTGGCAGATAGAAAGTCAACTTTTTTTTTTTTTGGCGCGCACAGGTAACTAGGGATACATTGCGCCATGCAAGTGCTAGAAGCGTAATATCCACTCATCCCTCCCCTTCGGTGCACCTCAACTACACCGTGTTCCAGCAATGTGAATTTGGAAATCGTGGGGGTTAGTTGCCAAGAGTTTGAAGTTACTCTGGCGTTGTCCTACTCTCCGGTCGGACTACAATTGTAAAGGCTAGACAGAGAAATGACTAGAGACAGAGGAAGGGGGAAAAAAGGAACAATCCATCTAGAATGGATACGAAATCATACGCTATTATCAAGATTTTCTGACAGTTCCAAGAACCCTGGGTCTCGAATCAAGTTTGTCTACATGTAGAAATTGACCTCGGGAACCTGTTATCTGCGGTGGAACAACAGCGGGTTCCCTCTCCCGCTACACAGCTACACAGCCATGGTCCAACTACGTAGATATCAAAAGAACAAGAAATTTCAATTGTAGGCAGCTTATGTATGGAATCCCACTGTGACGTGCATGGTGCAGTTGAAGATAGTCTCATTGTAAGTACACTTGTGCTGTACTCCGGAAATCTGGTGGATCTACGATAACATGCACCTCCAGGGCTCCACCGAGGGTGCCGCAAAAAGCTGGTAGAAAATGGAGAATGGAGTCTGGAGATATGGAGATATGAAGAAAATATATGGGTCTGAGATTTAGTCAGGTTTGGGTATTTTCCATCGGATTAGTGTAATCACTGTAATCACTATAATTGACGAAATCACGGAATCGATCACGAAATGTTTCCAGAAGAAATACCAATGTCCGAATTCAGATCCGAAATCACGATATCTTAAAAAATCAGGTATACATTTAAATAGGGGTTGTGGTAATTCCACGCAGATAGTCCATGATGTCAAGGTGCAGTTGATAGTCCCCGATGCCTTGGTTTTCGTCCGCTTGGCGGGAGGTCTGGACCCCCCGGTCGCTCGTGCAGCATATCATTGATTTTTTGGGGTACACATTCATTTATTTTTAATATGGAGTGTATATTCTTCTGACATTCTTCTAATCTATTCATCTATTCATACGTGGTTGAAAGGTTCAAGTAGTATGCTAAGCTTGGTAGAGATTGCATTGATCATAGAGTCGATAGCCATGAAACTCTCTCGTACATAATGTAGTGAGGTCAATGTCCGTGTTTCACCATCCCTTCTGCCCCCACGACTCTCATCTCCATGTCTCACTAGTCAACGGTCATACAAGTGATTGTTATAATTATTCTAATGTTATCTTTTTTTTTTTTCAATTACTCAATCACTTAATTATTTCCAAGCCTTCCCGAGCTGTGTACGTAGTATAGACGCCCACGCCCGGACCACCAACCCTTTGTTAGCGGCGCAGAGTTTTCCTTTTTTGCCACTCTATTCATTGAAACATCCCAACAAAACAGGTGGCTTTCACATGGCGTTATAGCTAAGGATCTCCTCGAAAATGCAATAAGATTGGTCCAACCCTGAACCCATGTCGCATGGTGGGTACTTGTCCAGGGTCTCGACTCGCAACCGTTCGAGAGAGTCTCGAACTCTTCCGATCTGCACAGGGCTATGTGGTTTGATCTCCAGATTTCTAACCCCTCATTTTCAGAATATCTGGAGGTCCCGCAAAACTCTTGAGTATCCACGGACTGGATATGGGTAGTCTAGCCTACGGGCGGACCCGATACAGTTCTGATGGGATCCTCAAATTGCCAATATGAACGTCTCGGTGAGCGGCAAGGTCGCAACATTCCGAGCTGCAGGGCGATAACGTCTGTTTAGCCCCTTCTTGCCAAGACCCTGGAAACTTCCGTGCGCTTTTTTCGTTTTTTTATTTTTATTTTGGTTTGTATTTTTGCTTTTTCTATTCTTTTTTTTAATTTGATGCCGAAATTTAAGAGAACCCCTCCATCGGTTGTCCGGTTCACGGGAAACCCGAATTAGGGTATAGGTATACCCTTTAAATAATAGAAAGTGTTATAGGGTCGAAGCGTCGAAGCGGTCAGGTCAGAACCTATCAGAAGTATACAGTGTTCATATGTGAACCTTGAGATCACAGAGTTCAGCCTTAGGATCTTACTTGCTCACCGATTGAGAGCTTGAGAGCCCATTGCTAATCTACTCACGAAATGATCGCCCAGATACGATCTCATCTTTCAATTTGCAATTTACAATTTGGCTCTTGACAAATTGACACATTTCCACCGGAGTGATGTGCTCCTTGAGATCCGCCTCATCTCGCTGGCGACAATTCCAAACTGCAACTCGCCCCGAGGGCGTTAGCGTGGCTGAACTCAGACTCTTGGGCCATCGACCGGGCTCTCCATCGGCCGCAGAGTTCCGAGACTCATCTCGCGCAATTCAATCCGATACTACTAAGGATAAGCTTCCCCTGCTTCACCTTGGTGATACAACACGCGGCCGCTTTGGGCAGCGGCCTGTCCAGGCTGTAGTCGGTGCTTGCCAAGAACCACCAAAAGGACATGAAGCGTGAATAGCATGCATTAACGAAACTAGGGCAGTGAAATGAGAGAGGGGCAGCGCGTTTCCTAGAGAGCTCTAGCTACCCCGCGTGGATACAGCTGGCGTCAGCTCTTGCGTTCACGGTGCATATTTTGCAAACTCGGAGTTGATGCGGACCCCAGATATCGGGGCGATGCTGAATTGCGTTCTGTTTCCCCAAGGTTTCTTACCCCGCGAGCTATACCCCAGGATTAGCGTCGGGTTAGCAATGACCAGGTCTGGATCTGCCAATGAGATATGGCAGTTCGCTGTTGGTTGTAGAAATAGAATCTGTCCGGATACCCTCCTTGTCTAAGCATACACCCGATGGAAGATTTGTATCTAAGCTTCCGATTTGACCTTAACATGACAATTGGAACGTTGTGATCAGCCAACTATTCCAATTCATCGCGTGTCGCACAGCGTAGGCGTTTCAACCCGTTTCTACGCCGGGAAATTCAAATTTATGGCACAAGATAGAGAATTGGACGATGATTGGACAACACCTACTGATAGCTCAAGAATAAGAAAATCGCACGCAAGCAGCGCATATGGGCTGACTATGCAATGTTGCACGTCACGTAAATCCTAGGCGCGTCTCTTCTGCAATGCACTGCACAGAGCACCACCTGACCTTCTAACATCCCTGACGACCACACACGTCCCCAAGGGGCATCTGTATCCCGGACGTTGTTGTATCTGAAAGGAAAAAAAATGTTGAGGAAGTGGCACCACCCTACACCTCTTGGCATCAAATCAACCATTAACAAGATGGGTAGGCGATCAGGGACAGCCGCTTTAGTCGATTGGGTATACATCGCCTAGGTGGTATACATGATACGTTTCTAAGTCGAGGGCTAGCACGGGCCTTTGAACGTTAGTCGTGCATATAATAGTAGCACTATAATAAAAGTATACTTATTTTATACTTCAGAAATCCACTGATACCACTAAGAAACTAGTAGCCTTACTTGAAGTAAATATGTATATACCTTGGGCCCCACGCTTATGCATAGCATTGCGAGAAAGGGCGCCAAAGCAGCGCCCCCCCACTAAAGTTCGACCACCGGCCAGAACGGAGGCGCGGTAGTCAGTGCGCGCGATCCCGGAGCTACGACTCGATGGTGCGGTGATAGTGGGGCTTGGATAGCTTGATTAGCCTGCGCGGCCGTGCATAAGGCGCTACATTAGTGCGGCGAACTGACAATTTGCTATGCATGACGGACGGGGTCAGTGCATGGTTGTTGTTCTGGGCTGTTGGATGTGGGTTTACCAGGGGTTTCATGTTGACTTTTTTTACACTTTACGCTTGCAAGCCTCCATTGATAGTATAGTTTTTGTTTACTCTGGGGAAAATGATGTGCAACTTGCAGGTGTACCCCGAAGTCGCGGGGGTTTATCTCCACATTTACTAGTTGCAGACACCGGGGTTAATTGTCAATTCATCTAACAAATTAGGATTTGAGAGGTTAATGGTATCTTCCGCGGAAATCTTCAATTGACATTGCTCTCGGCTAAGTTGTCGTTCTTTATTGTGACTCCACTATTTCTATCGCCACTATAAATGGCAACATTGGTAGCTGGACGTATCGACGGGTGATAGATTACCTAAAAATCAAGCCACAAATAGGAAAAATGGCACTCGGCTATCTAGAACCGCCATAATACGCCCGAGCTAGAGGATTGGTTGCTTTTGGCCCGTTATCATGCCACGCCTAGCGGGAGAGGCGTTTTCCATTGTCAGCGTTATAGAACGCCCATTTTTGATACGAGGATTGACGCCCCTAAAGCCCTGGAATTCGGGAGCTCGGCCCTCGTTATCCGGGTATTGAGATATATTGAATGTTCGAATGTTTGGATGCCAGAGATAAGGACGCGGGGCAACAGGATCCTTGAGCTCGTCCCTCTTCTGTGGGGTTGAGGGTCTGGGGTGAGTAATAATGATCGCTGCTATGGTGATCATTTACTCCTTTGCTATCAAAGATTATGTATGGCAATTTTATACGCCAATTATTTCCATCCCTCTAAAGGGATAACAAATATCCAAAAAAAGATATAAAAAAAACACCCATTCTAACATATCTATCGACCTCACTGTGTGCTCATTTTTTTTGGGATTATCAAGTTCGTATATCTGCCTAGGTAGGATAGAGTCGTAAGCCCACCACTCTCCAAACTAAACTGAAAACTTAGTACTTTGGCATATTGCAGGATCCTGAACACAAAGACACAAAGTAAACAATGTTCTCGGATTCATTGGATATCCCTATCTGCGGAGAGGAGGATGAGTACTTTGGCTTGTAACCCTGCGCCCCTCAATTGCGGGGTGCATCTGCCACCTCACACTGTCCGAGCGACATTATCACCACATCTGTTAGTCCTCCGAGGTGTGTTTTGTGTCTTCCCAGGCAGCAAACAGCTGACAATGCACATAGTATCATGAGACAAGAACAGAAAACCAAGCCCCTCTCAACTGATAACAGTAGCTGACGAATAGATCCCCTGTTGTTCCTGTCATCCAAGGTCCCCCGAGCTATACTCTTTCATATCCTCAAGCCACAGCGGAAGCCAGTGACCGGGTCCTACAAGCCGGGCTCCCTTAACACAGACCTTCCCCACATTTCGATTGTCATGCTCACGCAGATGATCACAACATGCATCTCGCACCGGGAGATCCGTGAGGAAAGACAGCATCAGCGCCTATTTCCCACGCGATGTTGTATGCACACCGAAACACAAGAGATACAGAGAAACACAAAGTTCCGCCCTTCACTCACACGATGCTCATAATGGCAGGTTGCCTAGTTCCGACGTTCCGGCCACACAACATTGTGCTCAGACTCCGTGGAAATGGCATTTCAAAGTCAATTCTTCGTTTTCTCGCAGCCACCCCCTCACCGCTACCTGTGATAGCCAGATCAACCCATAGGAATGATGGAAACTGCTCCTAAAGTCCGCCACAGGAGAGGCGAGGTCTAAAAAAACTTTTCTCTTTATCTGCCTCTTTTTTCTTCTGGATCATCATCCCTCCACCATCCCACCTTAGGTGGCGGGCAAGGACTATACCAAAACTCGACTGAAACCTTTTCTTCTCGGCCGGTCTGGTCTGCTAAGGGACCGGTGCTCGGACTTGTATTGCGTTGTCACTGGAAAGTACCTCTATCTCTGCCCATGGACCGTGCGTGTTGTGCTTCCATGGCGTTGAGGGACGTGTCCTGCATCTTTGCCGCCACTGCGTCGGCGAATAGGTTTTCTTTTCGGGGAGATGGCGAAAATTCGGACAGATCCCTATAGTCTGGTTTAGAACATGCTTGTCGGTTTGAAGTCACCGGTGGCGGGTGATTTGAATATCATTCCGTTGACCACTTGATCTTTTGTGTGCGGGAAAGAAATGGCATAGAGATTTATTTTGACTAGGCTTCTTTGACACAATGCCTTTGTCTGGCATATACCCTGCCGTATGGACTTCCTTTTATGTGAGATCTCGCAGCCGAGTGATCATACCTTGAAACTTGATGTTCGAGACTAGATACCGAGGAATCTCAGTGTCCTTGCTGGTGGTCTACTTATAGCTATTTTTATGCAGCAAGGTGATGTGCTTACTGATATTCTCTCATTCTGGTAACTCTACTTAGGCTATGATATATTATTTCGACTTGAAATTCAAACTGGGAATCTTCAAAGAGATTGCGCGGTGATCGTGTTTAGATATATGTATCCAATTGAAACCTCAGCTGAGCCCATTTTCCGCCTAAGGCTAGCAGCCTTCCAAAGAAGATCTAATGATGCAAACCATCTATCATCTTCCATCTTCATCTTCCCACCTACGTTCAACGCTTTTCATCAAGTTTCATTGGGGGCGCAGAAATCTCCCCGGTATCGAAAACCACTCTGCGAAAGTGGTGCGAGACAAAAATTTTTTCACGCAGTCCAGATTTCAAGCCCGAAAGAGGCGAAGTTGAAGTTGAATTTGAAGTGTTGAAAGTGGAAGTGAAGGTGAAGCCCAGTAAGCGGGAGATCACCCCGGGGCCCATTGGTGGAGCCAACTTCTCCCACATTAACGATCCGTGGTCTTCACTCTCTCTGTTTACTTGCGGGAACTTCTCCAAAACCTCCAGGGCTGCTCATGTCTCAAGTTCAAAGTTCCGGATTGGCGGACCTTGAGAAAGAGCTGGTATGCTCAGTATGTGCTTGTCCCATTCCACCCCTTACGTTTCTAACACCGCTCTTTTGCCCCAGATTTGTACCGAGCTCCTCTACCAGCCCCTCACTCTCCTCGACTGCCTCCACACTTTCTGCGGATCCTGCGTGAAAGAATGGTTCTCCGCACAAGGGGCACGTCGCTCCCGCGCCTCGGCCCGATTTACCTGCCCATCCTGTCGCGCGGAAGTGCGCGACACCCGCCCAAATGCCACCGTGACGACCCTGCTGGACATGGTCCTGACCGCACACCCAGATCGAGCCAGAGCGACAGATGAAAAGGCAGAAATTGCCACTAGGTACACACACGGGGAGTCAGTCTTCCCAGCACTTCCTTCGGGCGGGGAAAGTACGGAGGAGGATGGCGAGGACGATAGACGCATTCTAGAGGAGGTACGCGAGCTAAGTCTACGCGAAAGCCGGGCACAAGCTAGACGCGAGACCCGAAGGGCGGGCCAATCTTCACGGACGCGCGAAAGGAGCACCAATACCGAGAGACTTGCGGAGGACAGCCGGTCAAGGCGTCGGAGGGATGACGATCCATCGCGGCAGCACCGTACATTACGGCCAGATGATTCGGACCGCACGCGACGGGTCGAGCATCAATCCAGTCTGCGGTCATTACTGAGCTTGTCATCTGATGCGGAGACTATGGAGGAAGAGATCTTGCGGCAAATTCTCGAGGACGGATTATTGGATAACATCAATCTCGATAATCTTGGGCCTAGGCAAGAAGAGGAACTCAGTGAACGCATCGCGGATGCCTACCGCCGGAGGCATATGCATAGATCACAGTCTCATCAGCGACAAGAACAAGGACGAGAACAGCGGCAAGAGGCTAACGGAGCTACGCGAACACATGCCAGTTCCGAGTCCGCCCACAGGACTGCAGACCCAACGGCAGCTACCCGGGAACACAATGTCAGACGACCACCAGTTTCGAGACCGCATCTATTTGATTCGGCTCCTACGCGGCCGAGCACCGCGGGTCACCAAAGGCGCAGCTCGGAACAAGCGGGTGGGCGCCGAAGAACCTCGCCCGTTCGAACAAATCAGGCGTCCGCATCAGACGAGGCCATACGGCCTGCTGCCCGATCCTCGAGTGATATAACTGCAGATCGCCACGTCTCTCAGACTGGGCGCTTGCGATCAGAATCGGCATCAGCCAGGCCGCGACGTGCTACAGAGTCAGAACAGAATATCTCTAGCGTGTGGGGGCCGGAGGACGAGAACGAAGCTCCTCTAGACAGGCCACGGGTCAATCAGCCACGAACTCCCCCACTTCTGGCGCTGCGCCCTCAAATTCGTCCCGCCATTTGCCTCACACGGACCACAGCCTTCCGTCATTATCTTCGCCGCTTGTTCCAATCCGGTCAGACAGACGGACAAGACCATCTTCGTCCCGATCCAATGTTTCTGCATCTCCCACAGTAAAATTCCCCGAGCCGTCCATCTCCTGTGATCGCTGCGGAAAGGACAACATCCAATATAATCTACACAAGAAATGCACAAGTTGTAAGGAAGGAAACTTCCACCTGTGTCTACGATGCTACCGCTCGGGACGTGGCTGTCACCGATGGAGCGGATTTGGTGCATCCGCACAGACGACCTTTCAACGAATCGTATCATCGTCTACTCGACGCCCTGTACAAATTAATGACACTCGTCATGTCTTGATGTGGTCCAAATACCAACGGCCCTCCGAGACTGCCCATCGAACGATGAGCGGAGAAAGACAAATGACCAGTGACAACCCAGCCCGCCGGTTACAAAGCGGTCTCTTCTGTGATGCGTGTCAATCGTCGGCCAACGATTGTTTTTGGAAATGCAGCCAGTGCAACGAGGGAGACTGGGGTTTCTGTAACTCCTGCGTCAACCAAGGAAGATGCTGCACCCACTCCCTGTTACCCATCCGGCGCATTACCCATAGTCCACCTCCATCAACATCGTCCACCACACCACCGCCAGCTGAATCAAATACCCTCCCCACGCCGTCCGAGATCGAGAGCTTCAAAATTCTCTCATTCTCAACAAACTGCGATATCTGCACCTACCCAATCCCAGCCTCAACTACCCGCTACCATTGCCTGGAATGCAATAACGGTGACTACGACGTCTGTACAAATTGCTACCTCAAACTCGTGGCAACAGGCAAAATCACCAAAGAAAATGGACACAACGGCTGGCGGCGCTGCCTCGCCGGTCACCGCATGATAGTAGTCGGCTTCGAAGACCACGAAGAAGGCCAGCGCCGCGTCATTGTCCGCGATCTTGTGGGTGGTCGCGCCCTGAAAGACGAGCACGTAGCGCAATCACAATTACAATCACCAACTTCCTCCCCAGCAACCGGCGGCCCCGTTGCATCCCCGGAGTTAGGAACCGGTGACTGGAGTTGGAAGGACGGTCCCGAGCGCCGTAAGAAAGCATCCCGTCTGCGCGCCGGGCCTGCCCTTACGAACAGTGCCACCGGAAGTACCGTCTCTGCTTCTGACCCCTCAAACCCACCCCTTTCCAGCTCCACCGCGACTCCCATTATCCCGCCCTTCCACCGATTCCCTCCTGATGGTGGCGTCGGGCTTATCGTCCACGCCCTCTGGTCATGGTACCCGGAAGAAGAAGTCCAAGACGAGCTTGTTTTCCCGCGCGGTGCACATATTACCGAATCGGAGAATATAAACGATGATTGGTTCTGGGGATGCTATGCTGGTCGAACGGGACTGTTCCCTGGTTCCCATGTTGAATTCGTCAGGGAGGTGCATAGGTAAGGATGCATTGGCGTTTTTGCTTTTCAATCTCTCACGCACATATGATACGCATGACATGCATCGTATACCCGTTCTGCTTTCTTTCCCCTTTGCGTCTGTTCTTGCATGGTTATGATGATTACGAAGATCAGAGTTATGAATTTGAATGCTGCATGAGCATTTCCTCGCATTGCATATATATCTTGTTAGATTCAATGAGCCACGGACTATATCTATTGTCCATGACATCCTCGAACGAAAATAAAATCTCTGATATATCCCTGCCAGTAGGACTATTTACCTGCATACCGAAGACATAGACCCACTATCACACCAATGATACCGCCAACCACTATGCCTATACAGACATGCACGGCGTAATACTTCACCACGCGTACCTTGGAACCATATCTCCACTCATCCCTGTAGCTTTTGTTGGTTTTGAGGATTCGTTTTTGGGGATACTTGGGCTGGTCTTCAATATCAAAATCCGCCCCGTTCGAGGGAGACTTGTGGGTGTGAGTCTCGGGGATTGTGGGCTCCATCTTGTGTGGTATAGGCGTACTCGACCGGTCGCTGGATGTGGTCTATACACAAGTAGCTTGTTAACGCCTGCGGATTAAAGATTTATGGGAACACCGGGCGCCCAGACGCACCTATACTTGGTTTGATCTCCTTTCCCTTTTGGGCTTTTGATCTGTCTCACGAGAAATAACCTTGGAGGATGCCAGGTTGAAGGGAGAAGGGCGAAAGCAACGAATAATAGGAGATCTAGGTGGTAGACAGTATCTTATAAAAGGACCAACAACTCAACAGCAGTCACTGAGTTTTTCATTCATGAATTGGCCGATCTTTGGGGCCATAAGAGTTGGGGGCCGGGGGCCGTAACAGTAGGCAAAATGCATTGATCAATCCGCTCCTCGGGTTCAGGGGGTTCCACTTGGCGATCACAGTTGGTGCCTTTGAAAAGTAGCTATTCTGAGACAAATATAACGAACAAGAATATATACAAAATAGCCATCTGGGTACCCTGTTCAGCTGTTCAGGGTGTCAGACTGAGCGGGTCACCCGAATCGGTTAGCCCCAGGACGCCAGACATGCTTAGAGACCCGACTCCGCGACCTTCCACCTTTCAATCCTCTCCCAAGTGGATGAGCAGAACTCACATACAAGACATTGAGATATCGTTATGCGACCCGGAACTGCAGTCCACTCTTCAAAGTAAGTCCTCTTTTTCCAACGCCTATACATCTTAGCCCTATATCTTTGTCATCAGAGACTTGGCACTCTCCTGGTGACACGAACTTATTCATCACTCGGCTGACAATCTGCCCTCTACTGAAGATCAGCCGGCCTAAAGAAAATATAACGGGACGATCATGGGCTGGCTAAGCCATATATTTGGCAAATTTTCAACCATGTCAGAAAAGCGAAAGCAGAAAAGGGCAAAGAAACGCCGGAGTAGAGAACACAGTCGACGAGTTCGAGAACGGGAAAAAGAATTAAGACGTCGACCTGGTGAAAAGGCGCCTTTATTCTTTGGCTCGCCTTTCACAACATACGAAGTGAACTATCGTGGACCTGCCGCAGGTGCATGATGGTTTTGGTGTTCCAGGGGTCAGGACTACGGCAATAGTGTTGTTATTACTATCTTCATTCATTTTTCCTTTTCCTTTGTTCGGTCTGTTGAGTGACCTGGTGTTGGTTATTGTCAAGATGTTTGATGGCTTGTTCAGCCCCCACTGAGTTCGGACCTCGTTTGTGGCCTATAAATATGCTCACGAACAGAAATCACTTGTTCTCTTCTCGTTCACTTTGTTACCTAATATTTCTCGCTCGGGTCCCTGAAAACTTTATTTGAAGTTATATGTTCACACTTCCTTATTTACTATCTGCTAGAGCCAACAGATACTTGTGGGAAACCGCACCTTCCTCGCCTGCCTTATATTTACGTGTTCCCTCAGCGACCATCAATACAGTAGTCATCAATACAGCCATCAATGTTACTCCTCTAGCCATTATCAACTTTGAAGGGAACTACGATGGCTCGTGTATAGATCTAGCAAGACACATGGTGCAGGAGGGAAAGGGGGTCTATATCCGGAAGGGGCATCTGTGCCTGAGAAGATTTCAATTTTCGTTCATTTATTTCTCATCGCTTCCTTCGAAGTCACCCCTCACCTTACTTTATCACCACAGCTCATCAGCACCATGATCTATATCATATGGCGCCTGGCATGGATAACGGGGATTTCACTTGCCACCAAGATAGTCCATCCACCAAGGGCTACCACAGATAGCTGCCACGATCGCAACTAGAGGTGAAACCTAGTGGACTATTGTCTGCTGGCGAAAGTCGCAATCCCGCGAAACAAAATGTCATTATACGGACGACAACCTCCCTCACCCAGACCATGCAGCTGCTAGGTACGCTCCTAGTCGATAGATGGGCATTTTCTTTCATCCTTCTTTCTTTCATCCTCTCTTTCTTCTTCGTCCCTTTTCACGTTTTTGCTATATTGTCTTAATTCGGGGGGTTTCCAGCACAATGCCTAGCATATTGGCACAATTACCTTTTCCAACTTGTCGGAAGTGATTATGTTCTCTGAATCGTGTTGGTGATTGGGATTTGCTGCATCAGCAGGTAAGCTTGCATATCCATGCATTTCCCTCCCCATTGCTAGCCTACAGGCCATGTCTTATGATACCAAAGGCGTTGTCAGGAATACTTTGCCTAAAAGCCCATCTAAATACCTATTGAGACTAACATTTAGTAGTACCCGCGTGTACATATTCCGGTTGTTACAATCGGTAATAGTGTGGGTGGCTAATGCCGAAGCCACCTAGACCACCGAGACTAAGAAGAGACAGAGATCCCAGGTGACGGGTTTAGAGCAGCAGATCCGTGGCACGGAGGGACAAGTTCATAATCCCGTTGGGAGACTACCAATCATCAGATCTTACGCAGACTCTTGCAGTTCTATCGAAGCGCCAGCCCCAGTAAAGGACCGGAGGTACCGAGCCAGAACCTAGCAGTCATGAATAAGCGGGAATTTAAGCCAATCTGAAGAGGCTCATGCCCGGTTCAATGTCAAAGGCATCCAGGAAGCAGGGCGAGGCAGACAAAAGGTGCGTGCTGGGGCAGTGCACTCTCCCCATGGTCACCCCGACCTTAGAAACCAAGGGACGTTGCATCAAGAGAACTGGATCGGCATTTGGAAAGGGCCAGGCCCATCAACTGGGGGAAAAATCGACATGGCAACAGTCTCGACCTAGATGGTGTTCCTCTTCTCGATTCACAATTACTGGGACAATGTAAAACAGGAAGCACGTCTCGCCCTCTCATACGTCCGCCTAACTGACGAAGGAGTCTTTTACTGCATCTGTACTATGACGCCTCACCAACGAAGCTCACGTTTTCAGGCAGAATTTGACCAACACGGAGACACACGCACATCCCGTATCCATTGGACCCCCCAGTGATCATCTGGGCCAATGGCATACCCTGGTTCCTGTGTACAAGGCGTTCTACGTCCTCTGTAGGAGCCTATACACCGCAGCGCACCACCCTCCGCAGGCTTCGCTCAACATATCTAAGAGCGCTTCTACGGGCGAATCGCCACACAAGCTGATGTTCGGCGTGGAGCTGCGTATGCCGTGGCACCTACTGCGGCAAGCGTTCTTCGGATCTCCCCAGACTGAGCGTCAAGGCGCGGATGAATGTGCTAAGTATACAGCCACATAGAGCAATGGTGTTTCACGTCAAGCTCGATTACGCGCACACCAATCTGAAAGTAACGCCTCCGTCAACGGTTGTTGAACCCATTATGTTCCTGAGTCGTCTCCTGACTCCGGCGGAGAAACATTACTGGGAAACCGAACTGGAGGTGTCGTGCATCGTATGGGTCGTCCGCAAGATCCGTCATATGATCGAGGCGGCACTGGAAAACCTGTCGCCCGTTCGAGTCATCGATTCGAAGGACAACCCTACAGATGCTTTAACAGAGACATTACTAAAGGTGCATTTTGTGGTGAAGAAGCTAAATTCTTGAAGGAAAGACTGTCTATATTGTCCATTTATTTCCCTTGGTTGGTTTTCTCTCGATATGTACAACCGCGGTAGGCCAAACCACACCGGCGAAAGTTTTAGTTACTGAACTAGATATTCATGGGACGGATATACACCCCATCATACATGTATACAGTCCCCTTTCATATCTTGATAGATGTCAGTGATCATTATATAGAATTATATAATATTACTAGTACGGCTAAGCCCTCTAAACCTGGTACCTGTAACTCCACCTGCGCATCCATGGATTAACATAATCCACGGCCGAGCGGCGAAGATGGCCGAGCGGTGGATTTTCCCATACCCTAGGTACCTCCTATCTTGAAGCTTTCAACGATAAAAATGCTAGCATTGCTAACATAGTACGTCTTTTTACCTTTTGATGATTTTTCTTAGGACACGCGGGGAGACGTGGTCCGCCCGCATGTGGTGGCTGAAGTATGTTAACCCCCATGAGATAGGGCTGACTGTGGGCTAAGCAGGGAAGAACAATCATACTATTGCCATACTTCACAACTTCTTACATATTAACTGTTAATATTGGAATGTATATGATCAATCATTTAGCTAGGCCTGTTGCCTTTGTTTATGCCAAGTCTTCGACTAAATCTCGGCCATCAAGACCCCACTACACGCCGAATTCAACTTTGCCATACAGCTCGCCAGAGTCTATAAAACATTCGTTATTCTTCTCTAGCTACGCAAGTAAAGAGCCATCTTGGTCAGTCTAGTATATATTATTCTGTCATGTCGGATCCCAAGTCCTCCCGGGCGGAGGGCAATGCAGTTCCATTGCCATGCCCCGAAGGACAAACTAAGGAATTGTCGCCTCCTTCTGTCGGCGACATCAAGTTGCCCGGTGCAGCTCGCATGAAGGCCCTTTATTCTTCTCTTACGATCGTGGAACGGACTGCTATCTTCTCTAGCATCTTCGTTATTGGTTTTGCTTATGGCCTCGACAACATACTACGGGGCACATACGAACCATATGCCACTTCCTCCTTTGGCGAGCATTCCCTCCTATCAACCATCAACGTTATCCTCTCCGTTGTTGCCGCTGCTTCCCAGCCGACTGCGGCCAAGATCGCTGATATCTTTGGTCGAGTCGAGCTAGTTGTCTTTTCCGTCTTCCTCTACGTTCTTGGTACTGTCGTCGAGGCCGTCGCGAAGAACGTATCCACCTATGCAGGTGGTAGTGTCATTTTCCAGGTCGGCCAAAGTATGATCAAGGCTCTTAACTCGATCATTGTTTCCGATATCACTTCAACCCGCTCGCGCCTTTTCTTCAGCTACACTCCCATCGCGCCGGCTCTTATCACCACCTGGGTTAGCGGTAACATCGCCAATGCCGTCCTTTCAGTTACCGACTGGCATTGGGGTATTGGGATGTGGTGCATCATTTATCCTGTTGCTGCATCCCCTCTCATCATTAGCCTCTGGACCGTCACCCGGCGGCTCAAAAAGCAGGGCACCGCGGAGAAATCCAGCACCCTCCTCCAGGCTCTCGGCCCAAGAAGGTTCGTAGTCGAACTTTTTTGGATGCTCGATATTATCGGTATCATCCTCCTTGTCGCAATATTGGCCCTTCTCCTTGCGCCACTCACCATTGCCGGGGGCAACCAGTCCAAATGGAAGAGCGCTCATATCATTGCGCCTCTCGTTGTTAGCGCCTTTTGTGTTCCCGTCTTCATCTTCTGGGAACTCAGGGCCCCTCGTCCCTTGATTCCAATGACTCTGATGAAAGACCGAGCCGTCTGGGCTCCCTTAGGGATTGCTATCTCACGGAATATCGGGTACCATCTGCAGGCCAATTATCTTTACACGATCCTTGTCGTGGGTTTCGACTTCGATGTCACCGCCGCGACTCGTATCTCCTCTCTCTTTTCCTTCGTCCAGGTTGTAGTCGGGCCCATCCTCGGTTTGGTCGTCTTCCGGGTCCGGCGGCTCAAAATGTTTATAATCAGCGGGACCATGATTTACATAGTCGGGTTCGGTCTCCTGATCCGATACCGCGGGTCCCTTACTGGCAACAGCAAGGTCGGCGTCATTGCAGGTCAAGTTCTTCTAGGTTTTGGCAGCGCGCTATTCTCATGGCCAGCTCAGGCGTCAATGCAAGCTCACATCAAACATGAACACCTCGCCGTTATGACAGGCACATTCCTGGCTTCATATAATGTCGGCTCTGCTATTGGAAACACAATCTCGGGAGCAATATGGACCCAGCTTCTACCATCCTCGCTCCATGAGGAACTCGCCGGTATTAACTCCACCCTGGCCACCTCCGCTTACAGGGATCCGTTTACGGCGATCGCCGAATGGCCCATGGGTACCCCTGAACGTACGGCTATTGTTCGCTCCTACCAGTACATTCAGCAGCTTATCACCATCACTGGTATCTGTCTCTGCGTACCGATCATGGCCTTTGCCTTTGCTGTGCGCGACCCTAAACTCAACGACGAGCAAACTCTAGCTAGTGACGACGATCTGCCCTACCAAAGGCGGTTGTCACAACATGTGCAATAGCCAGAGCCAACCAAGTTCCCAGGAGCCGTACAATAGCTCCAATTCACCCACCTCTTGATGCCTCAGCAATTCTCTGGTATACGACCGAGAAATATTTTAACCCTGCTCAGAGTCTCTGCGCAAATCACTGAGCAATGACCTGGACGGTCCCCTACCACACATTATCTTGCTTATGTACTTTTGGTAAGGTACTCCCATCAAGAAACGCGTCCAAGTTTTGATATTCGCTGTCATTGCTCATCCCATTCCAATTCCTTCTTGACCACGAGCCATATTAGGAAATAATGTAGTGAGAAGCTCGGAGCAGTCTGCATAAATCGATGTCCATAAATGCAATGAGACAGACATAGGCAACCCTGCATCAGGATCGGTAATGCTTATTGGTATAACCTTGATACAAATTCACTTTCCATGCCATTTCTTCTTTCACCTTGGGAATGATATCATTCCCCCCCAATTGGGTATTAAAACTTTGTAATTATAATTCTGATTTAATTTAGTGTTCACGGCTCCCATTCATAATCTCCTGTGGCCACAGAAGCCAATCTTGATATTTCGGATCCAACACAGAGTATAGTTGTGTCATAAGCCGCGCGCTTAGACCTTCCATCCACCACATCCACTCGATCTGGCGAATAGATGCGCACCAATGGGCAAAGATAATGAGTGCGATCGGCGCTTCCTGGCACAAAAGGTTTAAATATTCATCTGAGATATCGAGCAGCCACCGGAAGACATCTGCGGTCTCGAGTCTCCGCATGATGCCAGGTCTTATAGCTAGACCCAATGTTCGGGCTAGTTCATCTAAGGCCTCTTGGTAGATGGCCCGAAGTTTTGGATCATTTGCACACTCTCTCCAAACCAATTGCTGCAATTCCCAAACATGAGGCTTGCCTTGCTCGAGGGCCTGTGGCTCGCGATGGGCAGCAGCTAGATAGGTTCCATTCGTGAAGATCGGTGCCAGTTTCCCAGTACGAAGATCCTCACCTCCGGTACTGATAATAGTTTTTGTCCCACGGAAAAGACGGGCCCACTCTGATAAATTGCCTCGTTCAAAGAGGACCAGGAAATCGCCTTCTTCTGAAGGCTTGGCGCAGGAGAACATGCAAGTTAGAGAGGAGAAAATGAAAAGTGCTGTACCGTTTTCTCTCGCGATAGTCGAGACGAGCGGGACCATCTCTCTCACGGCAATGTTATGGTGCATTTGTGCGTAAGCAAGGCAGCTTGCGCGTCGAGATTCATCAGAGCGAGCTAGATGTAGCGCGGAAAATGCTAGCAAGGTGTGCAAGACTGGTGGTGTTGAAAAGCCAATGCGGGGTGCTTCCTGGCACCATATGCTCTGCACGGCGGGGCTTCGGGATAGTGTGTAGCAGGTTGACGTTGTCCAGTGGTGCAACAGTTCCAGGTCAAAGACAGCCAATGTGGAAGGGAATGGTCCTAAGGAGGACAGACTTGGTAAAGCTTGTGGGATTTGTGCTGGGGCACGAATTGTTCCAGAACCAGTGCTTTCTGGGCCGGATAATGACACAGGTGACTCTGCTAAATCCGTCTGTGGTGTGGAGAGCACGTTTGAGGGACTGGCAAAGGAACAAATCACCCCGTGCTTCTCACAGTTCCGGCAACTTGGCTGGCTTTCATCACACTGACACAGAATCATAAGCTATTGCTCGACAGAAACATTGATGTATCTCTCACCTTGACTTTGCGCTTTTTGCATTGTAAGCACCCAGATCTCGATTTCCGGTGCGAACGGCGACCTGGAGGGAATGAAGCCATGTCGATCACTAGCAGGTACTGTAAATCTATAGTGGACCCCGACAGGAATCTAATATAGATTGCACCATTAAGAGGGAGTCGAGGCCTAAGCCGATTTCGCGGAGGCGCAGGGGCATAAAGGGGCTGTGCGCTAGCCGAATACGGCTAGCGTTATCAATTTTGGTGGGGGGAAGCAGTGTTCTTAGTCTGGACCTCCAGACCTTTAGAATTAAGAAAGAAGTATGGTCTACTCCGTAGGCTGTGTATGGGTTAGAACAAATTAATCTAGCTTCAGATAATAATATATAGAATGAGGTATACATATGTGGTCAGCATGAAAACAATGCCCAGCAATGTCCAGTACCCCATTTTCCGGCCTTAAAAGGTCACCGAAAGAACAAAATAAGCATTCCACAAAAGCAATAACACAATACTGTTTTTTCTTAATATAGTTATATGTGTTAAGAATGAGTGTTAAAATAATTCTTAATAAGGGACAAAGTTTCCATCTTTCAATTTAAAGTATATCTCGTCGATATATATATATATTTCATCATGTTCCAAAAATGAACCTTTTCTCAAGTTCCCAATTTTTGAGTCAGCAAAGCCTTGAACATCTGGATTGTGGCAATATAAATAACCATTTTGTTCCAGGGTAGACAGGTTGTTGCCCGCAGCTTTCTTTGACTTTTATATTCAGGACCTGCGGCCGGACAGAGCGGCTGAAGCCCCGTCACATTACGTAGCCCCGCATCTGTGGTATGCGCTGCACCTTGCATATATGTATCATGCTTTGTACTGTAAAGCGCCTCGATAAGGCGAACGGCCATCCATAACATGGAGGTCAAACACGGCCCTCCACTTGACCTGCATGTATGACATCGGATGCACTGCACGGTACTCCCCTTTGAACTCTGAAAACTGACCGCTCTTCCTTGCCCAGTCTCTTTAAATGATTGAGGACCACCTTTCTGTGTAGTGTCAATCCCAACACTAGCGAATATCTGGCAAGATCTTCCCACAGTGAGCACTTGGCACCCTTTCCGGTTCCCATCGGTAGCATTAGCGCATACTGATCAACTCATGAAATAGATGCCACAAGGAACTGGAACCCTGACAAGTGACAAAGGACGCGTCCTTGGTCAATTTGAAGTGGAAGGCTCTCAATATATTTTCGTCGGCAACTTGACTGGCTTCGGACAGTCTTTCTCCATTCCCAATGCCGATGTCACTTATGACTCAGCCGACCAGTTACACAAAGAATCTGAAGAATTCGAAAATTTACCTATAGAAAAAGATCAGATTGAACTCAAGCTCAAGAACGGGGTTGCTATCACGGGCGGTTTTGATATGCCGTTCAGCGATGGCGAGGTTAAGAAAGGGACCGTTGTTGGCGGTGGAGGGAAATGGTTAAAGTTGTGATTGCGATGAGCCATGGGGTTTTGAATATCCGCCTGGGCACGGATGTGTGAGATGACATTAGAATTAAAACGAATCAAGGGGTTTAACGAAGTGAAGTTGGCGATGTCCATTTTGTATACACCAACGTAGATGGGTAGAGAACGCCTATCAACCTTGCAATAAGGCAACAACCATTCATTTTTCTTTAATTAGAACAAAGAACCATGAATACGAAAGTATGAAGTCCACTTGTAAAGATTGGCAGACGTCAATAATCCTAGAAAGTCAATAATTCTAGAAACTCGCAAGGCTGTGAACGCCCCCACCTGACTGCGCCACACTCCCACCCGAGCAGCCGGGGACATATAAACAGGGAGCCCCTCAGCCCTCAGCCCGGACCTTTCTTACTTGCATACATACAATCACAGTCTCCATAACATGTCTTATCAACCTAACCGTGAGTGGCATTTCAAATACATTTCAAGGCTTGGCATGAGCTAACCTCTTTAATAGAACCTCCGTACGGAGGCTACCCTCCCCAACAATACGGACAGCAAGGCCCTCCTTCAGGGCCTCCGCCCCAGGGCTATCAGCAGCCCTACGGTGCCCCTCCCCCGCAGGGCCAATACCCCCCTCAGCAAGGGCAATACCCCCCTCAGCAAGGCCACTACCCCCCTCCTCAACAGGGCCATTATCCTCCACCCCAGCAAGGTCACTACGGTGCCCCTCCGCAGGGAGGTCAGTACGGCGCGCCATCTCCTCAACCCCACGGATACCATGCTCCGCCCGGGCAACCTCCATATGGCCAGCAGCAGCATGGTTATGCCCCTCCCAGCCAACCGCCCGCGGGATACCCACCTCAAGGTCAACCACCCGCTGGATACGGCGCACCACAAGCCGGTGGCTTCCCGCCCCAGGGTATTCCGTCACAGCCTTCTCCCGGTTACATTCCTGGTCAAGTAGCACCAGGTGACTACCGGCCCCAAGCAGATGCGCTTCGCAAAGCAATGAAGGGCTTCGGCACGGATGAGAAGGCCCTGATTGCAGTCCTCTCGCAACTCGACCCCCTCCAGATGGCCGCTGTCCGCGACACCTATTCTAAGCACCTCGGCCGCGATCTCTTCAAGGATGTCAAATCCGAGACCGGCGGGTACTTCCGCGATGGCCTACTTGCCGTGATAGACGGACCGCTTATGCATGATGTCGAGAGCTTGCACTCGGCAATTGATGGCGCTGGCACAAAGGAGTGGCTACTTAACGAGATCCTCCTCGGCCGCTCCAATGCCGATATGAATGCTATCCGGACCGCCTACGAAATGAGATTTAGACGTTCACTTTCTAAGGATGTCGAAGGCGACCTCTCCTTCAAGACGTCCACTCTGTTCGCCATTGTCCTTCGCGCTGCTCGCACTGAAGAGTCTGCCCCTATCAACCCGCAAACCATTGAGGCGGACGTTCGCTCCATACAAGGGAAGAACGTCACAGAGGTGTGCTCAATCTTTGCTAAGGCGTCCAATGCCGAGCTCCGCGCTATTAGCCAGGCTTTCCAGTCACGCTATCATATTCCCCTCGAGAAGCATATCGAGAAGGAATTCTCGGGTCATATGGAAGATGCGCTGCTCCTGATGCTCCGCTCGGCTACGGATCCTGCTATGCGCGATGCTATCCTACTCGAGGAATCCATGAGCGGTATGGGCACTAAGGACGAGCGCCTTGTTGTTCGTGTTGTCCGAACCCACTGGAGCCGCAACCACAAGGAGATGGTCAAGCGCGCTTACCAGCATAAGTACGGGAAGAACTTGATTGATCGCGTGCGTGGCGAGACGTCTAGTGATTACCAGCGTTTGATGGTTGCTCTTCTTGAGTAGAGGCTTTTTTTGTTCTTTTTCCTTTCCTTTTCTATTCCTGTACAAATTATGACCTCTATGATTGGTTACATTTACTTTGAGATACCATGATATGAAATGAGGAAATGCGAGTTACGCAAGGCAGATAGTGCTGAGTGCTATAGTAAGAGAAGCCAAACGATTATGTTCTACTTTGATCACCTTCTGGACCCTTGTATTTGCTGTATATTATATTAACATAGATATTTACAAGCTTTTAACCTTCTAGGTTACAAGTTAATAGTCCACTTTGTCCGCAGCCTCTCTCCCCAGGTTTGGAACAAAATCGGTATAGGGGCCATTGCCAAAGCAAGGAATGCCAGCAAACTATTCCCCCACCCAAGGCCAAGTTTTTCGTACATTTGCAATCCACAAAGAGGAAGAAGAGCTCCAAGTAAGCTTCGCAGAACAGTGCAAGCAGCCACAGCACTAGCAGCATGAGCCAGGAAAGCGTCTACCAGATATGTCTGAACACACATCAATATAACGATCATTCCAAACCCAATAGTCGCATTTCCAATCTCGGGAACAATCCAATGGACCACTTTATCTGTCGACCACCCGTAGATAAAAAGACCAGACGGAATGGCCAATGACCCAGGTATGGTAAGATACATGGGAAGTCGGTCCTCAGGGACAGGTGTCTCCTTGCGCTCGAGTTTGATCCTGATCTTGCGATCACTCAATGTCCCCACGTAGGCAAGACCAACCAACATTCCCACTCCACTTCCAAGAAAAGACAGGCCGCTGGCGCTGGCAGAGAATCCATACTGACCGTCAAAGACAATCGTGAATGTTGTGAAGAGGATGTAGAGGAAACCGTAAAGAACGGCAATGTAGCTGGACATTAAGGCCACTACTGGGGACATAACAAGCATTTTTGATGGCCGAATGAGGCTTCGCAGGAAAAGCTGTTTTGGAGGTATCCCGGAATCTAAACGAGATTTATATGCCGTGTCTCCTGTTGACTTTCGCAGCCGAGCAGCTTTTCGCTCAAGGAGAATTGGTGCATATGTCTCAGGCACGACAAAAAAGAAAACGACCGATGCCGCTCCGCCCTAGAAAATGAGTTAGAAATGAGCTTTCTTTGATTCTGAAATTGTCTTTCTTACCACTATGGCAAGAACCCAAAACACCCATCGCCAATTTGTCGCCTCTACGAGGAACCCACCAACGACGGGGCCAATGATTGGGCCGAATAGCGGTCCCAGGGACCAGATAGCCATTGCCTGGCCTCGTTTCTCTCTCGGCACAAGATCTGCAATTGTACCACTACCACATGTGATGGCAGCAACACCCGCAAACCCATCGAGGAATCGGAAAACTACCAGAGATGCCATATTGGGAGCAAGTGCACTGGCGATGTTGAATATCACAAACAAGACATTGCAAACATTGTAGACCCATGTGCGGCCACCATACTCACTAACGGGTGCGACAATCAGAGGTCCGAGGGCAAATCCTAGGACATAAACTGAGACGACAAATGTCGAGAGGAGATTAGATGTTGAGCCGAAGTCTTCGAGGACTTGTGTGATACCCGGCGCAAACATCGAAGAGGCGAGGGGACTACTCTTGTTAGAATCTTGATCTGGATGATAGGTTTTAAACACTCACGTCAAAAAAGTAATAAAAGAAACCATTCCAATGATACTCCATTTGCGCCTGAAACTCCAGTTCATCGGATTTTCGGGGTCTTCACTGGCTGGCTCCTGCCAGAAAACATCATATTGAGACGCATACGCCGGGTGTTCTTCGTTGACTTCTTCATCTGGTAGTCGGTCAGACTGCGCTTCAGGATCAAGAGATTTCGCGTCCATGTTGAGGGCACTGAGAAGAGAAATCCACACATATGGCGGTTTGATGTGCGCCAACGGGCTTTTTGAATGAATCCAAATCTGCCGTATGCATTTCATGCCTAAATTATACAGGCTTCTCCACATCCATCTACCTATTAAAGGGGTTCTCGGCAGATTATGCATATATATGAGATCCCAGTCCGTGTTCTAGTTCCCGAGGAGGGACTTCTTGTTCGTATTCGTATCTTCGCGGCAGCCATTGGTGGACGGCATATGGATCGACCTCGGGTTCGGGTTCGGGTTTGGGAAACGACGGGACGCGCACTTTCGACTCCATTCAACCCCCTAATTCCCATTGGTGCCTAGGATCTTGAACTAATTAAAGCTTCTTCATTTGTTAATGTCTCAATTTAGCACTGCCGCAGAGATGCTAGTGGCTATGTTAACTAACCAACCTCAGACCTGACCAAGACCCGCACATATAAGACTCCAGACATTCGCATCGGACTGCCTCTCTAAATCATCTATTACCAGGCAATATCGAGACACAATGGGGATTATTTTCAACGTGCAATATGCGCTAGCAACGGGACTCTTTACGGTATATCATCCGATGCCCTTTGTGACTTCTTATCTAACGTGTTCAGGCGACGTTATATCTTGTCTACACAGTGATCTACAATGTGTACTTTCACCCCTTGAGCAGGTTTCCAGGGCCGTTGGCACACAAGATATCACGACTGGCATATGTCTACCGATCTATTCGTGGAACTCTTCCCTTTGATATGCTGGAAATGCATAAGCGATATGGCGACATTGTCCGTATTGCGCCGGACGAACTGGCCTTTTCCCACCCCGATGCCTGGCAAGACATCATGGGCCACCAGAAAGGAAAACCTGAATTCTCAAAGGCAACATGGTTTTACCGTCCAATGGAAGGCGAAGCGTGTCATGTAGTCAACGAAAGCAGAGAGCAACATGGGCGTCTCCGTCGACAAATGGCCCACGGCTTCTCTGAAAAGGCAATGCGAGACCAGGAGCCAATGATTCGTGGCTATGTCGACATTTTGCTCAACCGGTTAAATGAATTTTGCGAGTCTGGTACTCCAGTGGTTCTTTCCGATTGGTATAATTATACTACCTTCGATATCATTGGAGACCTGGCATTTGGTGAGCCATTTGGCTGTCTTCAGGGATCAAACCTTGACGGATGGATTAAAGGGATTTTCGACGCCGGCCGGCTTGGCATTGTCTTGCAAGCTCTCTCATTCTATCCATCCGTGAAACGGACCCTGTTGTCAATGGTGCCCGCGTCAATGACAGAGGCCCATGATAAGCATAAGAAACTCACAGAACAGAAGATGATGCGTCGGATGGAAAAGGAAGAGGGCCGGCCCGACTTGATTGAGGGACTTCTGAGGAAGAGGGAGGAACTGGTGAGTTCTCAACTATAACTATTTCCGCTAAGAATAACAACTGACCTTTTTCAGAACCTGAGTATTGATGAACTCATTGCAAATGCTGAAATTCTCATTATTGGTGGTTCCGAGACAACAGCTTCATTATTGAGTGGAGTTACATACCTCCTCCTTACGAATCCGACTGCCTATCAGAAACTGAAAGAGGAAGTGCGCACTGTGTTTCAAAGCCAGGAAGATATCGATCTGATCTCTGTTAACAAATTACCCTACATGCTTGCATGTCTCGACGAGGCATTGCGCATGTACCCACCCATTGCAAATGGGCTGCCCCGTGTGTGTCCTGGGGGTGGTGCCAAGGTCTTGGGCGAATATGTTCCAGCAAACGTGAGTCTCATTCGATGTTCATACTACATGTTGATGCCTGCTAACGGTGTTTTTCAAGACTTTTGTTTCTGTCCATCAATGGGCACTTTATCGACGCGAAGAGTATTTCAAGGATCCCAACACATACCATCCAGAGAGATTCCTAGGTGATCTATCATTTGCAGATGATCGCCGAGAGGTATTGCAGCCATTCCATACTGGACCGAGAAATTGCCTCGGAAGAAAGTACGTAATGACCTTGAATACTATGGGAAGTAATAAGCGGTACTAACCACATTGCTTTAGTCTTGCATATAGCGAGATGCGTCTAATCCTTGCATTGATTATCTTTAACTTTGACATGGAGATTGCCGATGAAGCCCGTGATTGGATCAAGCAGAGAAACTTCCTGATGTGGGAAAAAGGCCCGTTGAAGGTTCATTTAACTAGGGCATAAGATTATTTATGAAATTGATACATGTTAGACATATCAAACGCACCGTGGGAGTGACGAAGATGAAAATAATTAAAGTAATTGATTATCCATATTAAGTCCTGCTTGTACAATGGAAATCCCACGCTTCTTCCTCTATGGCACATATCAGTCATAGCATCATGCACGCCATATCGAACAAAAAAAAAAACAAGTAGAAGCAAAGCAAATGCAAGCCTTGGGTGTAAGCCACAAGGCCCATATCTTCCAAACGCTCAAAAACAATCAGACTTCGTAAAGGCATATATATATGGGTATTTTTCCATGCAGCGTATAGTGTCAGTCAGTCATGGATCTCATAAAAAAACAGAAAGCAAGAACAAATGCCGAAAATGAAAAATGAAACGTATCATGGTGTCGTTCGGTTACACACTGGCTGTGCGTCGGGGAACCTCACTAGGCTTCTGAGCATATGCAATGAACATGCGGAACCCAGTGCCGCGCTTCTGGCACTCGCGGAGAACCTTTCGGTCATTCCAAATACCCGGATCAATATTTCCAGTCGAGAAAATAGGATCTTCATAGCATTTCGAATACCACCAGCGTCCGACACGGGCAACAATCTTGGCGATTGACTCATCGTTTGCGGGAGACGGGGAAGGGTCAGAGAGCAAATCACCGAGAGAGATATTCGCATCATTCGAAGGGGATTTAGAAGTAGTTCCGGTGCTTTGGCTACCACCCGCAGTTGTGACGGATATGGTTGGTAGCGGGAATGCAGTGGAAGGGATAGCTGTTGAAATGGAGTGTGCCGATGAGCTGGAGTCAGAAGATCGGAGGACCATGCCCGCGACTGGAATTCGGACCATGCATCGACGGAGACTGTCGAAGCCTTGCGCGCCGAGTTCGCGTTGGACGCTGTCGCTTGTTGGTTTTAGACTGAGAGTCGAGTCTGAGAGACAGGTCATTTCTTTGAGTTTGCGGATGGCTTTGCGCGTGTGAGGTCCCATGTTCACCATGTCGCGGTCGAGGAGGCTCATTTCGAGATACCCTCCGGTACGGAGAACACGTCTGCATTCTTGGATGATGTTGCCTTGCACGGTCTCGGAGCAGACAGCGGGGAATCGTAGTACGGCTACTGTGAAGTAGTCTTTTGGGAAGGGAAGGGGGTTGTCCAGTCCTGCGTGATACACAGTGTGGTGGTTGGTAGGGGGCTGCCATGCAGCAGGGTGGGGAGGTGTCGCAGATACAGGACGTCCACCCAGACTGTATACCTCGGCATCAGGATATGTCAAAGAACAGTAGAAAGACCAGTCATCATTTCCCAGTCCGTCGATCACAAGAATTCGTCCTTGTCCTCCGGCTTTAACGTGGTTATGTGCCGGGCTGAAAAGAACTCGGCCGAATGATAACCATCGACTAGTCATGAGCGAAGCAGAACGCATGTTAGTCCGTGTCACTGCATCCCACTCACGCTCCGAAGATGCGGCTTCGTGTTCGCGGTGGAATTTTGGTCTAGGCGAAGGGACAGCTGCGAGGGAGTTAAGAAACGTAGACTGCTTTTCACGACGCTGGTCTGTTGAAGAAGGCTCCTCGGTAGGAGCGGTAGTCTGCTGTGTCTTTTCCTCATTGGAGCCGCTATATGCAGCGACAAGATCACTATAAGACGGTTGAGACGAAGGAGCAGTAGACGATTGCAAGGCAGAGACGATTTGAGAACGGCGAAGATGAACAGAGCTGCCGCTCGAGCGAACTGAATTGCCACCAGGTACTGGCTGGGGTTGATTTGCATTATTCAACTCGTCTTGAAGAGCCCTGCTCGCCATCGTTGCAAGTTCAAATCTGTCCTCTTCTGCAGTCTTTTCCGCCTCCTCGGGCTTAGGTTCATCTGGCGATAGAACATGATCAATAAGATCGTCGTACTCATTCCACACCTCGTCCTCAGTCGGTGGGGAACCTGGAATCGGGGGGACGGCAGTAACCGCAGCCAGAGCTCCAGAGCTGTCTGACGACGTAGAGCCTTTCTTCGGCGGAAATTGAAGGAACTCATAAGTTAAGAACGGTCCGGCAAGAAACTCGAGAGCGCTGGTCTCCTCGGAAGCGCTAAAAGTCGGGTTGAACCCATCGCCCCAGTTAGAGGATTCGCTTGGGCCAATCCCCAGGTTCAACGGAACATGAGCGATAGGTGGAGACTCGTATGAGCTTTGCGTCGTTGGAATAGTGAGAGAAGGGGACTCGACAACACTGAACGGGCGCGAGAATGACTGCATGGCGGGCTGATGATGTCTATCGCGCCGGGAAACTACTTGTGGGATCCGACCGACCGAGGCTAAACGCGGACGCTGTTCAGGTGATATCTCGAGCTCCGGGGCCATAAGGTTGCGATTGAACATGGCGGTCCTTGGCGATGGCCGGTCATCATTTTCGAACTCACCATGCATCTTTGGTGGAGATGGCAACAGAATGGATGGCTTTCTTTTTCTGATGCTCAAGCCTCTTGGAATTTCCACGGGATGGAAAATTGTTTCCTCCTCTGTTGGGGGTGAGTCTTCGATGTTATTGATGATTTCATCGAGCTCGTCCGAATCAGCATCCACCAAAGCGTAATGGGCCACGGGCCGAGTGTTCAGAACTGGGGAGATTGCCGCATGAAGTTTCGCGGTTTGGGATGAGGTCGTTGCAGGAATTGAGTTCTTCTGTTCGTTGGCACGGTTCTTCTGGAAGAAATTCCACATGGATGGTTTTGCTTTCTTGGCTTGTTGCTTCTCAACCTGCTCAGGCTTGTTGACCTTCTCGGGGAGTTTTGAGCGGGCTTTGGCTGGTGTGAGGAAGCAGCGCTTGGCTCTTGGCTAGAAAGAGACGTGCTTGTGACAGCCGCCTGGGGGTTCGCAAAAACGCCGTGTTTCTTCCCCCTTGGAACAGGCATACGTGACTTCAATGCAATCGGGCGATTAGGTGCGTTAGATTGATACTCAGGGCTCTTGCTTCCCATCGGTGTGGTGCCATTTGAGTAAATTGGCGTAATAGTCTCACCAAATGTCCCCGTTGAAGTCGCAAGGGATTCGGTAGACTGACCAGTCGAGTATGACAGCAGAGTTTGCCGCGGCAAGTTCGAGGTCGACGCAACGCTTATGCTACTGAAACTCTGCTCGCTTTGTGTTCGTGACAACGATGCACCATCCAGTCCACCGCCATTGATAATGACAGGCTCCAGACGGCTCATTAGGAAATCATCAATGTCCAACTCTGGGCGACTCGATTGACTCCCTTTGCTAGCGACACTCCGTGTTGTGCTTGTTGATCTGGTTCTCGTCCCGCTGCTACTACTACCACTTGCTTTGCGGCCGCGCTGTCCGTATTTTCCGTACCCCTCATGGCCTGTTCCTGCGGCTGGACCTTTGCGAGTAGCTCGAGCTTGCTCTGTCGAATTCTCTGAGATGTCTGGCTTGGACTTCTTTGTGAATAAACCGAACCGCTTTTGTGCTGGTATTTGCTTTGGATCCGTCTTCTCTTTGGAAGTCTGCTTGGTCGATGCCAGAGGTGTCTTTTTGGATAGTATGGGAGATGCGCCATCTCGAGAAGGGACTTGGGAGATTGTTCTTGATTGCAGGGAGTCAATTGATCCAGCGGCAGGCTTGTTAGGAGTTGGGTGTGACTGTTGGGTTGCCAGGATCTTTTCTATCGACTCGCGTCTCGTGTGGCCCGTTGTTCTAAGGTACCGTAAGTTGCTTTGGATAATCGGCGATGTTTCAAGATCTAGGCGATGTGTTCCATCTCTGCTCGGGCGTGGTGGAGTTTGTGGTGCGTCTGCATTCTGCAAGGGAGAACATTCCATAGCCCTTTGTGGGTCAAACAAACGTCTCTCAGCTTCCTCAACTTCCCTCCGAGCCTGCTCAACATCGATTTCGGGGGATTTTGGAGGGCTGAAATTGACCGATGACTTTCTCGGTGGCGGACTGAAAGGTGGGCCGCGGAGTACTGTAGAGGGAGATTTAGAAGGTGGTGCTCTCTGGCTTTTGTCGGTCCCTACTGAGCTCGAGACAGAAGGCTTCGTGGGAATTACCCGCGTTTGAGTCTTCAGCCCTGGCCTTTCGTGCTGAGGGCTTGCATGTGCCGGTGGAGGAGAAAAGACAGGCAATCTTGTTTGAGACGGGCTCGGTTGTCTCAGACGGCCAATCTTTGTAATACCGGGGGAGTATGATGACAATGATGTTGGGGTAGACCCTCTACTCCAAATACTCGGAGATTCCGAGTATCTTGTAGAGGGGCTACTTGACAAAAGAAATGGAGCGGGAGGCGCTGGCAAGTTTTGCGTATCAACTGTTGTTCGAAGACTTGCCAGCTCCACCGGGCCATTAAATCTAGACCTCACTGAATTAACCGTCACATTGCTCTCATTCTTATGGTTTGGATTGTAAGAGGAAGCCGATTGCCCTAAAAGTGGGGATGACGAATTTCCGTGTCCTGAGACATTGTTCATAACGAGAGAATGAGACTCTTGTGGAATAACAAGGCTCAGCTTGTCAGAGTGCAATTGCTCCACATGTTTTCCTATTGTCGGTGCCCTCCTTCGAAGAACATTCCGTGCTCGTTTCGGTGGGGGCAATTGTTGTCCAGCAACGAAAAGCGAAGGGTTGTTAATCTCCGGACTGGAGAGCGAGGACGGGATTGGCTGAGTAGAATTCTGAGAAGAGGAAGCGGACACTGGCGTAGTTGGAGATGTTGTGCTACCAATACTGGGGCGCGGAAGCATGGACAGGCGATTTCCACGACTGGTAGATCGCTTGATAGCCGACGGCGCTGATACCGGACCAGTATCTTCCGCATCTGAGACTGAGGAGGTTCTATTCCTAGGAGTGTGATTGACTGGTCTCGCAATTTGGGATCGCGCAGGTCGACCATAGGCACCATTATTGGTACGTGATGAGTTTGAAGAAGCATCGTGTGGCATGTGATGGCCAGTACTGTACGACATGGCGTACGGATGAGTGAAGTTCCCGGCTCCAATCCGGGGACAAATGATTAATCGGTGGGTACATGTACTTCGTTATAGTAACCATCACGTCGTTATTGGGGTATAGAGCTATCTGACCTAATCAGCTCTTTGGTCTTCATCATGCTTGATGTTTCAACTCACGGCATCTGAGTCATGTCAAACGAAGATATCAACATTGATGGGCGCCTAGCGCTTGACAGTGGGGGGTTATAGAAATTAAGTAAAAGTAAATGGAATTCAAAAAAAAAAAAAAAGAAGGGTATCTCAAAGTCGCACAACTAAAAATTAGGTGTCAATAGACATTGCATGGATGTTAAGAATCATAAAAATGAAAAGAAAAGAAGACACTCACAGACGTCAGTAGATAAACGAGAAAAGTCCACTGTGGATCGGCGAAGCCTTAAAGCTGCAGCTTCGCCACAGTCTGGAGCAATGTGGCGTCCGTCTTCAGGGTTCTCCGTTGGCCACGTCAGAGATTAAATCTGGCTGATGTAAAAATAAAATTGTGTTCAAAACGAAGAGATCAAAGATATCGAAGAATAAGAATATCCGAGATGCCAGAGATTTATGTGCTGACTGGTGTTGCCCCTCGGATGTGGGGGAAAAATGCCTTGAAACCGGAATGACCATATAGAACATAGCCAGGGATCTTATTGGCAAGAATGTAATGTGACTACTGTGATAAGACGGGAAGGGGTCAATACCGCGAAGACCTAGAGCCTGTCAAAGGACCAGCACGTCGCGAAAGTTGCGCGGTGCTTCTGAAGCGACGATAGCCCCATCGCAAAGTCAAAAGGGAATTCTACAAATAACCAGGGCGATCCCCCAGTGGCCGAATCAACAGGATTGCGCGCACGGAAGCCCACCTGGGGAGGTAACAGCCGGTCCACTCGAAGGTTCTCCCTTAGCACGGACTTGTCGTTGGCTACTTGTTTTTAGACGGTATGGGCTCGCGGCGGCAAAGAGGTATCGGGCTAGACACAACGTGACAAGGGCAATACAACCCGTGGCGTCATTGCATGGCTTGAGCCGTTTAAAAAAATATATATATTCTACAAATCGTGACTCGATCGCACGTCAGATCAGCTGATAGATTCAAGCTGAGAGTATCTGCATGATTGGAGCACACCGATGTAGCGGACAATCTCGTATTGGCAACCAGTCTGGTTATCGCGTCTCCCTCGCCTCCTATACAGCGCATTCGGAGACGCCGAATGACTCAAACCCAAATGGTGAAATGATCGACGCAAAGGTGTTTTCCATTTTCATTCTTTTAAAATTTTTTTTTCTTTGGCGGTTTGTAACTCCAGCCTTTCCCGTGCATTCGGAGAATTTCCCAACGAGTTTCAAGGGCCAATGCATATGCGGATAGACGTAAGGGTGTCTTTTACTCTAAAATGCTTCATCTTTTCCGAACCAGTTGCATATTCATTTCCGTTTCAATATGTTATCGTATCATCGCATATTCTGAGACATATCTCAAGTCTCGAGATTTCCCAACGGCCATAGTCCATAGTTTGGTACAGAGGCCCGTCCCGAACCTTTCGGGGTTCCAAGGTTCAAACATTCAAGGATGAAAGCAAAGGGGCTTTAAAGTTGGAGTCTAACGTCTAGACTTGTATGACTCGAAGAGCCAGTGACTGTCCGTAGACGGCATTTCGTTCTTCGACTAGGGTGTTCAACATCCAAGCCGTGGAGCCTCGAGACTGTGGAGCCCGCTAGTCGCTGGGCTGTGATAGCCCACTGGATAATCGGGCAATGAACAAGCCCTGGACGACAATCAAATGTTAGCTCAAAGCCACCATTCTAAAAAAAACCGAGTTGGGGGCTGCGATTCGCGGGGAGGCCACTGAGCTAAGTGGGGAGGGCGTTAAATCTGGGCAATTGGAACAACGAACGAGAACTGAGTCTAGAATGGCATTGACCAGTGTATGTTGGATATTGAAACTGTAATACTGTATGCACTCCATACTCCATGCGAAGTGTATTCTCGGACTTTCAAAGATAGGAAAGGAAGAGTTTGAGGTCCCACAATCACGATCTAGTCCATCCTCCTCTAGTGACTGGTCGTACTGGTCGTACTGGTCGACGCCCATCCTGCAGGAACAAGCGACTAATGCACGCTTCAGCTCACTTCGCACGCAGTCACCGGGGAATTATTTCTGGGGGCCGCAAAAGAACTTGGGATTGAGTTTGCTCTGGGTAGGTCAGTGCTTGGATATGGCCCTAGGGAAAATAGAGAAGTTGATCTCAGGTTCTCTTTTACACCTGAATTGCCTACCCTACATATGAACAGCGCTACTGCCAATTTACAAAATTAAACCCCATACACTTGTACATTTTCATTGAGACCACATATATTAAAACAAATAGAATGGAATGATTGACCCTGAAATTGTCCGGTAGCATATCAACACACAAACGCCCATGATGAAACAAGAGATGGAACCGAAGTCGTCAAAGACCAGACAAAGCAAACTATTGGAAACACTTAAGCTGCTGCTGCAAACCGCTTCTTGCGAGCCTCCATAGCCGCAATATCCTTCTCACTCCAACTCTTTTGGGTAGTGTTCCCGCCGGCATTAGGCTTCTTCACGCCAGCATTGGTCTTGTTCCCATCGCCACGGTCGCGGTTGCGGTTTCCATCCCCACGTTGACGGTTGCGGTTGCGTCCAGCTCCAGTGTCACGTCTCTTGCCTCCACGACCACCCTGCTCATTGCGGTTGTCATTGCGACCCTCATTACGTCTCTTGCGGGAGCGCTCATCAGGAAGTGCCTGGTCAAGACGGCTTACACCGGCAGCGGGGGTAGTCCCAGCCTCGGCGCCAGTACCGAATCTCTTGGCACGCTCCAGCTGCTTCGTAGCCTCCTTCAAAGCTGTGTCGTCATCCTCAACAATGCCGAACTTCTGCGCGCGAGCCTTGCGCTTCGCAAGCTCTGCCTCCAGATCGGTCTGGGGAAGCCCTCGTGTGTAATCGACGGCGGGCTTCTGTTCGGTCGCGGCTTCAGGTTGAGTGGTGGGTTCAGCGACGGCGCCGGTCGCCTCGACCTTCAAGTCCTCGGTGGTAGCGGGGTTCTCGTCGAGCTGCTGATTGGGGACAGCAACGGGGTTGGAAACTGCGCCCTGGCCACCAGCGGCAATCGCAGCTGCGCCAGCTTCTGTGGATGGCTCGATAATTGTCTCTGCGGGTTCGTCGTCCCAGTCAATGACGTCCTCGGGGGCGTCGGTCTTGGCTGCGGCGGGAGCTGGGGCAGAAGCGTCGGAGGGCTTAGCCTCATCATCTTCCTGAAGGCGCGAGACCATGTCGGCCTTCTTTCCAGTATGAGGGAGAGAGCGAGTCTTGAGGATCTCGACCAACTCGGCGTTGGTCTTCTTGCTGTAGTCGGTGGCCATTTTGCGATCGGAGATTGGTAGGTTGCAATTGGTGAAGGAGGGGGTAGAGGCAGAAGTAATTGGGATAATAATCAAATGTTTGAATATTCAGAGCAGACCAAATATCATAATATGTGATAAACAAAAGAATGGACGTTGGATTGCTGAAGAAGAGACACTCAGAGACGCGATCTCACCCAGTGGAGGTCTCGAGTCCCCAGCTGCAATTACAACAATTACATAAGCAGTTTAGAATGATCCCATTGGCCATCTGAACAACAGGCAACAAAGCCAGATCCACCTCTTCCTGAAGCTTCTCGGTCATCGTCGGGTTTGATTTGAATGCAGCATATCTATCTTTGATTCCTTTAAATTGGACGATGGCTAAGCCAACCTGTCTATACATGATATATACGTATCTACCAACAGTATATTATTGAGAGATTGCGGTTGGATACCTATATGGATGGACTCAACGGGAGCTCTACATGCACGTATAATTCGGCGCCTCCGAGCAGAAGACGCAGACATTGCTTCAATATGTGCTCGTTTGCATTTCCATAAATACGAAATATGACAAAGATCCATTGTCATTGGCACATAGAGTGCTCCGTGCAGTGATCAATCAACACGTCACAGTGCAGAAGCTGCGAGAGTCGAGCTGGGGATTCAGGAGACGAAAAAGAGCTCGTTGAGAATCTAACAGGCGCTTTAATCTCCGAATCAGAGACTGACAGCTGTACTCCGTACATTGTCCGTACATTGTACGGAGAACTAGGGCAGCTTGTTGGGGGAAATATGGGAACCTGCATGCACTGCGCCACAACAGAAGCAGGTTTATAGACTACATCATACGCCACATTGCTTCCTCAGGCACCGAATGAACTAACTATAGGCTGCTACCATGTCATTCCAAGGTTTTTTCAAGACACGGAGTAGAAAGCAGACGAAAAGCACACGATAAGTCGCTTAATTCATTCTAATTGATCAAAGTAGGAAATGGAAGAATAAAGCAAAACCCACCCCCGTTCCCTAAAGATGTGCCCGTGACCAGTAAACGTCCGTCAATTTTGACAATCTCTTCCACCGTCAAATATGCTTCACTCTTGAATACCCTTCTGCTTCATTCGCCGCAAGAATCGTTCTTTTACAGCTTCAAGTTGACTCAAGATGTGCTGCCTATTCCGCCACCCAAATGAAGGTCGTGGCAGCCTGTCACTATGAAGATAGACATGCTGCCAATCCAAAGCATCCGCTGCTGGGAAATGACTGCTTTCCAGATGGTTATCCTCAATGAATCGACTTCTCCAGTAGCTTTCCGGGATCATTGGGTACCAATGTGGAAACGCCGAAAGCAGAGCTCGAATATCCTTGTGATGTTCCAAATGATCTGCGATGTTCAAGATGAGTTCGGTCGGGAGAAACACGTTCCTGGCTTTGAAAGTAGCCTGGGATCGTCGGAACATCGCATGTGTCGGTATTGAGTGTTGCGACATTGGCTCACGTCCCTTCTTCCTCTGGCTGGTGTACTTGGCTGTGTACTTTGCGATCACATTCTTGATGTAGGAGTCATTCAGTGGGTCTGTTCCGAGAAAACCACGAGTCATACGACTTGGATTCCAGGAATCTACGGAACGAAATCCCTGAGTATTTGGATGAAATCTTGGCGGCAAAGTGCTAGTACACCCGAGCACTGCTCTCACCTCGGGGGTCATGAGGATTCGATCAGACCATCTCCTTGAGTGCGTAAGAAATTTTGGGTTAAACATTGCAGGCACAAAGCTGTCCAAATTCCTTTTGATCACGTCCGCATCAAGAATTTGAGTCATGAGCTGCCAGCATCGTTCATGCATGGGAAACGCTTTCGGATACTCCAGCCTTGAGACAAAGTTTGGAGTTGGAGAGGCCTGCTGACTATGGCTTCGGTGATTCCACAAAATCATTTCGTTCTCATCCCGTGGGAGGCTTATTTTTTGGGTCGGTCGAAACTCACCAACACCAGAGAGATGGAAGGTGACTCTTTGACCAGGTCTAAGAAGCACTGGAGTTACGCTCGATATTAGAACGAACATCATCTAATCAGGATGTTTAAAACAACACTTGCCAGCTCGAAAAGTGCAAGACCAGGTCCACATCTCATCGAAGTGTATGTCCTCCAGATCTGCTGGTCTTCCGCAGATCCATGAATTATGCGGTGAGAAAATGTTCAGATCTTGCGGTGCATCGCGATATATTATCTCGGAAATTTTAGTCGCTGCAAAACTGTAAATTTTACTACCACACAAATTGCAGGTAGCATGTCCTGTGCGGAGCATACTTCTTGCATGGATGCAAGAATATCTAGAGAACACGGCTAGTCCTAGAGAGACAGAAAGCCGTATCGATATAGATGATAAAGAAGATAGAGGTAGGAGAGATGAACGAAGGTGTGTGGGAGGTGAGAGGTAGAGGGGGAGAGAGAGGCCTGCAAACATAGTCCTGCTACCTGCGAAAGTCTGAAGCTCTGGCAGATCAAACAAATATTAATAGGTTTTGACAAACAAGCATGCTGCTCTTCTGCTTTCCTATTTTTATTGTTGCAGAGCTGTGAGCACAATCAAACCCTAAAGGGGCCAGGGCGTAAGCAGTCCCACTCAAGACGTACAACTAAATTTTTGCATAATCATTGGAAATTTTCCTGTGCTAAGAATCATATATATCGAGAATTTGCAGGGCTATGAAGATGGAGAGCTTCTCGGGTTGGATGTTATGGCCAATCCCTGCTTGTATCCACCTACATAGATATAGAAAATCCATCTGCACATCAAGCACAAAGGCCGCTTGAGCGGACGATTATTTTTATAAGTGATGAACTGAGCATTATAAAGTACTGCTAGATTTAGCGATCTGGATCCGTATATTTAGTGGTATGGTTTCAGACTTGGTATTTGAAAGACAAGACTAATCTAAACATTTATTGTCGTAGAATGCCTCTTCGATCCTCACCATGACTCTCGTCAACTCATCAGTCTCCACCCGTCTTCTTGACGAAAGGTCCTCGCCGGAAAGTAAGCCTCCCAATCTTCCTGTATTCACCGTCTTCATTGCCAATTCTCATTTTGAACTCCAGCCCGGGCACCAGAAATTCACCGAAACAGTCCAAGTAGGCATCCGTCCACTCCATCCAGCCCTCCAACCCTTGCTCCATCGTAGAAATGCTCGTATTCTGCTCAGTTCTCTTGTCTGGCTGGGTCGCCCATCCAAACACCTTCAGACATGGGATCATCGTGGCCCAGAAAGGAATATCGGGTGGGTTCAGTTCCCCGCTGTGATATGGGCTGGGGGTAATGACGAGAATAAGTCGGATGCGCTGGAGATTCTCTTTGGTGAATGTTTTCTTGAGCGTAGCTTCAGCTCCTCTGTCAAGGTAGAGTTCAAACAAGTTCTCACCATAAAGGATGTTCAAGCATTCGTCACTCATTCGTTTGGAAACATGTAAAACGTTTGTCCAGAGAGGAGTGGTGTTGGAGAATCTGTCTTCGAGGGACAGGTCACGCGTTGAAACCACAGGTTCGACCCCATAGGGCCGGAACATCTTGTTTGTGACTTTGATAGCACATTTTCGGGGGATACAGAAGGCCAAGATTTTCAAACGTATCTCAGCGGGTATTGTGTAGAGTCGAGATATCGTAGGAGTTGGAGTGGGTTGTTCGGACTGGTGTTCTTGTGGGATCTCCATTGATGCTGAACTGGAGAGGCGAGATTCAATTACTTATCATGCGCCTTGGTCAGTTTCTGGCTAGAGAGTTTAATATTAGAATCATCACCTTGCGTGTTTGAGTATTTACCTCATCAACTAGACCATACCTCACCAACCGGATCAGATCCGCGATCTTGAGAGAAATCAACGACTAGCTGCGGTGGCCAAGGAGTATTGAAAAAGAAATGCAGTAAAGATGGAAGCAAGGGAATATTTTACATGGAAGATAGGATGGATAGCAGGGGGCCCAAGTTGACGGCTAGGCCAAGTGGTAAAATAAGTTGGATATGGTGGGATGGTAAAGCAAAGGTGAGATGGAGGTGAGATGTAGGAGGAAAGACAAGACCGGTCGACAGAGTCATCAAAGGATCACGATCAGTCTCGTGAAAAGCAAACACTCCATACCTAGGTATCCTGGGTCGAGGGTCTTGGATAATCACGATGGCACCCCCAGGCTCCGATACATCCATAGACTAGAACGAAACATTTAACTCGGTGGTAACTAGGAGCTTTTCTGTCAATGCCCAGCTATAATAATGAGCTAGGTCTGCATGTACCCTTATTCACAGGATGTCCATAAAAGCATGAAAAGTAAGTTTGAAATGCTATAAAGTGTATGCAAGATAACGTTTGACCTCATTGGAATCCTAAACCTTCCGGACTACTCTTCCCACAGTAGGAAAAGATGAATACGTCCAACTTAAATTTGGCGAGTTGAACAGTACATTGACAGGTACTTCTCGTAACAAGTGCGGGAGATCAATTACTTGGTCATTCATCGAGCCCTGGAGTCCAACCCTACCTAATGTCGAAGGGTTAGCTCATAGTGAGATTTTCCGAGTATCTGTCTTCTCTTTGAAATCCCTATATAACCGCTTGTGCTGCTCCAAAAGAATCAGCGTTGCCATAGTCTGTGGTCCCAGCCGAACAAAACCGGGTGTCCACCCTCGAAAGACCCATCTCATCCCCTCCACCGCTGTAAGTTCCGTCACCACATGCAATATCCCTTGTCTGCTTGAAGATCCCATCAACTGAGTCTTAACTACATCAATCGGACTGCACAGTGTCGTAGCAACCAGTGCTGCCAAGAAAGACGCCGACAAATGTAAACCGGGATGATCATTATGAATCCCAGTGGTTGCCACTATAAGATCCCTAAAGCTATCATACGATGCAAGCTGGCAGCTAGTCATCATACCACAGCGGAAAGCATTCGGCCATAATCCTTGTCCAAAGGCCTTCCATCCCTCCTGTCGCTTGATCTGTCTCCAAGCATCGAAGATATGCCGGTAATTGCGACGAAGGTGAGGAGGCAGCGAGCCGTCATTTTGCATGCGGATATTGCCGATATCTGAGGAGTTGCCGAAGATTGCGCCAATAAATCCAGAGATTCCTGCTAAGAGGCCAAGAACTGGTGGGGAGGTGGGAATATTGTTCGCTTTAGTTTGTTCTTTCAGTGTCTCGTAGAGGCCGATGCGTACTGAGCCATATGTTACTGCGGAATGCGTGAGTATGTATCGATTTCGGGATTGGTGGAAGAGATGGAATAGCTAAGTGGACTAACGCTGTCTCATAAACCCTGCTGATAGCTTCAATCCATCAGTATCTTGCCACAATTAACAACGTTCTTTATTAGACCTACCCCGTTATAAAGTGCAAGAAGACCCTCTCCCTGAACGATTCGAATGCAGGTATTGAATGTCCCAGCTTTGACACCACCCTGCTCCATTTGCATTCTGACCTTGACTATGATTGATCAATCAAAACTTTGTTCTTTCAAATGGAATATCTGAGCTCACTGAGGTCCAAAGGGTGAGAGACAAGGACTGCCATGCATGATGCAGAACCCCCGAACCACTTGGGATAGGTGATTGACTGAGAGATGTCTATTGATTTGCTCATGTTAAATATTTCAAATCGGTTTTGCTTTATTTCCAAGATTGAAAATCATTGGATCTTTTTGTATCTTGCACAGTGGCATATAGCCGATTTGGAAATCATCACAAAGCCGGCCATAATGCGGGGGGTTACCGAATAGATGAAGTAGGCGATTATCATCGCAAATGCTCAGGTCTACATGTGAATGCTCTTTGTAACCACTGTAAGTATCTTTACGTATAACATGAATTAAGGAGGTTGTCAGTGTTTCTGTTAGGGTACCAAGTGAGAGTCTTGTGAATGCCACGTTATCAATCAGCCTGCGCTCTCCTATGTATTCAGATCAGGCAAACATTGCCACTTGTTTTCAACCTAAAGACTTCCTGTAGTAAAACCTGTAGAAACCTCACAAATGAGTGAAGATTTAACTGTTTTAAATCGAAGATGGGTGAGGAACTGTCGAAAGTGAAGTTGTATATATATATCAGAAAGATTGAGCGGGTATCTCAATGATTTGAAAGTGTCTACTCCGTACAGGACAGACCGAATATCGAATGATCATACATCCAGACATTTTTATCAAATGCGTCTACCATGGACATAATATCTGCCTGCGTAATTGGGGTGGTCGAAGCCTTTTGGGTTGGTTGAACGCGTTGTTCAGGTTGCCAAGGAAACCGCGCAGCCTACGGAATCATATACCAACGAACATCATCATGCCTCACTTAGAAGTGAGTAAACAATCACGAAATGCTCTACAAGGGCATGAAAATAAGACTACACCCATCTTCTCCAAGCACCCGGACAAGCCGAACAGTTGATGAAAAAGGAGTTCGCGTCGATCGGGGGTAGTGTAAGCCCAATGACACTGTGCGACAAGGCATGCGCAAGCACAGGGGCCAAGTCGCCGGTACCAAAAATAGGAATAATCAAAGTGTTTCCTGGACGGAAACTTTCAGAGATTAAACTGAAAAGAACAGATACTACACTTGATCTAAGCCAATAGGCAAAGAGAGCTGAAGAAGAAAAAAAAGAAGAGGAACCTCTGTGGGAAGGAGGACCTTCTTATATCCCCAGGGCGGTCAGTTTCTGCCAACTTTGACAAATATGGCAAACATTGGACGCGCAGGCATAAGCGAAGAAGACAAACGCGGTGTGAGGGATATTGCCTTTTCTGACAGCATCGACGGGTGTCTCCATAACTAAGTGCTATAACAACGACTGTTGGAATGTGATGGAAATGGTTACAGCGTCTCAGGTTATTTCCCCATTAATTATCAGCCTATGCAGGGTCTACTAGTATATACATAGATTCTGATCAAAAGGTATATTTATCAGGCTTAAGCTCAATGCTGGTTAGATTCATAGATGATATCCCTACATTAGAAACAGCTCACGGAAGAAGAATCAGATGTTCACTATACACAGGGCTTGTTTGAAGCAGTAGAGGTAGGGAAAAAAAAAACAGACACACAAAGGAGAAGGACAAGACATAATAGCACAACGCCATGGGAAGAAAACATGGAACATTTGGTACACCCTAGCCAGCGTCGAAAGTTCCAGGGTTTATAGATCACATAAAGGAAAATGGTTGGTTCCTCTTTTCTGATTTTTTCCCCAGCACAGGCGAATCTAACCATCTAAGAGGGTGCCATGGGAAGGTTTTCTTCGGGTTTGGTTTTTCTTTTTTATTATTGCGTTACCAATACCGTCTATCGGTCAACCTCACCGAACACAAGATCCATAGTACCTAGAAGACATTCGATGTTAGAAGCGGGGAATTGAATCAAACAAGGAAACAAAGACTTACCGATAATTGCGACAGCATCGGCGAGCAGGTGACCACGAGACACCTGATCGAAGCCACCCAAGTGGGCGAAACCAGGAGCACGGATCTTGCAGCGGTATGGCCGCTCACTGCCATCACTGACCAGGAAGACACCCATCTCACCCTTGGGGGCCTCAATGGCTGAGTAGGTCTCACCAGGGGGAACGGAGTAACCCTTGGTGAAGAGAAGGAAGTGGTGAATGAGAGCCTCCATGTTCTCCTTCATGGCGGCACGGGGAGGAGGGGAGATCTTGTAGTCCTCAACACGGACCGGACCAGCGGGCATCTTGTTCAGGCACTGGTGGATGATGCGGAGGGACTGACGGAACTCCTCCATACGGCAGAGGTAACGGTCGTAGCAGTCACCGTTGACACCGACGGGGACGTCGAACTCAACCTGGTCATAGGCATCGTACGGCTGCGACTTGCGGATATCATAGGGGACACCCGAGCCACGGAGCATGACACCAGTGAAACTCATGCTGAGAGCATCGGTGGCGTTAACAACACCGACACCCTGGGTTCTGGCCTTCCAGATACGGTTATCCGTGAGCAGCTCCTCGGTCTCGTCGATGCGGTCACCGAACTGAGTGGCCCACTGGTAGATGTCGTCCAAAAGACCAAGGGGGATATCCTGTGACACACCACCGGGGCGAACGTAAGCAGCGTGAAGACGGGCACCGGAGACACGCTCGTAGAATTCCTAAAGCACCCGATGTGTCAGTAAACAAGACCTGGCCGTGGGGGCTTTTCGAAGCTCTCAATTACTCACCATGAGCTTCTCACGCTCCTCGAAACCCCACAGGAAAGGAGTCAGGGCACCAACGTCCATTGCGTGGGACAGGACGGACATGAGGTGGTTCAGGATTCGGGTCATCTCGCCGAACATGGTGCGGATCCACTTGGCACGCTCAGGGATGTCGACGTTCAACAGCTTCTCAACAGCCAAGGAGAAGCACTGCTCGTTCGTCATCATGGAGACGTAATCCAATCGGTCAAAGTAAGGCAGAGCCTGCATGTAGGTCTTGTACTCGATCAACTTCTCAGTACCACGGTGAAGTAAACCGACGTGGGGATCGGAGCGAACGATCTCTTCGCCATTGAGTTCCAGAATCAATCGGAGCACACCGTGAGCAGCGGGATGCTGAGGACCGAAGTTGACAGTGTAATGACGGATCTTGCGGTCGATCCCTTCGGCCTCGGATTCAAGGCCAGCAGCATCGGAGTCCTCGGGAAGACCCTTGTTGGCGATAGAGGTGAAGGTCGGGTCGGTCGGCACAAGTCGTGTGGCCTGGTAGCTAGTAGCCTCTGCCTGACGGCGAGGAACAGAGGTGGCTATCGAGCGGGAACGAGGAATGGATGTGTTGAGAGAGGAGGGGCGGAGGCAGAGCCTTTTGGGCGCATTGCCCGCTAGGCGAGCGAAAGAAGCGGCCATGGAGGATGGAGAATTGGAGGTCCAAGAGGGAAAAGAGGGGAGATGATCCTCAATCCAGGCGCATTCAATGGGTGGATATGGCTCGCTACGGATAGGGAACTCGCTGAAGGTCTCAAGTTGGGAGTCGCATTTTGGCTCGTCACGTGAAAAGCTGCCGGGTCATCAGCCGTACGCTGGTTGGCTTGAAGAGGCCACTATACTGTGTGCGTGATGGCTCCACGCTAACCTGCCTTTGGTTTAGCGTTATGCTTTCCTCACGTAATCTTGCATTCCCTGATTATATAATTTATCATTATGTCTGCAGAATAAAGGCCCCGTTTATGCCTCAGGCAAACTAGAAAATTGCTTCGAGAAATCTCTCTTATCGGTGATCGCGGATTTTACCATCAACCTTCACCAGACCCTCTATAATTGCTCACCATGGCGCCTCTTGTTCCCTCGCAGGAGGAGCTGCAGCGCCGCCGTGTATGTCTTCAACAATGATTCCATGCAGCTCAGAATACTAATCGTCCCAGATCATCGGCATTAATGCGGAAACCGTCACCAATATCCCCTCCACAGATTTTCCTGGCCACTGGCCCGGAGAGTCGCATGGATGGGCACTCGATGAATTCAAGAATGTATGTGCTGAAATATCATCCAGAAGGTATACTCTGCTGGACTCAGTCAACTCTAACCATTTAAATCCAACAGAATTTCCAAGTCGAATTCCACCGCAATGAACGGTTCGAGGCTTCCTTCTCGCTCATCGGACTCGACGCCGCTGTCGCCAACGCTTTCCGTCGTATCCTTATGGCCGAGATCCCCACCATCGCCATTGAAGACTGCTTCATTCACAACAACACTTCCGTCATTCAAGACGAAGTGCTCGCACAACGACTGGGCCTGATCCCCCTCAAGGGCTCCATTGAGGGAATCAACTGGATGCACTGGTTCAAGAAGGCGTCCGAAGATGGAGGCGAGGAGGAAGATGGCCCCTGCGACTTCAACACCATTGTGCTCCACCTCGACGTGGAATGCTACAAGAACGAGTACGCAGACAAGGACGAGCAGGACCCCCGCAAGCTGTACACCAACGCCCATGTTTACGCCAAGGACCTCATGTACATGCCCGTCGGACGCCAGGAACAGTTCTTCGTCGGCGATGGTGCTATCGCACCTGTCAACCCGGACATTCTGATTGCCAAGCTCCGCCCTGGCCAGAAGATCGAGATGGAACTCCACTGCCAGAAGGGTATCGGTGCTGACCACGCCAAGTTCTCGCCCGTGGCTACCGCTTCATACCGTCTCTTGCCTGATATTAAGATTGAGCGTCCCATCATCGGTGAGGATGCGAAGAAGTTTGCCAAGTGCTTCCCCAAGGGTGTGATCGGCCTTGAGCCCGTTACCTCTGCTGAGGCTGCGCAGCCTGGAAGTGGATACGAGGGCCATGCCGGCGAGCAGAAGGCCGTCGTTAAGGATGCGTTCAATGATACTGTCAGCAGAGAGTGTCTGCGCCACGAAGAGTTCCAGGGTAAGGTCAAGCTGGGACGGGTGCGGGATCACTTCATCTTCAACGTGGAGAGCACGGGTCAATTCGAGAGTGACATGCTCTTCCTGGAGGCTGTTAAGGTTATGAAGCTGAAGTGCAACCGGTGGAAGAGAGGTTTGACCGATCTGATGGGTTGATCAATGGGCCCTTTCTCTTCTACACCTTACTATATGCATTCTTTGGCGTTGGATTTTTTTTTTCGCTGCCTTTGCGCTGTACATTTACTAAAAGTCGGTCAGGGCTTCGCCTCACGAGGCTGGAGTCTGGATGTGTTAATTGTCTTAGAAAAGAGCCCAACCTCTATCTTTTGAATTCTACGCAGTTAACTAAGGCTAATCATCCCGGTCATAAAAATTGTGATTTATTGTAATTTTCAAATGAGAGGTAGTATTCCCTCTATTTGAAGTGAAGACGGAAGCGGAATGTGGTGGTGTACGCGGGGTCGCTCACGGCGACTTCCTCGCCATCCTCGATCAAATCTGCCAGCTTTTTTACCAGGTGAGGTCTGGTCATTTCCTCCAGCTGGGGTGGGAAGCGCTGGTAGAGGGTCTTCTCTTCAGTCCGCATACTAGGCTTCTTCAATTGAGCTTCGGCCCTCTCCCCGAGGCTGTCGATGAACTCGCCCAGTGTCATATTGGGATCCACGTCCAACTTCCGGGCAAGTTCTCCGCACACGGGGCAATCGGGCTTCTTCTCCGCCTCGAAAGTGTAGGTGTACACCCCTTCCTCGCCAGCATACATCATGTAGTTAGTTAGGAATGGATTGCAGCCAGTGGCGATCTTGAGCACTTCTGAAGTTGTGGAGGCTGCAATGACGGCGTTTGTCGATGCAATAGCCGGAATGATATTTTTGACCACACCCTGGGTCATCTGGAAGGTTACGCCGTGTATATGGAAGTGCTGGGCACGTTCATAAGCGGCATTGTATATCCACGATATGTGTTCTAAGTTGTCGCCGTCAAAGGTGTCATCTTTGCGCTTCTCTTGCCATGCAATCTGGTGCGCCCATTCGATGCAGTGTTGAGGTTGGCGTGGGATGGTGGCAATTGTGCAGAGGGGAACTGCTGCGCGAGGGGCGTGCATATCCAGTTGGCACTCAATGCAGGATGAGATAGAAGGTAGAATGACACGAGCTTGGCCCTTGAAACCTATTTGATAGATCAGCAACATGTTCTTTACTGAGTTTCACGATCAAGGTAGATACCTTCGGTTCCACCATCAACAAGTGGCTTCAGGCTCGAAGGGTCATCCTCGTCGACCATCGAGATTAACGTGGAATTTATCCAGCGTCGAGCTTCGATACTATCCAAGCCACAGATGACAATATTAAATTGCATGTAGTAGTCTTCATCTTTGTCCTGGATCTTGCCGACGTAGGGTGTGATATTCACTCCCTTCACTCGCTTTTGCACAAAAGCAGCGGCAACTTCAGCTTTGGGCTTCCCGATATCTGCCTGGCGGAACAGGAACTGCCGATTGAGATTTGATATGTCAATAGTGTCTGTCAACTGTGAGCTTCTGGTCTCGGCATTCTGAGTTGAAACACATACCCATGTCGATGACATGAATATCTTTGAATCCCGACAGTGCGAGATTCTTTAAGATCTCGCATCCTAGTCCACCAGCTCCGCTAGATTTCAGTCAGTTCTACATCTTGATAGAATAACAGAACTTTGCAAGGTTGACAAACATCACCCTAGAATTCATGTTAGCAAAAGTAATATCTCCGAAGTGAACCAACTTACAAGATTTTGGAAGATTCCAGAGCACTGATAGGCTCGGGGCCAGGGTTCCAGTCTTCATCTGTAAAAGGACCACGTTTACTTAGGACGTTGTAGAGATGCTTCCTGTGAGGTATTAGAGCAGATTGAGGTCTTGAGAGTCGTCCAACGTACCATCGACCTTGCTGGTCCACATAAATCGGAGATTCCGGGATATCTGGGGTTTCAGAATCCACATCCATGTTGGTAGGATCCTGTCATGGACAACTGAAGAGAGTAAATAGTTAGACGTATTTGACTTGCTCCCGTGGTCAGGTGGGGCTATCTTAGCTGCCGCTTTTATGAGCTCACCTGGGCACCTCAGAGTTGCCTAGTTGGGCTTCCTGCGTAGATTTCAGTCCGGTCTGCTCAACTTAATCACGTGATGACCCTGGTCCAACAAACCGCAGTAGACACAAACGAAACTCTTCTTCTCTCCAGATCGACCCTCAGGCTTGAGAGTGGATACATGATCTCCTTCATCCGTTTGATGAAGGTTCGGAGGGATATGGTGCCCCGGTTCTACTGAGTGTACTTGCTGGCCTCCTGTTTATGACAAATTCGACAGAGTCTGGTACAGGCCCAGAGGTATCATGTCTGCTGTCGACGGTCGACAACCTTGATAAGCTTCCAACTCTAATGAATTCGAAGGAAAGCGGAATTACAATGTCTCCACTAGGAGCTATGTGGGTTGCTCTGGTGAAAGCGTCACACTAAATATCAAGACGTGGGATTGTTCCTCGAATGGCCCCATGGCACTTTTTGGACAAACTCTCTTCGAGACTCTTTACGTGATCTTGGAGTTTGAAAGGCTTGACAACGATCGCTTCTTAGGCCAGCAATAACAGGGGTTGAAAAGATTGTGATATGAATTGTCTGAAATAGCTATTGCTGGCTGTTGATTCCTACTGATATTGGGCGAGAGAGAGACGATGGAGACAACAGAAAGTCTTGAAACAACCTAAATGTATATAGAGTAATCCGAAAGAGTGATACCACTGAGCAAGGAAAAGGGACCGAAACAGCTTACTCAGGCTGGTGATCCATCTGGCCAGTAAATGGCCTCCAAGACTCATGCTGTATGAAACTCCAGAGTCCACATAAAGCACTGCAAATAGATCTTGCCGGCCAACGTGCCCTGCCATACCATAGCACAGGGCATACTAACTTCCAGATTATTTGGGTCATAATAGACTAGGAAATAAGCAACACTTCCAACAACAAAAAGTACACATTTAACAATCCCAGCAGTGGAAATTACAACGTTGTAATCTTTCCATGACAGTGTGGCCAGTTCAAGCCCCCCGGCCAATATGCCAAGATTGGACGTCACAACAGCCACTCCTGTATTGACGAGCATCACAAACATGCCGACGTCCATGGTGTCGGTAGATTTACCGACTGAAGATATACATGCGGCCAAAATATGAGCAACGTTTTTGATGATATCCAACAACAAATATAATCTAGATCAGTCGCGATAGGTGGACACATCCCATGGGGGAAAACCCTTAGATATCATTGGAGCCACGGATTCATCGGCGGCAAATCCTTCAGGGCTAGACGCACCGACGATTCTCATGACACTCTCATGTTACGTCCGGTACGCCATCGATGTCTCTTTTAGCTTGCGTGAGTGCCCATCTACTGGGAAAAAAAAACCTCTATCAATTTAGCATCTTATGCAGCACACTCTTCAAAAGGCCGAGTGGCACAATGGGAAATGCAGCAGCAAGTGTCGCCATTCTTGCCAAGGCAGCTGTTTCAGAGGCACGGTCAGCACAATCGAATTTATGACAGC